AACATAAAATGACAGAAAACAACTAAAAGTAGATTGTTTTCCAAATAGAACCTCATTTGATACAAAAATCGCATAATATTTTTTGGTGCGTGAGCGCACCACTCTCAACACCCGATTTCATTTTTGGTGATATTTTGCAAAGCATGAAGTATGTAAATGCACTTATTACAAACGTAAATTGTGTGGCTGTGGCAGATTCTGCATCTCCCTCGGCTTTTGTTAGCATGAACAATCATGAGGCGACCTTGATTATCATAACGCACTTCATCTATGGAGGGTGCAAGATTTCTTTGAGTAATTGTTTTATCAGTTTTTAAAAGTCGCTAAGCAATGTAAGTTTTAAAATCAAATCAATCACTTCGTCATCAAAAAACATAAAAAATATTTCAAGAAGAGTTTTTCCAGAAAGCCTATTTTTTAGTTCCTCACATGATCTAAATTCATCGGATATAGGTGTGTGAGTGTACTCAATCTGACCTTTCTTCCATTTAACAGTAGAAGCAAGCCTGTCGTTTGCAGAAAGCATACGTCTTCTTTTAAATTCCAAGGTTTCATCATCTGATGAGTCCCATTCGGTTTCAGTAGTTGAAGAATTACAGGACTGTTGAAGGACAGCTGTATCATTCGGTGTATGTAACTCGAAAGATCCAACTATGATTCCCCAAACCTTGAAGATTTATGTTATCGTTCATATCTTCTTCGTCAGTCAAGGTATCCACGTCGGGTGTAATATAAACCGCGGCAATATGTTCTATAAATATTTTTTCACGTTTTTTTTTTAGCATAAATTTACAAGGAATGGCATGCTACAATACATAAGAATACGTAAATCCAAATAATACTTACGACTTTCATTGTTATTGTCCTCATCCATCACGATCTCCTCCATAGCCGCCTCTAATTCCTTTTGAGTCAGATACCTTGAAAATGCCATATTTTACGAACTGTAATGTTCACTGCACAAGGTACAAACTAATACAAAATATTACGCCAATGGTTGGATGTATATTCTACATGTCTAGTCTTGCAATAACAAAGTTTTGTTTCACAGATACAACCAGTGGTGCATTCACGCACCACTGGGACAAAATGGGTTAATGAATCACAAAAATTTTAACTTTTGGATTGATAATTTCCCTTTAAAATTGTCCGACTGCTGTAGAAACCTGGTTCTCTAACTCTTGAATTATCGTATGTTATTTATGGTGCGTCAGAAATGGCTAAATATTCGGGGCAAATTTCATTTACCTTGAGCAACCTTGAGTAAAAATAAATTCGTCAAAAAATAAAAGCCTTCCTGTAACGTTCTTTCGCGTTTGAATGCATTTAATTTCATATTAAAATGCTAGGTAAACAAAACTCAGTTGTCGAGATTTTTTCGGTAAAGGGGACAGAATTTATTTAGTCCTGTTTTCCTTTGTCTTTTATTTTTTCAGCGAAGTTTTTATTTCCGAATAGGAATTATTCAAATTCATGTAGATGTGCGCAGAGCGTATCTTCCCGCTTTGGTTGACAGTCCAGTCGGTTTGGGAAAAAAAGTGAGTAGCCCCCCGTTGGTCCCTCCTTGTTAGCCCTTGGGAACTCCGCCGATTGATCCTGTATAGAGGACCTTGTGAGTAGCATTGTGGAATTGAACGGTCAATTGACTAGTCGTTATGAGAATCGCATAATAATTTATTATAAAATACATATTATTATTAAATAATGATAGATAGCATTCTACAATTGCAAAATTTTATTTAAAACATTTTGATCGAATATTATTAGTGACTACTTGTAAGAGCTCGCATGGAAATGACGACTTTGGTCCTCATGACGAGATTGCTTATGTATGTTCCTGAGCCTAGAAATGTGCCCACTGCCCAGTTTAGCCTTTCTGGTTTTCTTGGTTCCCAGTTGTCTCATTTCCCTGGCTAGGTTGTTTTTGATTGAGTCACCTCATTCCTAAGACGAAATTGTTCATGTATTCTCCAGAGCATCGCCCAATCCTGCCCACCGACTGCTTAGCAGTAGCTTTCTTGATTAAGAGTTGCCTGATTTCCCTGTCTATGGTTGTTTTTGCTTGGGTGATCCACGAATGACCAGGGTTAGTGAGAGCTCGCAGTGTTGGGGTTAGACCTGCTAAGGCATCCGAGAATAAATTGTTCATATACGAGGGCAGCGCCAAAATTTCCGGGCCTGAATATGAAAGAAACAAAGTAGAGTATTAATTTTTTTTTATTTTTAAATATAATCCCCCTTAACTTCAATACACTTATTATATCTCTTTGTTAACAACTCAATCCCTTTAAAAATATATTTTTTTGGTTTGTCTGCAAAATGAGCTAAAACGGCCTCTTTTAACTCAACTTCGTCGTTAAACCGCCGTCCACGTAAGTCCTTTTTCAAATATCTAAATAAATAATAGTCGCTGGGAGCCATATCTGGACTATAGGGACACTTTAAAATGACAGCTTGTGCAAGTCTGCAGTCTCGCAATTTATGTAATAATGTTGCGTAATATTTACCATTGACAGTGGTATTAGTTTCTTTCAAATCTATCAAAAGAATCGCTTTACAATCCCAAAAGATCGTAGCGATCACCTTTTTTGTTGACTGGCAGACTCTGAATTTTCTTGGAGGTACTTCACCCTTACGACGCCACTCCATTGATTCTTTTTTCGATGGAGGGTCATAATAGAGAACCATAGTTTCATCTCCCGTCACAGGCTTCGGTTCCGACCCACAGAGTTCCAAAAAAGACCGCGCACACTCGACACGGCGTTGTTTTTGAATAGCCGAAAGGTTTTTAGGAACCCATCTTGCCTTATACATACCTAAATGATCATCCAGGATTCGACGAATACTTGTATCAGAAAGTTTAGTAATTTCTGAGATTTCCTTGACCTTTAAAGATCGATCACTCAATATTCCCTCTTCCACAATCGCAACAATATCTTCCGTTATGACCTCCACTGTTCGACCAGTACTTGAATCATCTTCAAGGGAGTCCGGCCCCATTCAAAAACGTTTTGTCCTTTCTTTCATTACAGAATGCGAAGGAGAACTTTGGCCGTACATACCATCCAGCCTTTCTTTAATAATTTTACGCGTTAACCCTTTTTTTGTCAAAAACTTTATTACTTATTATTATTTTATTACTCAATTTGCGTTATTGGCGACATTTTTTCGGACACGTCTTGTTTAAAACGCTGTCAATAAAAAACTATTTGATGGAAGACTTCAACTAAGATATATATTTAAAAGAAGACAAAGTTTTTGGCGCTAACTTTGTATTTTCCAGTTTAGCCGTCCTGGCTTTCTTAGTTCTCAATTGCCCGATTTCACTTGCTAGGTAAGATTACTTGGTCGCCTATTACCTGAAAGGTTCACGATACTACTCTCCAGTGCTCAGAGAACCGCAATCTCGATTGAGTTAAATATTTTTGAGAAGGTGTAGCTCAGAACGAGTGTGGGTTTTATTTTAAACCGCCCGGACTAATGCTTCTGCAAAACAGTTCGTGCATGTGATAAATGTGATTGATTCTCCCGACGCTTTCTGGCTACAAACGGTTCGCATTAAGCTTTAAGGAAGCCATGCATCTTGGAGCAATGGTCCGATCATAATACCTGTATACCTTTCCGAAAATATATTGCCCTCGCGCTCTAAAATAATCTAAATGTTTTCGCTAAGTCTCTACTATATTTCAGCATTTTAAATAATATCTCCTGTCATCTATTGTTGAATTAAACTCTCGAAATGGACAATATCGTCGGTCTCCGTTCAATAACAGCCGGGAGATATTTCAATATTGAAATTAGTTTAACATTGGACGCGTGGATTTTAATGAGCTTAGTTCGAGATAGAGCGGTAAGCACAAAGGCCTAACCTCACTTCTAATCCGTTCTTGGACAAACATCTTGGACGGTAATTTCATTTCGCCTCGATGCCCTCGGTTTGACTCGTTCGTTGATTGATCCCCTTAAGGGTATCCTTATATTGACATATATTTTGCTATTGCTTGGTTAGTTCGCCACTCCCAATTAGAAGTATAAACATTCCTATTGGTAAATTTATTTGGTCTGCCAATATTATCAAATTGGTGCTTTTTTATCCCGCTGTTTGAATTCCATTACTGAATAAGGTCGGTGTTAGTGAACACAATTTCCTTGTGGATTAGTGCACTCTTGTTGTTACAGGCACCGCAAATATTTATTGGCTTCGCTAACTGGAATAATAAAATTTACTTATTTGTTTATTTAACTTAAATTATATATCTGCAACCGGCAAAGCATAAACATCGCAAAGTAAATCAAATTAATTTCCAACCTAATATATCTCCATAACATTTAAACAGTTATGAAATATATATGTATCTATATATATGTCTCGTAGATACATTTACCCGGAAAATTATATACCTCTGCGATTTTAAACGACTATTTTTCTTAGGAGAAGAAAACGTGTGCTTTTAAATTTATGTTTTGAAGTAACGCGCAGGCATAGGGTATTTATCTTTCTTATTATTAAAATAATATTACACAAAACAAGCACGCAAAATTACTTTTTCATTTTTATGGCGTCGTATACTTCGAGGGAGGCATTATGGTTATATAAACAAAATAGGATTTCTTTAGGCAGCTCGTATTTTCCTCTTATGACTTATGACAGTCTCTCGCGAGACTACGATGAAATATCTATAGAGTATCTCACAGCAATGCGTTCCTACCTACGTCTGTAATGCAGGAATTGCATTGCAGACTTAATAAATTTCTGGTATTAATGTATTCTTTCGTAAAATTATTTTTCACATAGCACTATTTAATCAATCTAGTTATTTTTGAAGCACAAAGCACAATTGGAGGCCGTCTGGATGAAACCGAAGGAATGTCCGTATTTGATATTGTTATCGTTAACAGAACAAAAAAAAGGTGTTCCTTCTGTTTTCACCTGACACCCGTCGGTTATAAAGAGCAATGTCCGTTTCTACGGAATACAAGAAACAATAATCTGATTTCAGCAGGCCGCATCCCTAGAAAAAGTGCTAAAGGAACAGCAGCAACACCAACAGCTAGAACTAGAGCGAAGTAGTTGGGACCAAGATCGAAACGATAGGGATCTCAAGGGCAATGGCAGCGTCAGCCCTCAGAGTTCCGAATCGCGAGTGCATGAAGACTCTCCTCTACCGCCCCCCGACGCGCAGAAAAACTTGAGCGCGACTATTCCTCCCATATCACAGAATGATTCAAAATTATCCAACGATTTCCCCCCCTATAACCCGCCCCAGACACAAATGATGCCGTCGCCGGCATCGAATCTTCACCACATGCAGCAACTACTTCAGCAGCACGTGCTGAGCCCCTCACAATTACAAACCCTGATGAAGCAACATTCGATCCTTCAGCAGCAGCAACATCAGGTATTTGTTTTGATTGGAATACGGTTTGCTAAACGCTTGACAGGACTTGTTCCAGCACCATCAGTTAGCGGAATTGGGCAAGAAACAAATCGAGCAAACTATGCAACAACTTCAAGAACAACTCCAACTGAATCTCATACAGCAGACACATATCTTACAAAGTTCCGATAAGAAGAAAGCTTCCGGTTCGTTGCAGCAACTCGTGCTGCAACAGCAGCAACTTATTCAACAGATTCAGCTCATTCAAAGACAATACGTAGTGCATCAAGGTATGGGTATGCAGCCATTGATGATTGCACAAGGGCAAGGTAATAAAGAGGGAAGAATTTGCTGCGGTCTCGGAAGAAAATCGAGAATGAAGAGCGAAATTGTTTCTCAATTTTTTTCTTCAATAACGCTTTTACTTAAGCTCGTTCGTTTTTACTTTTCTTTGTTATTTGTTTCGCATCTGAGCATAATTAATGCATGCCAAATCAATGCGTCGACAATTGAATGCAGTATACATTTATTAAATTGAATGAAAAAAAAAAGAAGATATTGGACAGTCGGATTTAAAGCGCGAATTCCAGCTATTAGGTATGTATTTGTATCCCGTTTATCCCGCCTGTCCATTTTACCCTCGCTCGGTAATCGAACCCTTATTTTGGGCAATGCCAGTTGAAAATAATTAACAGGGAATATTTGATAAAGGTCGCTTCTTTTGTCACGGAAGGACAGAATGTCACACGAGAGACAAGAAACTCGTTGCTAACTTAAACGGAGACGAGGGGAAAGCAGATCACGTGCGGTTAAAACTATTTGGCACTTGCCCGTCCCTCCGCATCCATTGTTTTCCCCGATTTATTATCCTCTTCCGTGATTCTTGCCCATATACCTAAAAGCTGGAAACATCGCCCATTCGTCCAATAAAAAAACGGTTTTAAACGCACGTGACTGCGCCGTCATCTACGTCATTTTTCGCGCGTCTTTTAACGAGCCGCTTCTGATCATTTTCCAGGACTAAATTCGAGAGAAGTGCTGAGTCCATGGAAAGAACTAAACGATCAACATGGTATCAACAACAAACCACCTTCGGAAATTAATGGTAAGCGATATACGGACTAATTCATTAGTATTCCTTAATAACAATGATCAACTCAATTCAAAACTAAACAGTTTTTCTGGTATTCTTAAGTTTTCTTTGCTAAGACATACAAAATAAATTTTGAAACATCAGAATAAAAAAGCTTTTAAAATAATTATAATAATCGTATAATTTTTTTGAAAATGACACTAAATAAATAAGTCAAAAGAATAAACAAAGAAAGTATCAGACAGTTCTGCGTTTGAAAATTATGCCGATCAGTGTTTAATCGAACTTATTACAACTAGTCGCATATAATAAAGAGTACAAGATCACTTAGCAGGGTCTTATTTATCTATCTAGTTTTAAGGAGCTTAAAGTAAGGAGTATTTTAAAAGTGTAACAATAAAACAGACGCGTGCGACAATATATTTTAAAAAATAGTTTTATTGTATTAGAAGTGTTTACAGTTGTTTACTTATGGTTGCGTTACACATAACCTCAATCAATCGGAAATGTGAAAGCATAAAAAAGCGTTTCGCGTTTATTTGCGTTGTCAAATTATTTACCGTGCTCAATGCAAAACTTCGCAAAGACAACAACATAACTGAAGTATTCCCAGACTGAGGCGTTCGTTCGCCTATCGAAGATCCGTATGAACCCGGCTTTAGAGTATTGCGCACGGCAACAGCGCATGTGACAGGTGCACCAACGGGTACTGTCAGAAATCAAAGCAGGGATATTTATTGTTACCAAGGCAGGCGTCTTGCTGTTGTCGTCCGTCATTTTGTTTTCGTCGTTAAACGCGGTCTAACGATGTATATCTTATTGTTTTTTGCTTTGGTCCTGATCGCTGAATATTTGAGCCGCCGAGCGATGCAGTTCTCTTGTGATCCAACAGTGATGCCGGAGAAAATGTTACTCGATGATAATATGGAGCTATTATCGTTCGAAGGTACGCTCGCAATCCTTTTAAGTACCAGACTCTTATTAGACCAACTTCTGATTCTAGATTTCGGCGATCATATTAAGCTAGACGAGTGCAATTTGATTTTCTGCACGTGGGTGCTCTGGAAATTCTGTTCCATTCTCATCGCCATCTATATAATACTGAGATTCTCTTTATACTAAAGCAAGCATCGAACCCAAGTCAAAATTGTAGATGCTTCCACGGTCCAGCCGACAATTATTTAGTTAATATTATATTATATATATCAATCGTTCCCAATGTCATAATAGAATGTTTTCGTTTGATATAAATAAATGACAATGTAATGCACGAATGTCGTTTTAATTGTGCTCCTGCGCTTAATGGTACCAAACAGGAAAAAGAAATAATAAAAGTATCTTTAATAAATGGTTACAAATATATTTTTTATTAAATCTGTCGGGTATATATTGAGGGCTGAGTGCCCCAATATCTCTACTTGGGTTTGTTTGGTTAGTTCAATATTTTGTATAATCTTGTTATATAACTTTTATGGTTTCAACATAATTGATAAGCGAGTTCATAATAAGTTTGAAAACATTTTCTATACTACACTTTCCATTTTGAGAAAAAATGCCTGTTGGCGTAGTAAGGACGTTGATTATATACACGCACCGAAATTTCTCGTTGGTTTCAAAATTCGTGGATATTTGTATAAATTTTGATTAACAAACTATGAAACTATAAACAAAAAAACATTAGGCGTTTATTTTCACCAGGCTAACAAGAAACGCACATTTTTTATTTTTTGCCCTGCCAGTTTGTTTATTGTACATGTTTAAATACGCGTTTATAATTAAATTCGTAGTTTATCGTCAGTAAAACACATTTGTGCAAGGTCTAATAAGATGGGAATGAAAAATATGTCATTATGTATAATTCCGTTTATTTAAGATTTGTTTAAATAAACAAACATTACCGCCTTAGAAAAATAGTTTAATCATTCCCAATACGAACGATTAATGTTTCGACGCGGTTACGCTGGATTTGCGAATAAAGGTCACCTAAAGTAGTCAAAATACGATCGAATTTCGCATTCCCAAGTAGAACGAATAATAAGAAAAGAGAAATGAATTACAGTTTCCCATGCGTCAGCTTTATTCAAATCGCTACAGATTTTTCACGACATTAAACATCAGTATGATCGGTAACAACGCCGTCAGCGATATGGGAACAAGAATTATCAATATATACAGGGACACATAACAATAAAACACACTTGTCCGACTCAGTTTGCATATTATATGCGTATACCAAAAGTTATTCTTCAGGCTGAATCCGACCCCCTTATGTGCGACTTTGTTAGAGTTTTATGAATTCGAGATATTGCAATAAAACGGCAGTAAAGAATCGAACTTAAGGAAATTTAGTGATTTATATTTCGCTTTTTTTCTCGGTTCTTCTCACAATCCGAGTTCACATCAAAACTCAATTAACGCTACGTAGGGTACGAGTCTTTTTTCATTTCAGAAGGTTCTCCGGGTCTACTGACAATGCCGCTTTGTCGTAGCGGTAGGGATGATCCGTTGCCAGAAGAGAAACCGCTCAGAACAACGACCCCAGACAGGGTGCATCACCACCTCTACGGTCATGGTGTGTGCAAATGGCCCGGTTGTGAAGCCATATGCGAAGACATCCAAGCATTTATCAAGTAAGTGAGCGGGTTTTTGTGTTTATTGAAATCCGAGACAATCGCGAATTGAAAGAGCGAAGGGGTAAAATGTTAAACCGAGAAAACCAATGATGACACAAGGCGTCAAAGTCAACATTAATTTTGGTTTATATTTAGCATTTTATGAGGTGATTAATATGTAAAAGAAAAGGGAGGGGGATTAAGTGAAACACCAAATTACAATATTTTCGCCGTTCGGGTGACAAAAGAAAAACCGACCTGGAATAAATTAGACAAGACTTGGGCGCTTTAAAAACTCTAATTATGCCATGTTTAATTAATATGCAAGGCGTTTGATTGCAGCGTTGTCGGATTTAAATGTTAATCTCCCGTTGCTTTTATTACTTTCCTTACCCTTAGCCAAAGAAAAAGGAAAATTGTGGTTAGCAAATTGACAGCCGGTTAAAATCTTTTCGCTGTTCCTGAAACCACATTCTGATAATTAATTTATAAAAGATGTTTGTTTTCTTAATCTTCGTTCAGAAAAACTAAATTTTAAAACTAAAATGTATTATACCATTGATGTGTTTTGGTTAGTTAGTAAAATTCAGACTGTTAAAGCTTTTTTATATGAAATTGCGACTCATTAAATTTTATTATCTCTCGAACAAAAAAACTTTACAAAAAATATAACTAGACTAGACCAACGATTAAAAATTATTTACAGAGTATTCCTTGTTTAAAATAAAGGGTAGTTTGTTATAACGATATATTGCGCAACAAATTGGGTGGGAAAATGTTTTTATTTTGTAACTTAATAAAATAAAACAATAAATTATTACCGAAGTATTACAATTATTCAAACACTCTCTGCCTATTTTTTAATTTTTTAAAAATTAGTTTTGGAGGATGGAATTAAATTAATTTGATAGGCGGTTTTATTGGAAACTTTTTGTCTTCTGCATTTTTTTTATCAAACTTACATAGCATTGCATGTCAAAAAATATATATATATTTTATTTTATTTAAAATAATTTTGTAAGGTGCTGCCAGTTGTATTTTGTACCGACATTTATCAATTTATTAATAAATATTTTTGAAACTAATAAAACAATAATAAGAAACGCTTTGAGGAGTGGCTGCAACCTATTAGATTTTTTTATAAAAAAAAATTTTATCTGCATTTGCACTGATTATATATATTTGGAAACGTGAAGTAGTATGAAAAAGAGCAGGAGGCAAAAGTTTCTAAATAAAACATGAAATGAAAAATATATATTTTTTAAATAAAATTTGAAATAAGGCAGTGCGTTTGAATAATACTAATAATAATGTTAATAATTATATTATTTGATTATTTTTGAATTACAGTCATAATTTTTTTATATAAATGATTATCATTGATAACCCATTTTTCGTTAATTTTGGTTATTATATTGATTAAAAAATACACTGCATTTTCGTCTTAGATTAGAATTCGCCAAATATTGATATCTATCAGATTATCACTCAAACAGGTGATTGCCCGAATTTTTTGGTTGGGTGCCAAAACGTTAGTTACTCTTGGAAAACTCCCGAAGTTCTTTTTAAAATTTCTCCAGCTATTTTTAATCAAACAATAAGCGATCGATAAGTCATTTGCCGAAAACAAACACAATAAATTCGTCCCGTTAACAGTGTATCAACATCGTAAACCTTCCTTTAACTATTAATCGGAAAAGAAACTATTTAGAAGATGCGCTAAGAAAGGGAATCGCTTCGAAAACAAAGTAATTATATAATTTTATGGTATACTTTATGCGCCATCGGTAATATTCTATTCTTCTTTTCTGTCTTCCGAGCGTTTAAAGTTTTGCCGCATTGTAAGCGTATCTTCGTTGTTTCCAAATAGAACGATTTCAAATTCCACTTGCAACAACTTCCTTTTGTCGAACGAAAAATATAAACTAGATTAAATAAGTTGAACGATTGCGAATAAGGAAAAAAACCTCTTTGACACATTTGACAACCTATTTCCTATATTATTTTTCTTTATTTGCCTGGAGTCACTAAACTTTGTAACCGGAATCACCTTACTTATAGTTTTACGTCAATTCCAGGCATTTAAACACAGAACACATCCTAGATGATAGATCAACCGCTCAAGCGCGTGTCCAAATGCAAGTAGTGTCGCAATTAGAACTCCAGTTACAAAAAGAAAGAGATAGATTGCAAGCCATGATGCACCATCTCCATTTATCAAAACAAATGGGGTCCCCAGACCCCCATAAAGACCCAACCGGTGCATCGGCTGGTAAAATAATCCCCGTTAGTTCCTCCGTTCCTCAGCCCCCCGTTTCGATGGGTCCCATGGTTTCCGCCAGATCACCGGTCCTTCATTCTCCAGCAACCAATGCGGCTGGACCAATCAGGAGGCGTCTTAGCGACAAATCGGCACTGTCATTAGCTGGAGGTAAGTGATTTGACGTTTAGGGTTCTCGAATGGTTTAAAGGTGAGCCAATTTTTTCCATGCTGCTAAAAGGCTTACCGTATATGCTAGAAAGAGCTGGACTTGATGTTCAACAAGGTATTAATTCATTATCGCATCAACAAATTAGAAACACGACATTTTACAAATATCCCCATTTGCAAAAACAGGAAAGTAACGAAAGTCTTATTGCAGAAATCCAAAGAAATAGAGAATTTTATAAAAACGCGGACGTCAGGCCACCATTCACCTACGCGTCGTTAATACGTCAGGTACGGTACATGCCACCAAACTAGATGGTTTAATTAATAACGAAGTCTGTGATTTTAGTCCATCATTGAATCGCCAGACAAGCAACTTACGCTAAACGAAATATACAATTGGTTCCAAAATACGTTCTGTTATTTCAGGAGGAACGCAGCCACTTGGAAGGTATTTAATATTTCTCTTTCAATTATTTGAAACCTCGACTAATCACTTAAACGTGACGATGAAACTACGATACTACTTAATAGCGTAATAATTAAAACGTAAAAATAATATATTCTGTTCATTTGTGAGCTAATTCGGTGAACGATGTCATGTATTTTTCGGTAAAGTACATAACCTACAGTTGTAATTTTTTTGAATATTTTACAGGTGTATCGCTTATAGCTTGCATGCGATTTTTCTTATCATTTAGGGAGGTTTGCGTTTAAATATATTTTTTTTGTTTTATTTTTATTTTATAACCCAAACTTTTATTTATTTTAAGTTATTTATTACTTTGGAAATTTGAAACCCACAGAATACTGTCAACTTTAAATGATAACCGCCATAACCGGCATTTGTACATTCATATCGCTAAAAATAAGTCATCTGTCCTGAAAATTTACTGTAAAAAAAACACTATTCATTTTTTTAAATACCAGAATATCTCATATGTTCGTTAAAATATATACATTTATCTAAATAATTTATAGAGGGTTCCTCAATATAAATAACCACGAAGCACCTATAACTTAATATACGCACTGGGGTCCTTCTTCCTCTAGCGGTTTAGACCGAAAATGTGAAATAAATTAAAATATGTCCCCAATATTGTCCTCGTTTATAGTATAATATTTGCTTTTGCGAACGGATAAAAATTTTGGTTATTAATGAACCAAAACACATAGCCCTTATCGCTAACAAAAAGCAAGGGTGGGAAGAAAATATATGTGAGCATACCGAGCATTTTGGAGCAAACCCACACCGACCAGCCTTTGATGAAACGAGATCATCTTTCCGGCTTTTTTTAAATTTTTATGTCTTGACGACAGGATTAAAAAGTGATGAAAGAAATTACACGGCATCAATAGCTTCCCAACTTCTGTACGTTTCTTGGGACGCTCTCTTGATTCCTTTCAAGACCCTAATAGCGATGGAGGACGAATATTATTACGAATATCCATTAATATTCTGTGGGTTTTGGAAGGTCGCAGCTTGCAAACCAGCGATAGGCGCATTGTTTATTCGGAGGTGTTTGATTTGTTGTTAGAACGCAGTTCGCCACAACCTGTCCCTCCACAAATGTTTCATGCGCGTGGAGAATGTTAAAGGAGCGGTGTGGACCGTTGACGAGGTGGAATTCTACAAGAGACGACCCCAGAGGTGCTCCTCGGGGCCGTTGGCCCAACCAGTCGTCGGGTACGTCTCCAAGGCCCGGTGCACTTTAAAAAAAATTCAATTTGTGTGTTTTGTGATTTTTTACATCTCCTTTATCTATTTTTACATTTTACCTTTTTATATATTTACTATATATTTTTTTGACTATCATTAACCATTTTGGCTTGTGTGGCGAGAATGTGTGAAAGTGTGTTTAGCCGGTTCAGTAACCGCATGGTCCGCGCAGGCGCCAGCTTGGGCTACTAACTGCGACGGCGATTGTATTGATTCCAAAAAGGACTTGGACGAAGGTATCGAGGTATTCGTTAAAAATTAACAAGTCGTGACGGCGACGAGCAAATAGTAAATGACCTTGACTTGATTGTTGTCTTTCTCTTTCTTGGGTCTGGGTGTGTAGAATGCGATTCGCACCAATCTGTCACTCCACAAGTGTTTTGTGCGCTACGAAGACGACTTCGGGTCATTCTGGATGGTGGATGATGCCGAATTCGTGAAGCGTCGCCACCTGTCCCGTGGCAGGCCACGGAAATATGACCCAACCCCATCACCCACTCCACCCCACTGCGCACAGTAAGCACCCAAAGTATAAAAAGAAAAACAAACGCGTCTCGCGTCGCGTGACGTGTCGCCATGCCGTGTGCTGCTGTCTGCTCGGCTCGTTTTGCTTGTCTTTTTTTTGCTCAAATTCGAAATCTCGCTGACCGCTGCTCACCAAACTTCATCCGAGACGATACAAATTCACCTATCTCTCTCTGTTGCTCTCTCCCTCCCCATTGTTCTGTGTCTTACTCGCTCACTCTCTCTATTTTCTTTTTCTTTCTCTCCAAATGACCATTTCCAAAAAATAAAGGTAATAAAATTCGTAAAAGTTCCTCGATCACAAAGCGGCCAGTGAGATTCGTGCTCAACAACTAACACAACACAGATCGATGTTATAGCTTTGTTGTTGTTTTTTTTTACTTATATAGAATCGTGGCCGTAGTCTGAGTTTTAGAAACTTTAGATTCTTATTTAGTTATTAGAATAGTTTGCCGATTACTTCGATAGTCGCGGGCCTGCCCCAATTCTCAAGACAAATATACCTTATACACCACACAACTCAGCTTTAGCTTGCCTTTACAATTTCATAAATTTTGCATGAAAACACGGCCATTTGTGTAGGTACTTTAAACCGAATTTTTCTTCACCTCAATTTTTCTTATGCCAATCCCTCCCACTCTCTCTCCCTGCCTGTCTCTCTTTTTCTCTATCCCTCCCTCGCCCTCGCGATATTATACATTGATATCGTTTTAATTTGATATATTGCTCTTTTAATACACAAACATATACAGGCCTAATTAACCAATAAAAAAAATTCAACCATTTATCAATTATGCGAAGAGGGAATCTTTAATGTTCTTTCATCCATTATTATATTGAAAAACCCATGATCTTGGAAATTGAACTCTGGTGTTTCAAATTGCAGCAAGGCTGCGTGTAGGCGAAGCTGATAATATCCTAATTTTCCGTCAAAAATTGAGAGTACCCTTCGGAAAAATTGCGGTAAAACTATAATCAATAAGTGTACCAGAAAAAAAACACCAGCGCACTTTTTTTGTGGAGTACTCAAAATGACCGAAACCAAAAATTTTATTTAAAAAACGCAAAAAATGGTGTCAAGGCATCGGAAACTTACCAGAACCAGAAGCTCATATATAAAAATCAAATCAAAAACCGGAAATTTCAGTTACCCGCAATTTTTCGCAAATATATTGTGTTCGCATATTATTAAACTATGCAACTATGCCCCACAATTTTTAAACTCGCGGCCAATCCTCCAAACGGGCTAAAACTTCAGTTCAGTTGAGCATCTATCAAATATCCCACAAATACATACCTGTCATACGTGCGAATTCCAGAATTGCTTTACATCGGTTCAATCAAATCTGTCGCTCATATTTGCCGGGAACATGTAAAACGTGTGTATATATGGCGAAATAGAAAAGATGAAACTTGCTACGAAAAAATAAACAGTAGAAATTACATACGACATGTGACCTGCTCTCTGTTCCAGTCCGAGTTCATGTATATGTACATCCCCCAAAATTTGCACGTACAAAACACATACAGGCGGCTGTAAAAATGCGATTTTAGATCGTAGAAAGGTACAGGGTCGGCCTAAGGACACGTTCCGATTTCAGTTTGCCCGTTTTTTTGGTATTAAACAGTATCGTTTACAAATGTATTCGGATACTTTTCTATTTTAAACAACTGTGTCACGTCGGTAAATCAATTTTTTTGGCGTAATTTTTTTTACAGTCGGTTTATGTGTCATCCGACCTCAGGCCGGCCCTGAAAATAATCAACATAGTTGAGAGCCGGCTTATGGAATGTTTGGATTAGCGCATACTGTATATCGTACGCGAAATCGTTTTCTACTTTCAATTACACGGTATGACAATTTTAATTGAAACCGCGAAAACGCCGAACGTACAATAATCTGCATTTTATGTCATTGAATGAATGTGAATTTTAGTCTGAAAATGACCGGGTACTGAACTAATCGACCAAATGTAAGAGTTTTTGAACAATTTGGTCCGTTATTCCTTACCCATGTTTTGCTCGCCGTCGAAAGCAATATGGTTAAAGGTAAAATTGGGTACATACTAACTAAAATAGTTTAACTACTTAGATTTTCTTCTCCAATTCCATTTTTTTCCTATTTTTCATTCATCTAAATGTCGCATGTTTTAAACATTTTACATTTTGAGATATTTTTCACATGTTCCTGTGTGCTTTTTAATACTCTTTGTGCAGATTATTTAAATATTTCTCGTAATAAAAAAACACTGGTCAGTCAATCACTACTCCGGACGCCATCGGATGTTTGGGTAAGTGCATACAGGAACATTAAATTTGAGACTATTTTCTTTTCGTCTATTCTTGTATTGCCTTTATTCAAGAAAAACTATTCATTCTTTGACACATCTATTTCTCCAAAATAATAATAATAATAATAATAATAATAATAATTTTTCTTGAATATAAAAATCATTGCTCGCTCATCACTACCATCCCTTGGGTTACACCAACAACGTATCAACCATCGAGAGGTACGTCGTTTTGCCCTTTTTTTCACTTTCCGCTTTTCTCGTTTTCTAAATGTGTTCATTAACGTTCCCAAAATTGTTTTTGAAAAAAATCTTACTTAAATTATATTCCGCTCTTTAGGGGTGCTTCATCCAAAAGCCCTACAATGAATCACAGTCCCACCCTGTATGGAGACCACTTGTCAGCCAATCAGGTAACGTTTTTAAATTTTCCAGCATTACACACTCCTACAACTAATCGAAACTAGTTTATACAGGCCTCCCTTATGGACGAAAATAACTTGTCGTTTTTGACTAATCCGTCTATGATGCCTGGACGGCCAAGAGATCGATCTGAATCACCTCCCCACGATCCTCATATCAGGTAATGTACAACTTCACGCATATCAAAAGATAAATTTTGAAAGAACCAGAGGCTTACTGTGCTTAATTAACAATTACCTTTTTTGCCTCGTTTGAACTTGATATGTCTCAGCTAAATAAAATCCGTTAATTATTTCATCAAGAAAACTAAGCAGGTTGATAAATCAAATCCGCGAGTTGCTTTTTGTTTATTACCAAATTCACCCAATTCCAATAAAAACATTAAAGAGTAAATTAAACTCGACTTCCCTGAATGTTCTTGGTAAAAAGAAAGGTTAATAGGGCCCACCTACGTTGTTTAGGTCTCCGATGAACGGAGGACTACACATAAAGCAAGAACTGGTAAATCAAGAGCACCACTTAGTTAGAGAGCCAGATCAAATGCATCACATGATTAAGAGGGAAATGCATTCGGAATACGAAGACATGGAGCAAGAGCAGCATTCAGAAAACATGGCGGAAGATCTAACCATATCTTCCGATCACACCGAGACGAACATTTTAGACGCATAGTGATTATGTGAGTAAATTAGTGAGTGTGATAAAGACGACTTAAACAAGATCTCGAATTCATAAAAACTACCATGCGCAAACGCCGGATCGATTAGAATAAGTAGTTGATTTTTCCGATTGTCGACTGTGTCGCCACTACCATCAAGAAGCGAGACGACGATACTTAATTTTTGTACATTTATGTGTAAATACAAGACAGTACTGTTATTTGTTTAGGAACGAAGTCAAATATTGATTAGTCAGTATGATTTCTTTATATACAGGGTTATTTGTTATAATATTATGGTGGACTCTATTTTTGGCCAAGCCAGGGACATTTTAATGAAATACTGTTATCGCACCGTAAGATGTTTCTTTTAGCATATCAGTTTTTGCTATGTGCGCGCTATGAGATAGGATGACGGCCGAGAAAGTGCGAAACGTCTATGCCAAATAATAACTGTTCGTGTTTAAAAAAAAAATCGTTGCGCTCATATAGTGATGTAAAATAAGCAATACTGTAAATTATTATCGTTAAGCATCCGTGCTAATATATTTATCTCTACGAGGGAAAAAAAATTATTCCATATCATTATCTAAAATAAAAGCATATATCAGTGTAAAAAATGTAGTTAAAAAACATTTTCGTAATTAAAAAAAACTTTCACTTAGGACATTTCGAAGTATAGACTAAAAGTTCAATTTAATCAGCAATCGCAGTATTTGTATCCTTTCTTTCTCAATATACAGGGGTGTAAATTTAACACGATCTCCTTGATATTTAATACAGTTCTATCAAAAAATTTAAACATACCTATAGTTTTTAGATCAGGTACACTCACTGGGTGTTTAATATAAAACAAAGTAAAAATAAATAACCTAAAATCCAAAATAATGGTATCCAAGCACTTACAGTTGTTCTAACTTAATAACACGCTGTACATCTTATCCAAATCTCTTTTTTGTCCAGCGAATTCTTCATATTTTTCGAACAAATATTATTTGTTACGCGATAAAATTACACCCTGTATATTAATCGAGATGTAAAATTGCCAAATAAATGTACGGACGGGGAGTGTTGAAAAAGTATAAAACGATTCAGTTTGAGTTTCCGGGTTATTGATTTGCGTCACAATTTATGTTAAGTACAAATAGCGTTAAGATGTACTTTTTACACTCGTCGTGTATATATGTGATAGACTCTTTAGTTCTTTGCTTATAGAAAAAACACTTTTAAAAAGTATTTTATAGATTTTTAAAATTTATGAATATGTTTTGCCGAAACGGGTTGAAAATTTCAAAAATTCTGCGTAGGACCATTAACTAGCATAGGTTGCAAAAAGATTGCCTACATATCATTGTAGAAAAGAAACTACTGAAACGCCGATTGATAATACGTTTATTTTAGGGGTGTGTTTTTCAACCCGTTTTTAATCTCGATATATTCCCCTTAGTACGAGATATTTTGAAAAAGGTGTGAGAATAGATGGATTTTTTTTTTACTATTTAAGTTATTTATTGTTAAAACGATGTGAGATATACGTACTGTATGTATATTTATATGCTTAATTAACGATTTGAGATAACATTTTTTAATCGGAAGTTTCTACCAAATTCCTTTGAACGCAGTTGGTCTCAGTCGGTGAAAAGAAAGTTTGAACAGTATATACTGATTGGTTCCCTTTTAATGTTATATTTTTTAGTTATACCTGGGGACATTTTTCTTATATGATTAGCAATTTTAACATTGTTGTACCGCTCCTTCTCAGATTTTTCTATAAACAAAAAGGGATACTACTTCAGAATAAGCTTTTATATTTAGAATTGATCACGCATACAAATTTTTCTTGCCAAACTCCTTCAAAGTTATATGTTTCGATAACACCTCAACTCGTGATCAGCTCTGAAGCAGTTATTATTGTTTTATCCGTCCTTGTATTCCTTTTGTTGAAACGCATTTCTCTCAGCGAAATTATGTTCATCAGTTAACTTTTGATATATTTGTTTGTAAATACAATATAGAATTTTTTATATCTTTTGAAACAAATTATGCCTACTTTTATGACATGGTATTCCCAAAAAGTTGTAACTTATTACCGATTATTGATGTAAAAGTAAATAAACCAAAAATTAAGAAATTACATTTTTATTTTCGACACACTCTATCCGAAATATCTTCATTTGCAGCAACTAGGGCCATCTGTGAAACAGAGTCGTAACTTTTGTAAGCCAAGGCAACGAAATTGAACATTTCGCAGCTGTCTGTTCTATCGAAGTTCCTTGAAGTGGAGATAGAGTTGGTTTACCTGGTGCTTAATAGATGATGTGTAAATCATACGCCACTGATCGAACCTTATAAATCTTAGACACACTAGTCAGCAATTTTGTAGTTAACTTAAAAAACAGTTTAAAAAACCCATCGTCTCTATGGGTGTGTGTACCAAACTTTTGGATCACCGAGTATACATCAATAAATTCTCATTATATTAATAAAAAAAAGACAAAACGATAATTAATATACATTTTCTGACAAGTATTTGAAAATATTTTTAAATATCTAAAAATCGGTATTTTGTTGGTAGAAAAATCGCTATCATCTTCAGTTGTCGAATGTCAAAATCTACTAGAAATTTTCTAGAGGCCGATTTAGGTAGAATTTACCTGAAAAACCGCAAATTCAGCACATTTAATAAAAATTGCTTTCTCCATCGATCGATTAACTAAAATTAATTAAAACTTCCGGAGAGCAACCCTATGGTGTTTTTTACGTCTTCTAAATTATTGACCAAAAGGCGGAACGATAGAAGTGCGCGCATGGCCTTTAGGGTACTCTATTTTGATTTATAAAGTTCTTAGGAGAGTTCTCATTTCATTCACGAGTTTGATGACGAAATAAGGTAAGTTTTGTTTGAAACACCCTAGTTGCCTTTTATGTTGTTTGCAAAGCTATTACAGCAATGACGTTATTTATTGTTTTTAGTGAACTCTTGTAATAATAGCATTCGTTTAGCCTCTGCAAAATGGCAACGCCTTTATCGTAACAATTTGTGTTTCAACACGAATACGTCGTAATTTCTAGTCATTGTTATGCTCCATACTCCACAATCTTAACCCATTTTGAAGGAGTACCAGATTGATTATTTGATATAAATGTCGATTGAATAACTTATGCAACAGGTTTTTTCAAAATCTAAAAAAATATTGTCTAGGAAGGAAAATTCTGCTTTGTCTCTAGCGTTCTTATTTAGTCTCCATTTTATTATTTCGCTTTTACTTGTTTGAAATTGGAATAGAGGAGGAAATCTCAACATAAATCTAATTGTTAAAAAATGACCGACGCAAGTGTCCTCGTCATATTTAAAACTCCAGTCACTAAAATATTTAATTCATAGAAATGGGTAAATATCAAAGTAAAATTGGTAAGAGCAAACTTATTAACAAAATTCCCAATATTTTATATAGAAGTTCATGTCAAAGGTAGGGTAGGGCTCCCAAACCCTATTATTGAAGTCAATATAGTATTTTGACTAAACGAGTACTTTTAGGCACCGATAATTCATTTATCCTCCGGAATGGGTACGATACAGGTGATCTTATTATTAATAACTGTTATCAATTTCGGAGATCCCGCATTTGGGCAAAGCGACTCACTAAAAAGTGCACTAAATGCGATAGATCGACGTACAAAAGATTTGTCGGAATATGAAGACGAATACGGTTATTCAGTTGACAGACCCGATGATACAGTCTTCCTAAATAATCCAGGTATGTAATAATAAGCTGCAAGTCTGTAGAGTAAAAATAATCACGAAACACGAGTATAAGGGGGGGGGGGGGGGGGTGAAAGTAGAGCCGGAAATAGTACCCATACAAAATATTCCATTTCTAATACCACAGACATCGAAATAATCATTTCAAAGAATCATTTATTTGTAAGTACACCAAAACCGTCATATTTTTAATTTTAACTCCTGAAGATAGAAATTCATCAGATTGTTGAAAACTACATTACGCAAAATAAAAAAAAAAAACAAAGCAAAGAAATATAAATATTTTATTTACAATTGCGTCGGTTGTTTATAAATCGAACTTGTTGACGTTTCACCAATCATCCTGTTGAATTCTTCAGAGCTTAATTGAAACTGAAACAGTTATCAGTATCAGCTGTGAAGAAGCCAACAGGATGATTGGCGAAATGGCGGCAAGCTTGAAGAATCGAGATTTGTAAATAGTATTGCAGTACCCCGTGGTAAAACTTGTTAAAAAGGTGGTGTTCTAATTGGTGTCAGTAAAAGGACCCAACAGGACCTATGAATATAGCAACAATTTTTGCAGCAGATCGCAGATTCGACAGAGCCGAGCCGATAGGAAAACCTTTAGTCGACTATTTAGACGATGATAGTTTTGAACCAGTCACCAAACGAATTTCGACTGCATTCAGAGAGAGGCTGGAAGAAGATAAACAAAGGCAAATGGAGGAGTTGGCCAGAAACCTATTATCTAATCTTGAAACCAATACAATAGCCGGTAATTCTATTGCGCATATAACATCGTTAAAAAAAATATTTTAGTAACTTGCTTTAACCCCAGGCAACGCTGATGATGATTACCTCCGTCAGCTGTGGGAAAGATACTATGGAAACGAGGTTAACTCTTACAATTACGCAACCGGTCCAGTCAAACGTTATTATCCTTCTTACGGCATAGAAAATATTGGACTTAGGAAGCGGGGCAGATATGTGGAGAACGACGATGAACCTCTTTATACCGTAAGTATGACGTATCCCTAAAAGAAAAATTGCTTGATGCGTTTTTATTTATTTTATGCTTAGCATTAACTAAACTGTGATGCGGAAACAGCTAGGATATTGAGCTTCTGAAATAGCAATATCGAGTTAGTTTATCGTTTGTAATTTAAGAATATTTCCTGTCGAGTTAACCTGAAAAACAATAACGTTCACTGGGAGGCTATAAGAAGAAAGGTTTATGCCGTATTTTTATTCGCTAACGGATTTGATTACGACAATTCAGGAGAAATATTTCTGCATTTGATCCTTGATAATAAAAATTATGGGGATTCGTTTTATGTCGCTAGCGTATTATATAACAATACAATCCATAGCTTATCCCCTTGCATGTATTTACAGCTGAACTGTAGAAAGGTGATCTATGAGTATAACACCAATGTTGTAGGGTCTAATATGTAGATTTAATATTACCTAGTTTTTTATGTCCAAGATGTGCCAAAAAATCATAGTATATCAAAGTAATATATTTTTTTAATTGTATATTACTTCGTAAAAAGAAATGTACTTTTACGCTGTTTTAAAAAGTAAATAACGTGTTATAGTCGTTTACATTAAGGCCAGAATCATCCAAAAATATAATCGTCACTTAGTGGACCATGCTTCGTCATGGCGTCACACCAACGCCAATTTTGGTGTTTAATTATGACAGTTATAGCATATCTTGAATATTATTGTTGTTCAAAATTGAAAAATGCAAATAGGGAGACAATATATGGAAATACACAGGGAAAGGGCATACCATGCAAAAGGGCATTTCAAAGAAACAAAACTTGGGAGAGGAAAACTAGGCAGTCCAGATAAAGATTTATAAACTTGCTATTATATGTATTACTTAAATAGGTTTGTTAAACAACTTGCTTGGCCAAATTAAATTAAATTCCATACTGAGTTTTTGAAAAATTTGGTGAACTTGAAAAAAATAAATTCCATTCTTTTAAATTTACCAAAGTTCAGCATTTGACTGGAAAAAATAAGCCTCAGCGATTAGCATTCTGTAGACATATGTTGATTAGTGATCCAGGATTTTTGCATAAAATAGAAACAAACATACAGCACTGGTCGGTAGAAAAATCTGAAAATGATTTGTAAGTTAAAAGTTTGGTGTGGTTTCAAAAATAGCAAAATGATCGGACCGATTTTTCATAACCGTCCGGAGAAACCTAATTAAAAATACGGCGCAATATACTGTTTTGTGGGGGTATTTAAAAAACAAAATTTATTTGGGGCATGGTGGCAACATGGATGACATTAAAGAATTAATTATTGATTGATTGAACTAATTATTGATAATTGAAGTTACAAAGAGAGTATCAACTGTGTATTCAGTAAAACGGAGGACATTTTTAACATTAAGTGCCACATTCCTAGTCAATAAATTAGTGTTTATATATTTGCATTATCTATACATTTTTTATGTAATATATTCCGCTCGCCCTATTTGCATTTTTCATATTCGATATTTCGAATGTTTGGTCCATTGAATTATTCATTTTTGACGAATAGTATTCAAGAAATGCTACAACTGTCACAATTAAACAAAAGAAGGTCGGCTAAGTGACGATTTTGTTGAACGTTATATATTATTGAAATAATATACACGACTTACAATTTTAAAAAGTATAACCTCGACATGTTGGGCACACCTTGTATATAAATAAGGGTGTAATATTAAATCCACACATTAAACTCTACAGGTTTTCCATTAAACTCTTTTTTCTAAAAAGTAAAATAAAAATTTAGAGCGGTAGCATTTATATCACGTTTTAGACTTTTATTTGTTTTAAAGCGGAGCAGGATTTATCTATCTAAAACTCGGGCAATTCATTTAATAGGTGCACCACCACGTTCCCAGAGACGATGACACAGATTACCAAGTGAATCTTAGAAATCGATATTTGCAAAGGGCGAGCAACTTCGGCCAACCGCGTTACCCGCATTCGAATAAAAGGTTCTCTGTCACGAAACGATCGAGCAATTACATACCGGGTGAACGCAAACGATCGGTCAAAAAGCAAACCGACCCGAAAGTCGAAAAAGACTTGAGCAACATTTTCGGCAAGCAAAAAAGCGACGACGAGAAAAACGCTACTACAGAAAAGCCAAAACTCGAGATAAATCACGAAGAAGTTCTCAAGAATGTCGAAAAGAAAAGCGTAAATAAAGAAGTGGATATTAATAAGGAAGTGTTTTCTCCCGTCGATACGCCCAATAATAAACCAAAGCAGGCGCAAAAAAAAGCCATCGATTGGTCAGATTATTTTGGTCTCGATAGACGTAAGAAATCCGAAAATAGCGGCTTAGACAAAGAATGGTAATCTCAGTTTCCATTAAGTCCTTTCTACAAACTGATGGCGATCTAATGTATCGTTTTGTAGGCTGGTTGAACGTTTCCATAAAGCTGTTGCCATAACTGCCAAGAAAAGAAACGCCGAACCATTGCAATCCATTCGGAATCACGCCGCAAAAGGAAAAAAAGAATCCAGTGGTTTGTCACATCGTGCTAATTTATTTCGATAATTCTAGTACGACGTATTTTGCAGATACGAACCAATTGAAAGAAGAACAAAGAATCGAAGATATCGATGCCAAATTGAAAACCATGGAAGATAAAATCGTCGACGATGCATTGAAATATACAGGAGCCCATCAAGATGACGGCGATTCTAGAGAAGTAAAAAAAATATTATGTTTTTAGGCATTCAAGCTGCCACATTTATCATTTTTGATGCGGAAATTAGCGAATATTTTTTTCAGATACAAGAAGTTAAAGACAACATAATTTCTCGTCTAGCGGCCGCTTACAGTTTGGAAAAAATGCGCAATGCCTTAGAAGAGTACAAAAACGCCATTGCCAATGAAAAGGCACGATTGAAGCAAGAAGGCAAATTATTTGACGACTATTTATATGAAGAAAAGCGCGTGTCTGTGCCTAGAAAAGAAGCGGTCGATGACAGCAGAGATACAACTGATGGAGATAATAATATCAAATGTACATCGTCCGAGGATTGCCACGAACAAAATTACAAAACTCCCGCCGAAATTTTGGATAGTCACTTTGCCAATATAGGTAAGAATCTGCAGTGTTTTTGCAGTATTTACAGCACAATAACGTAATTGTTTAGATCAATGTCCAGCAATTCAAAGAGCTTGCAACGATGTAGCCTCAATTATGGGTCATTTTGGTCACGTGTTCGAGAGAGCATGCAATATCCACCAGATGTGTCTCCTATGCGTAAGTTCCCACGTGTGGCGACAAATGAAAAATCATAAATTAAATTACATAAATACTGTTTACAAAACTTCTGGATTCCTCCCTCCGTCGGTTTTTGCCGAGTCGAAATTGCTGACGTTTCGCCAATCATCCTGTTGGCTTCTTAAGAGCGTGACTGAAACTGAGCAAAAACCGACGCAGCAGGAATCCAGAAGTTTTGTAAATAGTATTACAGTAGCCTGTGGAAGTTTCTTTGAAAAATTATAAATTAAATATTTTTAGAGCGATAATAGTTGGTTCTCTCCGACTCGCCAGTGCAACACGCTATTCCTAGATAAGGCATACGACTTGTGCAAAGGCAAAGAAGAATGTCAAAAAGAGGCCCAACGTTCCATTCGTTATATGTTAGATATTAACAGGTCTCTTCAAGCCCAATCTTCCGTGGCAGAAGAATGTGAAATCGCATGCCCGGATAACCATCAGCCGGTATCGCAATAACTGTCATTTTAAGGATCCTTATTGTATACCGAGATTTTAAAGCATGTCAAAACAAATCGACTTATGTATCTTCCGTCTGTCCTTCAAAGTAAAAAGGAACACTTTTCTAGCTCTGTGTATAAAAAAAAAGCATTATCATTAAAATTTAGAAAACAGAATAATTATAAATGTCTAGCTGTTGCTTTCAAAACTGTTAACTGTTAAATCTGTAAGGTAAGATCGCATCGCTTCAAACCCAAAACGAACATCTAACGTGTTTTGAGCGATCAGCAAAATGAAGTAATTTAAAAAATATCTTTAAATTTTAAAAAAAGAATAGAACACGACGTGAAAAATTGTATATCGATGTACTCATAGTTTAGAAAAACACAATGTACTAGGAGAGAATTTTAACAGCGAGTTGCGAAGATAATAAAAAAATTATTTTGGTTGGTAAAACGACCTCATTTGCTCTGTAATAATTGTGACAATAATATATCAAATCCAGAATATCAATTCATTACAGGGTTCCGATTGATTATTAAAAAATGCGGTCGTTTTGAATGGTTTATTTATAACGCGAGGAGATTGAAATGACTGTTTCTAGACTATACTATTTCAATATATTTTAATGGTAAAAATACTGTTTGTTTCATTTCTCAACCAACTGAGCGAATATTTCCCTTACATTGTCATTCAGTTTCAGTTGAACGCAATTATCTCATAAAATGGTTAACTGAAATTTGCTTAAACTAGACGAGACTCACGGGTTTGAAAAAAATCCCCCAGAAAGTATACATTCACTATAAAAAAGATCCTAAAGTAATTTTCAGCAAATATTGAAATAAATAAAACTTAATTAAACGTTTAGTATATTTTTTCTCCAAAAATAATTTACGGTGCGGCGTCTTTGGTTTTTTTTTCTCAATTAATAAAGAATTTGTTCGCAATCGTCGGAAAGTAGTTTACTTAATTTTAACGTCGCTCAGCTTCACAAGCCCGAAAAATGATTTACCGGTATCAAAAATGGAATACCGGTCGTGGGATAAATCAACTATGTTGATCGTATCGCCTTCCGCAACATAATCGACACCCGCTGTGTAGCACGTATTGCCTTTGGTCAATCTTTGTTCCGAATGGGCCGCAACTGTGCACATAAGAAGTTTTTGGTTATTTTTCTCTATGGCGTATCCGTTCCTGTCATGTTCGTCCAAATAATAAATCTAAAAGCACAACTCTGCAATAGTGACTCAATTATTTTCCGAAATACCCACTTGAGCATAGATGAAATATAAACCAGACTCCTTAATAGTTATAGTACCAGCGTCGAAATCGAAATGGTTGTCCATACCAGCCTTGTTTACCCAGTAACTAGGTTTCCAATCCATAAAAGTGCGCTGAAGGTGTCTTATGTGACCATTGCCTTTATAGTGATCGTGCAACTGAATGTTGTACTTCGAAGTGTCACCGTTAAAATGAATAGCTGGCAATTTTACTCTTCCTACTCTCGGATATCTTCTTCGAGATATTTCCTGTTCCCGAATTACTCGAAATTCCGAATCACTATCGCCACCATATTCCTGAAATTATCCAATTTTTCACCAACGTCGCAGACAACACGATCAACTTACGGAAGAATGGTCCAGCGATTTCAGTAGTTGTTTTTTGACCGGTCGAGACACAGTGCTGGACTGACTGTTTACTCGAATCACTGATGAATTTGGCACTAGCTTCATTTCTAGCGTATCGTGTCTGGAAAACGCAGTTTGGCAACAAATGGAAAATGACATGAAAATTTTACCTTTCGTGCGATCCGGACGTTACTTGAATACCAGGAAATACATGTCCGTTTATCTCCAAAGCACCGTCCGACTTATTTTCAATTTTATTGTAGTCAATAACATTTCTTTTCCCCCTCGATGCCATCGAAGTAGGGTCATTCTATAGAAAATTCGTTTTTTATAAATATATTTGTTGCTATACAAAGGCCATAAATCCAAACAAGCAACTCATAGTGGCTTTCATATTAATGCAAATTAAATTTTGATTAAGCTTAATCAAAACTGAAAATAAATAAACCAATTAAGCATCCCTATTGACCCATTTTTGGAATCACTATGTTTGATGTTCCAACAGACTGAAACTGATGAACAAAAACGAATTTGCATCTTATTGCAGTTTATCTCAAATTCACGGAAGTCAAACCGTATTAACATGTTATCATTGTTTCGATAGGGGAATTTAAGGAATTATTTTTCCAGCCATTCCTTACGAAAATAAATAGCGTTTCAATTAAAAAATTAAAACCGTCTAAAAACTTACATGTACAAGGCAGTTGTCCAATTTAATTTTTAATTCATTTAGCTCATTCCTCAAGGTAATTAAATGGTACGAATTATACGACGTCACAGCACAAACTAACAGGAAAAGCGTAACACAGATACCAAACAAAACTGTCTTTTGCCAGCCTTCGGGTTTTTGTTTGTTAAAAGATTTCATTTTCAAAGACAACCGAACTGGTCAAATTAGAGGCATAGTACTGCTTATCTTTATCTCGTACCATGTAATTTAAATAGATCTGCCGTTTAGTCCAGTCAAATTACTTCTTAATTTGTTTGTCGTATCGCGAGATTGACTATCAGAAAGACTGCTTTATAACCATGTTGACAGGAACCATAGGAGTTAATCGGAGATTGGGATAAAATCAAAATGAAAGCTCATTTTGTGAGTATTATGCTCTTAGCTCGATTTCTTCACAATTCAAATAAACATAACCGGGCTAACAAGGGTCGTCATAAAATGACTGGACGAATAACTTATACCGGAACCTGTCTGCGGTTAATCTTATCTCTTCTGGTCTTCAAGATTATCAATTTTATATACCAAAAATAAGACCTTTAAAACAGCCATAAGGTGTCAAACATACAGTAAAGAAAATGTGATTTTTTTCATTAATTTATTTTTAACAAATAATTTTCGATATTATTGCCAATAAAATGTAATTTTAGTTTTTAGACGATGCCACTTACTTTTTTTTCTTTTTTCTTACTTTCAATAATAGGTAGATATTTTTCCTGTCAGTATTTTTTTCAAATTTTTATTCTTATTTAATCTAAAACAATCTGATGAAATTACAAACTTTTTTTTAGGAGCACTACGTCAAAAAAAGTAATATGAACCGACTCAACAAACCATCTATTTTATTCCTTCTTCCATCTTTAACCAAAAATCCTTAATACAAAATTGTTAGAAACATCAATGTATCACCATAAAGACTTGAATAGCTATCCAGAATAAAAGTGCTCTCGGTCCCCCACAAAAGATGGAATCCACCAGGAAAATAACCTGGGCATGCGCAACCCCAATTCCTTAAAATCGGTTTGCCCTACATCTGTTTCTGTTTATCCCTTAGCCAGACTCGTGCCTATAGAGTGTGGATGTAAGAATGATCCAGTTTTTAACGCCCAGTGGACATTTTGTATTTGTTTTTATTTCAATGCATCGTTAAATGTTTAATTTAAACATAGAGAGAGTGGTTGACATCACTGGCCAAACAAGTGCTTAGAACATGATAGGGTATTTGTCAGGTATGTGTTGCCTTGGAATGTATTGGATTTTAAATCAATGTAGAAAGCTTGACAAAATAACAAAATGATTTATTTTTATTCTATTTTAAATTTCAACAAATTTGAGTCCCAAATTAATTTTGAAAGAAATATTAAAAAATTAACTTGTTGATCGTAGACGTAAAAATTTTTAAAATCATAAAGAACCCTGTTTTCAACACTCCTGCTTTATCCGTGTTTGATTAGAAACAATAACTTTCGAATCGTACGAAGCAAAACGGGCTTCGCGCAGTTTTCATTGTGTTTAAAAAAACACTTTAAACAACAATTTATCTGAATGGAGGAGATGCTATTCACAGTTAATCGTTATTTTATGAGACAACCTCGTAGCTTAAGAATTTGTTTATGTTGCGATTTTGAAATTCGTCGTCGATAACCGCAATAGACTTTGATTACTTTGTCCAACGGCTAATGCATTAGTGTCGTTGAAACGTTTAAATAAGTTGATCAGTTGTAAACACATGCAAACATTGTGCCTTGCCATAATACACGCTTACTTGCATACTGGAAAACAAGCGGCAATTCTAGATTTAAACAAGTATCTAACAAAACAAAATAACTAAACGAAAGATTTATTGAATTTTCAGTTTAATAAGAAGATCGGTTTTATTTTCGGATGCTTGCTGGAATTGAATATCGTGTTTGGACGGATTTGCAGTTTCAGGATGGAACACAGGTATGGATAAGGAAGGATCTCCAAGCTAATTTAATACTTCCTTCCTTATATTTCCAGACTTACGTTGCCGGTGCCCATGTACCATACTGATTTGAATCTCTGGTCAATTTTAAAAAATTGTATCGGGAAGGAACTAAGCAAAATTACGATGCCGGTGGTTTTCAACGAACCTCTCAGCTTTCTTCAAAGAATGGCGGAATATATGGAATACGCCCATCTTCTCAAAATTGCGGCCCAACAAGAAGATCCTGTCACTCGTATCCAATATGTTGTAGGTAAGATTAGTAACAAATGACATGAGTTTAAACTACATCTCTAAATGTATATTCCGATTTAACTGGGACCCGTTATATGCTACCCAAAAAATAACAATCTGTAATATAGAGAACAATTAAAAAGTTCTTAGGACTAATTTAATCCAAATAAATGTGTAAATAAAAATGTTTCACCTTATTAAAAATATGGTATTAAATTAAAAGACGTACGATTGAAAAGCCCATGCGGACCCAATCGACTGGTTTCAAATGTACAGAGTGTCCCGCCTAGAAATTCGGAGTTAAACTCTGTGTTTAACATTATATCTCTTATTTAAAGGCTTTGCGGTAAGTGCTTTGGCTTCCAATTGGGAAAGATTAGGCAAACCTTTCAACCCTCTACTGGGCGAGACGTACGAACTAGAAAGGGAAGACTTCAAAATTATTTGTGAACAAGTCAGCCACCATCCGCCAGTATCGGCGTTCTATGCAGAAACCGCAGATTGGCATTTTCACGGTTCCGTCCATCCGAAACTGAAATTTTGGGGTAAAAGTGTGGAAATTCAGCCCAAGGGCACTCTAACTGTAGAGTTTCCAAAGTAAGATCTGTAAATTGGGAGATAATTTTGTCACTTGTAACTAAGGACTTATGTTTAGGCTAAAGGAGGCTTACACATGGACTAATGTGACTTGTTGCGTCCACAATTTAATCATGGGAAAAATGTGGATTGAACAGTGTGGTAACATGGAGATCGTATCGCACCTGTCGGGTCATAGAGCGCATTTGACCTTCAAACAAGCAGGAGGTAGTTCCAGAGATTTGCATAGGGTCGAAGGTTTTGTTACTGATAAATCGTGAGTACACTGCTCTAGAAAAATTAAGATTGCTCCAGTATACCGAATTACAGCAAAAACAAACTCTTTTACGTATACGGCAAGTGGACGGAATTTATAAAGACCGCACAGTATCACGCGTATGAAGAATACATGAAAGAAAACGGGTACAAGTTTGACAACTCCAAGCCAAAAAGCAGAAGTCCCAACGACTCACCGTCTCACACTTCTAAAAAAATGCTGCAAAAATTTAACAGCCTAAAAGTTGCGCCATTTAAATCGCAAAATTCCACTCAGGAAGTAAGTATACACTAGGATATTTTTCACCATCATTTTAACACATTGATTTAATGTTTTTAAATTCCTATACTAAAAAGATATTAAAAAAATATACAGATTTTAGTCGTATTGTCTGAAAGTACCAGGTGCTCTCTTACAAAAATGTTGCAAAGTTTGTTATCTCACATATAATACCAAGCAAAACCCAACAAACATATACTATTATTGTTAACACACCACTAGTGTAGCTAAAAGCGATGAAACAATTTACAGCCAGATGACTGCGGCAATCAAGATAGTCCGGACGAAGTTCCAAAAGGCGATTCAGTTTTTCAAATCGACATCCCTAATTCTGTAACCATATGGAAAGTGAACCCTAGACCCTTACAAAGCGCCGATGTAAGTACAGGAAAACAATTTGGTAATTAAGGTATCTTTAAAAACTGTTGAAGAAGATTCTATTAACAGTTTGTGTTAGTACAAGGCCTATCATTTCATTGCTGCAAAGAACATAAAATTAAAAGTAATAAATATGTATTAATTGTAATATAATGCGACGGACGTGGTGTTAATTCTAGAGTTCGCTTTAGAGCATGTTTAAGTAACTATCTCACAATCGATAGTGACCATACCTTCCGATATTTTTGACTTAAAAAGTTTGCTATTAAGTTTGCAAAGGTTTGGTGGCGTGAGTGATGAGAGATATAAACATAAAGAAAATTACTCTCCACGCGCCGGTGAAAACTTGATATTCGACATTGGCATTTAAATCCCCCCTTATTACCAACGAATCTTGTTGGGATTACATGAAAAAGATTGGAGACGAGGTTATTATGTTCCAGTACTACCAATTCACTTCTTTCGCCATGTCTTTGAACGAGCTGGAACCAGGAATGAGCCAGAACCTTTGCCCAACTGACTCTCGTTTGCGACCCGATATTAGAAAACTAGAACAGGGTGATATAGATGGCGCAGCGACCGAAAAAACTAGACTGGAAGAAAAGCAGAGAGAAGCAAATAAACATCGCAAATGCAAAAATTCAACTCAGTGGAGTCCAAGGTAATAGCAACGGCATAGTAAAATGGTCCGGTGTTAACGAATGAATATTGTAGATGGTTTCATCATGGAATCAACTCCTATACTCAGCAGGAGGACTGGTTATACAATGGCAATTATTGGATGAGGCAATATTCAGATCCAGATATTTTTTAAATGAAAAAAAGTTGCAACCCGTAGTATTTGCCCAATAAACTATTAGAATACCTCTAGAGGTAGTATTAACAGAAGCAAATTATTGTACTTAAATTGCGTAATAGTATTTGTTCAAAAAATATAAAAGTGTTCCAAAATGGAAGATCGTCGATAGCTGGTTAATAGAGCCAAGTGATATAACTGATGTGATTTGTAGATTGAGTAGAGTTTTTGTGTAGTTCACGCAAGTTGACAAGCAAAGGCAATATCTTCATTGACCATTCAGTATAACAAGTTATCAACATTTTACGTATATAGACCCTTCGCTTATCACTTTGTCTGTATATCTTCCTGTAATTATCAAGAAATGAAGAATTATATATATTGTTTATAAATTAATTCCACCCTGAGCAGTATATTTTTTAAAATGATATAGATGAGAACGCCCTTTAAAAAACGTTCAAGCGTCAATTAGTTAATAATATATTCACAAATACGTAGTGTATCAATTCCCGAGCAATTTCTGTTGAACTACTAAGCTTCAGATATCGATCACTGGTACCAAGAAATTTTAAACATCAAGCAAATAGAACCATGGAGTAAATTTGGGGCACTAATGTTAATAAGGAATTAACGACCTAAGATTTAATGTTTTAAATATCCGATTTGGTACCTTTATAATATTAGAAAGGCAATAATTAATTGTTGATAGATACATTTGTGTGTAGATCTAATGATTATTATGTAATTTGCGGTATATTGGGTCGCCTATTGTCGATTTTAAATTTCCTGTTTGTGCAATTTTGTTCTGTTAAACATTTTTTAGAAATTGTTGATTATTGGTAGGTATTAGTAGCGTAGTAGCACTAGTTCGCGTTTTTTATTAAATACCTAATAAAACTGAATCGAATTGTTGAAACGGGAAAAAGCAGATATTCTGTTGGATACAAACTTAAAGGGAAAATTTAAAAATTGCACAAATCTTATTGTTTGTTGTCCTTTTAAAAATCATCTAGCCCGCTGTTTTTAGAACAGTGTGTGTACTTACTCTATATCCATGAAGAAAATACCCCAAAAATATATGTACCTGCCTAAACGCCATTACAAGTATAACGGTGCTGCATTTCATCTTGACAGTCAATGTAATAATTGGGATCACATTTATTATTTAAAAAAAATAGGTATTGCGCATTGCGGAAACGTTGTCTTAAATAAATAATTTACTCAAATCAAAAATGGTTTTATTTTAACTAGGGATGTGACAAAACAATGAAACAAATAGATATTGTTATATAATTTAGTTAAAACTGATCAAATAAAAGTAACAATGTAACAAGATTATAAAATAATATAAAACACATCACAAAAAACAACACACAAACGTGATTTGATAATTAAAATGTATTCATAAGTAACTAAGCACTCTCGGGAAAAAGTTCGGCATAAATATCTGGATAATTGTCGCGGAAGATGTCCAGCATTCCCAACAGGTCTGAATTTGCCTCTTCCAAGTTGCGAATTCTCCAGTAGTAATAGCTGCATATTTGTGCCAACTGATTCATGGCGTTGATCTGGATATAAGTGACGATGGCGAGAACGGGCAGAAACATCGAAACCCAGGCGTTGATCTTCAGTCCCAAAACTTCATTTGTCATCGGATTAAAGAAGAACAGGAAAATCCGGATGAGATAGTCGAGAATCCAAGAGTCTTCATTGTCTTCATTTGTGACTTCCAAGTCCATCTCCTCCTCTCCGGTTCTCGGCTCTGCGTTGCTCGCCATCTCTGGAACAAATTAAAATTTACTAATTATTTTAATAAATTGAAACTGATATTTCAGAGATATAAAATATTCTAGAAAATTTTGCAAAATCCTAGAGAAAATTAATTAACTTAAACAAAAAAAATCTTATTAAACTACACAATTTAACTTTGATTATTTATAATAAATTCTTTAAAAGTATGTAAAATTCCACTAATGTAAGATGAAAATTTTAAGATTTTATAGACTGAAAAACCCGGACCACAAAAAAACTAAATTAATACCAAAAGTCACTTACCTGCTAATGCGATTTAAAAAGCGATTAGGGCGTTAAATGAGAATATGAATGGAAAATTGCAACGTTATTAGAGAATATATAAGTTCCCCCCCCCCCCCCATGAATCGGACTTGACTCACCTCAACTAACTCATAGTCGCCCTCAAGAAAAAATTTTCTTCAATATGTCTATAAAACGACTTTAACACTATTTAAATAAATAATTTTCCATTTTATCCAATTAATCGCTAATGATTTTAACCCAAGGGGTTTGCAGAAACATATTTTTCTACTAGATTTTCCAAATCATCGACTTAATGAAGTTGCATGGCGCTAGTTCACGTGGGCCACTGCCTTTCAGACATCGGCTCACACGTTTACATGTAACCTAAACCTCGAGATAGCGAAGGAATTTTACATCGATACAAAACCAATTTTTATCAACATCTACAGTCGAAAATGCTTATGATGGGACTTAATAAAACTACAAAAAAATTAATATTAAGGTATATTATACGCATTTTCTTTTTAATATTAGAAAAACACTAGATAATTCAAGTACATTGAAGAAAAGGTAATTAACAAAACGTTTTGGTTCCGTATTTGAAAATGCTTTCCAAATGGAAACATTTAAAAAACAAACAACAAATATTCTTGCGAAACAAAAAACTTCAGTAAAGGTTTTCACAAAACCGAATGGGTAACACGTATTAATAAATAATATGCTGAATAACCAATAAACACCAAGAAAATTTGAAACTTCGAACATTTCAAATGTTCCGCTGCCATTTTAACAAATTTTTGTGATGGTTACTATAGTTCGTTAATTTTACATTCGACTACACAAAAACAACATTAAACACAAAAATCTGAAATTCATAAAATATAAAACGACAAAAAAAGGAATAGTTTCACATATACCACATAACAAAGATCGCTCCAAAATTTAACAATGAAAAACATAAAAAACAATAAAACAGGACATGTATTGCACAAATTAGTTTTTAGTTGTATAGAGGCGTAATATAATATATAAAAATTATGCTTTCGCGTGTTGCCGATTGTTTAATGTACTTTTTGGTATGCTACAATAATAAAATATCTTTTAAACAACCGGTAACACCTTTATCCTAATAATTTACACAGAACAATTTTTTTGAAAGGTCACTTTTAAGTCCAGGTTAGTTTTATTTTTGACGTACCTTCGCGCCTCGTTTTCTCCGTCAATTTTCTCTCAACAGTACAAAAATACGTGAATATTTTTGTTTTATTGATTATATAATACACAAATAATACAAATTTACACTTGTCAAATATTCGCAACTAGCGGTCGTAGTTCCTCCGCAAATATAACCGTCACTTTGTTAGAAACAAACTAATTTGGCTGAAAAGTGGGAATAATAATCGGCATGTGATTATTAATCGTGTTATTGTGAATGAAGGAATGATCAAAAAAAGACATCCCCAACTTATGAGCGTTAGTCATATTGGGATCAGGTACGGTGACGTTGTGAGAATTATTAAAGAAGTTCGTGAACGAATTCAACTCTGGAGGCGGCGGGTTCTCTGAAGAAATGTGACCCGTCTCTTTAGACGAGGCTAGGGTGGCGTTTGCAGGTTTTTGTTGTTCCGTATGAACCCTACTGGCGTGAAGAATCGTCTGGTATCGATGCCTAAACGTCATGTCGCAATGTTCGCAACGAAACCGCTTTCTCGAATGCCTCCAGTAATGGTGAAGCGTCAACGACACTTTGGTATGGTATCTACTTACCCCGGGATTTTTACAAATGTGACACGTAAGTCCTTTACGGGTCACCAATTGGGCCATATATTTGTCGACTAGTTTATTAACGCTGCCGGATGTGTCGGACGACAGGTATCCCCTCCATTTTCGAAGTTTCCCGTTGAGGTGACGCAAAACTTCAACTTCGTCCGAATCCCAATAAGGCACCACCACTTTCTTGGGTTTGCTCTGTTTGCGACACCGTTTGCTTTTGTTCGGCGGATTCAGAGATAGTACGGGCTTAACGTTTAAACTGGTATGTACAACCAAGTGTGCTATAATACTATTTTGATTTTCAAACGAGGCGTCACACAATTTACAAGAATATTTACAAGAAGGATCAACGTTTTCCTTTGAGTCGTCGTTTTTTGCGGGAGATGTGGCGACGTGGCGATGCGTGTATTGATGAGTTTCGAGAGAAAGATCATCTTCGAATTCGCATCCGCACGTCGGGCAGACGAATAACGGGAGTTCGGTCTCCTCCCCGTTTTCTTCATCCGCTTCCGGCTGGTTATCCACACCTCCCGCCTCAAGAAAATCCGACTGTATTCTGTGTGTCAAATTCACCCTGTTGGACATGTCTTCGGGGCTCGATCTCGGAGGTGGGTCGCTTTCCGGATCCGACCCATCGCTCGCTTCCATGTAATTGAAGAGACGAGCGGCACCGTGGGGTTTGTTCATATGGTTCTTCCACGACTTCACCTCGGATTGGAGGAACCGATTGTGTTGCAGAATTTGAGCCGCTGCCGCCGTCAAATCGGTGTTTTTTAGAATACTAGAGGTCTGACTATAAAAAAAAGGAAACAACTTTAGAATGCGGATAAAAAAATACAATACAAATAAACAATATGGGTAATATGGCTAAACAACCGAAGAAACAGACCATCTCCCCCATCAACGGGATAAAAAGTTATAAGGGTATAGGATTACCCTGGTTTTCTAGGTCAAATAAGCATTAACATTCGTATACCGGGATAGTAAAAGTACCGGAATGCTTAAATATCTCCAAAACTGCCAAAGCTGGAACGATGAAATTCAATAACTGGGAGTTTTTGAACATACACAATACAAAACTGATAACAGAAATGTCAGATTTCAGGATGATATTGATAATTCTTGTAACCTTTCAATAATACACTTCTAAAGTTCCCTATGTTCTAAAACCTCCAAACTTCTGATATGGTAAAAAAAATTATTAAGTGTTGACGTAACTTAGTTATTAATAGAAACAAAATTTTGGAGTTTCGAAATTTTACTAAATGCGACACGCGCAATCCATTACAACAAAAATAAATAGGTAAATCTTGCTAAAATAACAAAATTCTGACATGTAACGTAAAAGTGGTAACTCTGACAACGTTGCTGTTATAATACGAACAAACATATAGTGCATTTATTGTTTTGACGTTTTAGGTATTTTACAGTACCTTAACTGCAGACCTTCGCAGGACCGTCGTAAAACCCATCCCAACAGAAATTTGTATTTGAAACGTAAATGGACCGTTTTAAATTTAATTAAGCATTGATGCCGCGGGGTATTTTCGAATACGTAGAGCGTTTATTTTAACATTGTTCTTCAAATAAAGAAAAAATTAAAGAATTTATGTACGAAAATGATTTATATTTTGAAGAGAAGTACACGAAAAAACAACTTCTGGAATTATTAAAAATAAAACATTTTCATAAAGACTACAAAATCGATTCGATAGTACAACAAAACCCCGATTGAGATAATTTGGTTGAAAGCGCATAGAAGAAGAAATAACACTGTACCAAAATTTACTGATAGTATCATAAACGTAATTCGGCAAGCGGTAGCTAAAATATCAGTACAAAGCTGGTCTAACTCAGAAAAACGAGTAACAAAAGAAGAAAATATTTAGCGAGAACGATTAGTGGCGGAATTGATCATTGACAGGTGAAGACAGTTTTCTAGATTAATAATGATACTATGTAGAAATGTAATGAAATAGAAAGTAATAAATTGTTATTTTGTATTAATTTTTTATGTATATGTTTCAAGCATTGCTAGGCAAAATAGATTGAAAACATACTTATATCCCGCTTGCTAGTAAAAGTTTAGAATTTTTAAATTATGCATGTTCAAAAACCCCATGTATAGAATTTTATCATTCCAGCGTTGGCAGAGATATGTAGGCGTTCCGATACTTTTTACTAACCTAGTATATGTATTTTTTATTAGAACAACGTACGTTTCGGCTATAAGTAGCCATCTTCATGTGTCACACTTACATTTTTATACAAATACTCCAATAAAATCACAATTGACTGACAGAAAGAACATATCGAAAACCCCTAACAGTTATTAAAAAAATCCTTTTGTTGCAGGAAAACATAACATCCGCGTTGCTCATAAACTAAGTAATAACGGCAAAAACTGCTACACGAAAATGAGAACCGCGATTGAATAGAAGGGAAGAAAAATCTAAAATGCAATCAATGTAATATAAGGTGAGATGTACTGACCACACAAAACAATACCTTCTTCAGAGGATTTCAAATAACAAAAATTCTGTTAAAAATAACAAACATTATTTACAAAAAATCCACTAATATGACTCTAACAACGTTAGGTTTCTAAACATCGGAAAGCGATTATCACAATAAAAATCCTAGTTCTTATAACAATAATCGTAATAATATACCAAAATTACCCAAATTTACACAAATTTAATAAACTAAATGCTTTACTAACGATCTTTCGGAATCATTAATTTTTATAGCTATTTCTTGTCAAAGTCATTCTATCCAAACGTTTCGAATTTGAATTTCAATGATTCTAAAAGCATCATCGTTCATCATTTTAATCTTTATTTGTTATTTTTGTAAGTATTCCATTTTGATTGTCGTTATACAAATCTTTTTAACTAAAACTAAACTTAAAATTATTGTGGAACCTGAGGATGGCTATTTATAACCAAAACGTTCGTTGTTTCAAATAACATATATATATATATATATATATATATATATATATATATATATATATATATATATATATATATATATATATATATATATATATATATATATATATATATATATATATATATATATATATATATATATATATATATATATATATATATATATATATATATATATATATATATCTACGAATGGCAATATTTATTTGATCGAGAAACCCAAGGAAAACCACTACCTTTTTATTTTATAATAAATAATATAATTTTACGGTCAGGAAATAGCTACACTCCAGAACTCACTTTACACTTAATTACTCTCCACAAACCCTCTCTCAAAAAGAAATCCCTATCCTCAGTCAAATTAAAACCGTTTTAATGAAATTAATGAGCCTGGGTATTGGGAATTAATGATTATTTAAGCTCTAATTTGACTGTGGATGGGGATTTTTTTTTTGTACAAGCAATACACAAGAAAACTGCAATGCGGAATATATATCTAATGGGACCACTTCATATTTCCCGTATTATATCGATTCAAGACGGTGAGTGGATTAGTAAATTATGAAGCTGCTTAGTATTGTTGATGTCGATTTTTCATAAATTATTTAATAGTACATGAAATACAGAACATTACACTCTTCCGACGTCTACGAATATAAAAAGGTGGTAATGAATTCCTAATCAACAGTTCTTTAATGTAGATTTAGCAACGTAGAACCATTAAAATTCAATTAGTTATTAAGTAATAAATTCTCATATCTTAGTACTAACTAATAACTCAAATCAACTTTACACATACAAAATGGCTGCCTGTCATCCTTTTAAACACATGAAACAAACAGCTTTTAACAATGGTCATCATTCCTCTTTGATAGATAAGATTATAACAAAAAAACAGCTTGAAAAAACTCTGAACTCTATTTTCCCATACGCCATAAGAATTGAAAAACCATAAAACTAAGTCACAAAAAAAGCACAGATTCAGAGTTTACAGGTCAAAACGTGGCACAAATTTATATCGGACAAACAGGTAGAACATTCAAAAAACGCATCAAGGAACATAAAAGAGTTCAGATTGGAATTATAGCTCTCATTTAAATTCAGAAATCCAGTTCGATGATAATTTTTATATTTTACATAGAACATCAAAAAGCCATAAACCAAACCTATTGGAAGCTATGGAGAATTTAAAAAATGAGAAGTTCGAATTTATTACTTAAATCAAAATTTAAAAACGACGACTCGTTTTGCATACCTGCACGATGTGAGTAAGTAAGTAAGTAAAATTTTGCAAACAACTGACGTGTGCGTATCCAACTTAAAACTATCGTTTATAATTAATTTCATTTTGTTACTGTCTATGGCTATCGCTAAAATTTACATTTCGCTGCGATTTTATATTAAAACGGCAGTTTTAGTATCAGGGGCCCTACTAATTAAAGAACTCTAACAAACGATTCCATTTACTCCCTTTTTACGATAATAAACCCATAAAATGAATGATATTTGTGTAGTGCGAAATTACTGCTAAAAGAGAGAAAGGAAATTTTCAAAATTTACAGGTATTTAAATTAATTGGTATGATTTCAAATGAATTGAAAATATCTACCGAAACCAGGAAACATTTATATAGAAAGCGCCAGAAACGACTTTTGTCGAGAAAACTTATTGGTGAAGGGAACCACATCATTAAAATCGAAAGCGTTATTTTATTTACGTCAAAATTTGTCTCCTCCACATACAGATTCAGGTTGTTCTTTTTGACAAGAATCTTTCCTGGCGTTTTGCATCTGGGAGAAAATTCTAACCTGCATAGCGCAGGATTGTTAGATGTTCCGGAAGTGGTCGCCGTCGCAGCTGAATGTGCCGAATTTGTAAAAGGATTGCTTCTCAGAATGTTACTGCTCGCACTAGACGAAGCCCGATGCCTCTGCTCCATGGGGCTGCAAATACACACACGGAAATAACAAGGCGCTAAAAATATTTAACGGCCAATAAAAATAAATTAATTACTCACTGTTGTTCCTGCTGATGTGCTGTTAATTGCGCCATATCGTCGGCTAAGAAACTACACTTGGCGCATGCGCGCTTATTGTGGACCTTTAGGACGTGTGTGGCAAGCCTTTCGGACCTAGCCGCTTTATAGTCGCATAGCCCGCAAACGAACGGCTTTAAATGAGTATTCATGTGCCTTTTTAAGCACCAATTATCCACCCCGGACCAAGAACAATAGCAACAAGTAAATCTTTTCTCGCCCTTTTTCTTCGAACTGCTTTTGGAGGAAGCGTTCGTTTTGCCTAAAACCTTCATGTCCGGTTGACGAATTCCCGGAGCAGTCGCCGCTCTGGCCATGCTGTTTAAACCGGGTATGGATAAAGACCCGAGGGACGCTAAAGAATTCAGCGATTCGGATTGGGTCGCGACGGTGTTCGCGTTGTATTTCTGGTAATAAGACATTCCAGACGCGTTTTTCGGCGGATGCCGTCTTATTCGGTTCAAGTCGTACGGATGGTCGCGATGCATCCTTAAAAAATGCTTTTTCACGTGATCGGCCCTGTTGAATTGTTTCTGGCACACGTAACACTGGAAAGGTTTTTCTTCCCTGTGGATATTTTCGTGTCTGGTAAATAAATCTCTTCTATCGGTAGCGTAGGGGCAAAAAGTGCAGCTGTACCTTTTCGTCGACGTCATATTGCTTTCCGCGTTTGAACTTGCTGACGATTGACTCAAGCTGTTGTGCATCGCGTTACCGGACGTCAAATTCGAGCCGTGAAAATCCTCCGATTGGTTCGACGATTTCGTGCAATTATTATCGACTTTAGTTTTCAATCGTTGCAGGAATTTTATTACTTCTTGCAACACGGGGTTATCCTTGGTTAAGGCGTCGCATGACTCGTCGACGTTAATGTTGTGCTGCCTGCTTAAATGTATCCTAACGCAACGGGCCCAGGCACTTTCGTACGAACACTGAGGACATTGAAACGCCCGAATGTTCGAATGCGTGCCCAACCAATGTTCGGCAACTCTGAGAAGATATCCGACGCAATCACATTCGGCACATCTAAATAGTTTTTGCGAAGGATTGTAAGTCGCGATTTTTGACTGAGTCCATTGCAGAACGTCTTCATTTGGGATCCACTTATCTTCTGCGGTGGATAGATTATTGATACTCAATCCCATGGCCGCTTTGTGCGTAGGAAAGCCGGAATTTAAAATGCCCGTGGTTGGAAATCCGTTTTGCATCAGCGCTGCCAATCCGAACGCGGTTAAATGTTCTTCCGATTTTAATATCGGATTATCTACGTCGTAGTCGATGGGAGTCAAACCCCGGTCTTGACTTGTAGAAGCCATTCGATCGTTCGATGATAAATCGGGAAGGCCGTCTTCGCCGTACAATTTTCGTGTAATTTCTTTAAACATATCTTCGTAGCAGTCGATGGCACTGCCAGCCATTGGCATTGCCACTTCCATGTTCAGGATGGGAACCGATGTTTAAAATTTGGCGACAGTACCTGAAATTGAAACAACCCACATTGAAAAGGATTGTTAATGTTAATTTTATTTCGTAAGTATGCGAACGCGTCGGTAATAACTTAAAATAAATCCTAATGAAAAATAATCAAATAGGATATGAGTACACTCGGGCAGTCACACTCCATTTAAAATGCTCTACTTCATTCATGGTTTCATTATTCTTAGCTACACTGCAAGTGATGAATTTGCAAATTGTCGGAAAATATGATAGATGGATTAGTATCTTGGTAACACTATTCTTTTAGAAAAGTATAACATAAAACCAAAGGAAAATCATTGATTCAAAAGCACTACCCGATTAACTAACCAAATCGATTTTGTAAAACAGAATAAAATAAAAAAAAACACAATTTTATATATATTAAAATAATTAATTAAATATAAAATAATAGTTTAATGCTTTTTCAGGTAGGCTTCTATTAATAATATTGTTAATAAGGAGGGGGTCTAAATTTTTTAATAAGTTGAGAGGAACTGGTTAATTAGACCTTGGTGGCAATTTAATTAGGAAATGAGGCGAATAGCACGGACCTATAAATACTCGAGAAAATGCTAATTGGTTTATCTGATCTTCCATATTATTTTGGGTAAGCATTTTTTTTACTTTCTGATTAACTGTTTCCAAAACAATTAAAATGATTATCGGAATTTTTAATTTATTTAATTTATTTTTTGGTTCTTTGGATTCTGCTAAAATGAATCCCAAAAACTATTTCAATTTTTTTTAACACGAAACAAAAATAATAATAATTTTTTTTCTTCCAATCTCAATAAGAACACAAGCACTGTTTGCGCGCCCATTTTCTTTAAAAAGTCATCCAATAGCGATAGCTATTGAACATGTTATTTAATGTCCAAAATTCTTTCGGGAAGTTAATAAATAGCAATTAATTATCAAGACAGATAGACGGCAAATAAAATTTGTGTGAACAATTCATTTATTTATTTTATTCTTGATAACATTGTAAAGATTGGTAAGAAAATCGTTAGGTAAGCAGTTAAATTGAATTGAATTGATCTTTGGAACGACACAATATATCTACAGGTGCTTCTGAGCTGCAAGCGTGGTTAACACCTGTTGTGGGATAGTTTTTTCTTACAATAAATTGTTTTCAATATGTTTTTAATGACAAATTTCAGATAAGGTTCATGGAGTACGCAAATTGCTATATTTATATAGCACAATTAGTAGGATACCTCTTATTTATAGTTCTATAATATATTTCTGAGCAATTAGCAGCAATTGTCGTACCAGCGTTCCACCAAGCGACTAATCAACAAGTTCGAATTGATTCTAAATGGAAGAAAGACTTGTATATTAATATTTTGATCGTATCATTTACATACTGTATATTATGGCTCAAATTCGCGGACGATCATTGGGATCTTGGAAACCGTACGAAATACGAAGAAAAACCGTTTTAAAATCGTGAAAATTCCGATTACTTCCGAAGATCCGGTAAATAACAAAATCATCGATTTTTTTTTGAATTTTTTCCTGCCCAAAATTTCAAAAAAAGGTGAAAACAAATGAGACTTTTCATTGCAACTTCTTCTGCCCTACCAGATCGCATTATTAAGCTTTAAATATAGGCCTGCATTTTTATTTAATATTTTAACAATAAAAATTCTGAAAAAATACATGTATCACACTTAAACAATACCGGCCTAAAATTGACAATAAAGTCAAAGATACAGAAAAAAAATAAGGTGGCCAGGAACAAATTCAAGAAATTGCTAATTATTGTTTTGCCCGCATATGTCTGGAACTAATCGGAATTTTCTCGATTTTTGACTTTATTTAACCAACTTCGTATCTCTTACGGTTTTCGAAATCCCACTGGGTTCATTCGATTTTGAGACACCCTGTACATGTACATGCTTTTTCTTTCTATAAGACTACTCCATTCATAATTATTTTGTTATCATCATATCGTGTTTACTACTAGTAACAAATACAACAATTCTATCGTCTAAAAACTAAGTGGCATGTAGGTTGAGTTTAATGACGCCATCGTTTCCTACAGGAAAAAGATTGCGTGGATATTGTATTTGGCAGTATATCAGGCATCTGGGTAATTTATGTATTTATGAATTCAGAAACTACGCTACAACAAAAAGCGATGACGTCACTGTAGTCGTTAGTAATAATTTCATCATACGCCTAATTTTATGAGCGGAAATATCAAAATATTCGTAAAGCTCCATTTGTTAGCAAATAATTTCGAACAATTAAAATTGTGTCCATTCCGACCGAGAGCGGATGAAAGTAAGCAATCACTTTCGGTTTCGAATAAAATACGGCCTTCAAAAAAAAATAATGCCCTGTCGTGGGGCAAAATTGGAAACGAGGAAAAAAAGTGATGCAAATAACGCGAGCCCAATGTGCCGTCTGAATACGCAAATCGTTAGGGGGTAGGGGGGTCGCGTGACATTAATTTAAAAATGACTATCAGCCGAACAACGAAAGGGCATATACGAGAAAAAATTTCGACAAGAACGAAATTGTTTACGTCGATTCGAGATTTGCGACACACGCTTAAAAAATCCTCGCACCTATGTATCCCAGCTGTATTTGCGATATTCAAATCTGTCGAGGATAATTTTAATTCGACTTGGCATGTGTCAGGCGCAGCTGAGCAATATGGCGCTTCAAGAAAGGAAATTCATCAATTGCAGCTACAATAATGTGTAACGAAACAACGCATGGGCGTAGAAGTTCGCAAATCGGATTTTAATAAATACGATTTAATTTAGGAAATAGCGGTTAGGTTTAAAATGACACGTGCCATTTCAGAATATGCATTTAGTAAAATTAAGAAGTGACATTTCGATATTATTTATTCTTAGGAATGACGTAAAAATGCGATTATTTTTCAGTCCCCTCCAGTTTAATTTACATCTTTTCGAGGCGATAACATACAAGCCGCGAATTTTAGACTTCAACTATAACAAATATGCAAAAATTGATAATCACGCGAAATGAACAAAATTAAATTAACACAACGGACGAGTTTTTCGTGGGGCAATTCTGCCCGTCGATTCCCTACGTGCACCCCCAGAAACCCGCCTTTGCATGCGGTCGGACCTAGTCTACGAACTACGATCGGGCCCGCTATGTGCTATTGGCAATCCACTCACCAAGTTAGGCCCTGAAGCCACCAGGAACAATCGCGTGCTTATCTATCCATCAAGTTCCCATAATTTCTGCATCTCATTTCCACTTCGGTTTTACCAACAATCGCGTTTTTAGCGCACGGAATGCAAAATAAAACCGCGAAATGCGTATCGAATATGTGCGTTTTCGGGGGGGTCAGCAGGGTGCATATGCAGGGACCTGGCCTCGTGTGGGCCCCGCACCGTGTGATCGTTGCGTTGTCTGACCCACCCAATACTGCGGCACCCGTTCGCCCGCGACCCGCTGGGGTGGGCTTACCCCCGCCCGGCGCCCGACCACCCCACTATCGCTCCCGATTCCGTCCCGGCCACCCTTCCTTGCCAGCCAGCCACCCCCTCGACCCAACGCGATTCGCCTTGTGCGCATAGGCGTCGATACTTGGGGGGCCGTAAAGATGCGACGTCTTACCCTGGAACTACACATGTTTTTATTTGTCTAGTCCAAAAACTACCAGGATATTATACCAACAATCTCTCCGTTTCACTATTTTCATCATTCTATTGAATTATGGAGTAGTTTGCATGCTATCCGGGCTGAGTAAGTTTTTTGTCGCTAAAATACAATCCACAAAATGTTCTTGGCTAGTTTGTCCATTGTATTGTAATAAAATTGTCCTCGTTATACACAATAATCAAGTCATTGGTAGGGGTTATAAACTAATCAATATGCCCTTTGGCTTATCGTGGATATTATACAAACTGTCGCTATTTCATTATTCTGATAGAAAATCACCGTTTTGCTGATTTATTTGCTTTATGTTATCTGGGTTAGTTTAAATCTATACAAGATTTTTTATCTTTTTTATTATTGATCTTTACTAATTAGCAAAATATCGTTAGTATTGGAATGAAGTTGTGCTAATTATATACAATACAATTCAGTTTATGATCTCATCAATATTCCCTTTGAAAACAAAAACGGTATTCATTTCACAATACATGCGAACATATCTTCACTTTTCTAATACATTAAACAACTAGTTGCTTATTTTTTCTTACTGTCAATATTTGGTTGACATTTTATCCAAAGTCAAGTCTGTGTGTATGTGGTGTGTTATATAATTTGCTAAAGTAATTAAATAGTATAAGCATATTTAGTAGAACGACGGTTTTCCATCAATACAACTCGGATAGATTCTATAATATGCAGTTACTCAAGATAACATTTCACCCTCTTTTACCAAGAGCTCAGCAAAAACGACCTTAGATTTTTTCTCATTTTCCTTTCCTGGAGATCTCATTTTTAACTGTTAGATATTTCCAATAATTTAATCATTTTTTTGTAGTTGCTGTTTTTTGGTAACACTTTTCCTTCATTTCCCCACAAATCTATTTGTACTTAGCTTGTACTTAGACTCCCAGCGATATAAAAATATAATTACTGCTTTATCTCTTATTACTCTCCCCCGATAAGCCGTTCGCCAGCTCGACACAAACTAGTTATCAACTGAGTAACTATTGCGATATTTAACGATTTGTATCTTGTCTTTTTTTCCATTTTCCATTCCTGCTATCAATCGCTCCATTTTTGTGGATCTTATTTTGGTTTAAAAAGTTTAATTTTTATGTATTTTGTAATTTGCTTTGTCCCTTTTCCCCGTTTCCAACCAACTTTTGCTTGGATCTTGTTCTTAGTCTGCTAACTATATGAAAATAAAACTACTGTGTCATCGCGTATGCACTTTTAGCTAAGTAGACGACAACTTTTTCAATTAATTTAATTTATTTATTTATGAACGTGTAATAAATAACTGCCGAATGATAGTCATTAATTAGACGCACTCGCATTTTTCACCTGTGTCGGGCGTAATTAAAAGACGCCACTGCCACCCGCACAGTGTTGCCGTTATTGTTCTCGCGCGGCTGATCAAGGAACTTGCCAACGAAAACATCACGTTGCTTGCACCCTCGCTCCTTTCCTTGTATTCGACTTAAAAAGTTCTATGGAAAGCTCAATTCAAATAAGTGACATAATTCGGAGGGAGACCATGTTAGATGAAGCGCACCGTAAAAAAATTAACATTGGAGTAATATTCGACGATATCGGTTAATTTGCAAATAATAATCGCGTCAGCACTTTGGAAAATTGATGCGTTGACCGGGAATGGGCCAGTAAGACGTTTTATGTGGCAATTAAAAGAAAACCACGATAAAAACAAAAACACAAACATGCCTTGGATCGAGCGCGTGGTGAGCCGGGGGTAGGTTTAGGGGTTGCGGGGGTTGCCAAGCAACCAAAATATAATGAAACGAGCAGGGTGAGCGAAACAGACTTGTAGGAACTATAATGAATTGCTGTTACATATTTACGAAGCGGTCCATAACAATTGTACAACGAATCGTTTACTGATTTTAAAACTGAACAACCACATAAATTGAATTTATCATACTTCCATTGATTGCAATTACCGCGAATGCGTAGGACTAGCTGTAGGCGATCTTGTTTGCAAAGCAGCTAACCAGAAGGCTTGAAATCCGTCTCTAACAAGGTTTTTTAAGCTTCTTAAATATATACAGTAATCATTCTCTGAATTTAGCAGTGATCGTTAGCAGGGAAATAAATTATTTGCTTCCAACTCACCCCGCGGATTCAGAAATCAATTTATTTCAGGCAAGTGGTTCATTGCTTCTGAATAAGATATTGTAATTAGGCGAGACTTTCAGGGAATTTTAAGAACCAAAACAACTTATTCAATTAAGTTTAATAGAAAGTTCAAATTAGCAATTACTATAAGTCCCTGTAGTCCTGCACTGAATTGTATCGATAGAGCCCGTGTCCTATTAAAGCTAATAAATTAAATAAAACCATTTAGGAAATCTGAAAGTTTTAAAATGATCCAAAATCACTTTGCGCCACTTCATTGACTATCATTCCCGAAATAGGTATTTGACCATGGAATAATTTATTTATTATTGATTTTTTACTAATTGATAGAATGGCATTATTAATACCCGCATGAAGTCTCTCTCCTTGTCATAGTATGCTAAATCTTTAAGTGTGATTTCAGTCCGTTTCTCACTATAATATGGTAACGACACGGAAATTCTTAAGTACGCCGCTGGAAAAAAATGTAATGGTCTCTCATTACCGAAACTATTATGCCCTCATGTTTTATGGGCGAATCAAATTGCAAAAATGCCAATACAAACTTATGGTATCCTATAAACGGCGTTTAAGAATTAAAAATTAAATTTAGGCAAACAAAGGTCAAAATACAATGGTTAAAATCTACCCAAAAAATTCGATCGTTTCCAAACCCGTGACTAAAATACCGGAAACGTCCGCAGTGGCTCGCGACATCTCCGAACGCTTTATGTTATTTAACAGTAGGGAATAGAAAAAAACTGTGCGAATATATCAAAACTAAAATATACTAATACGTATGCATTTACAAACTGTCTATCATAAATTTGTTCTAAATCGACCTTAATCATGGCGAGCCCTATAAGGATTCAAAATGACAGTTTCAAGTGTTTCAGGTGTTTCAGGTACTTATCGACTTTCATCATCAAAATAATGCGGATGAGACGTTGATGGATACGATCAGCCGATAGAAATACTGTATGCACTTGCATGTTGAATACCTTCCTTGTTGTGTTAATATTTTCAGCTTGCAGTCTCCTTGCAAAAATGATAATCACAACACTTGCCGCTTGTTGATGGTTTTATCATCTTTTCTCGCAAACTTTCAAACTTCACCTAGCGTCAAATAATAATAATCCCAAAGATTTACAGGTTCCACAACCTCCTCTTGCTAGCCAAATAGTATGCCTCACGTGACAAGTATTACACGTAATGTGTATTTTCCATTCTTTATCTTAAATATTCGCTTACGCATGCTTTAATTACAGCAAACGTCAAAATGATGATCATTTATAATGTTTTGTGATCCTTTTTGTAAAACGTAAACTTTGCTATATTCATTAAAATGTTATATCTATATAAATCATTTATTTATTTATTTTATTTTACACAAATGTATAGTTAAAAAATAAATAAGACTCAGATTGTTTATTTTCGGCATATATAAAACTAGAATTTGCTTTATTAAGTTGCCTATAGGCCAATTAATGTCCCAGATAAAAAATAATAAATATAAAAAAATTAATTAAACACATTATTTGTAAACCAGAATACAGCAGGAAAAAAAACTGCGCTAAAATGAACGTCGCAGCCTAAAAAAACTGGCTTTCTGTTTGCTACGTCCCACACAAATTATTGTGAAGCTAGAGACAAATCGATATTTGCCATATTGCTATGCAGTCAAGCTCGCCTGGCAAGTGTTTAAGTATGCGCGTCATTTTTGCTCCCAAAAATCGAACAAAAGTAATCGAAACGTCTTAAACGAATCAAAATAAAACAACGTCACACAAAAAGGGTGCGGGGTGGGGTGATCGACTTAACGGATTTTCCAAAGCGAAAATCTATTTTCAAAAGCAATCGAATTATTAACCCCTTTTGAGTTTAGACGTAAAATCTCGATAAAAGAAAAAGTCGTACCGAAGAAATTCCGTCTCGATTATAGGATTTCGATGTGCATTCGACACACAGCTTCATTCATTCGGTCTCTCGCGCCAAAATTAAGTGCTCTGCGTCCGCGAGATGGCGTCGCGGGCATCGCGACGTCAGTTTAGGAGTAGTCAGCGACTACAAGCGGGCGTCGGCGCCATTGGCGTCGGCGCGCGCTTTCGTTATCAAATTTTAGGGACGGAATAGGCAAACATTTCGTTGCACGAAAACCAAAATTGCCGTGCGCTTTAATAAAGATTACTTCTGATCATTGGGGACGTAGATTTCAAGTTGGTATTTTAGGTTCATTGATATTCGGCATCACAAAAATGAATAAAATGCATATACTATTTTACACACTGTGCTAAATAAATAAATAATAAACCACTTTTTTAAGTACCGTACTTTAGGATCATTGAAACTATTTATAAATATCGCAAAATTGCTCATACAAATGTACGTAAAATAGTTTACCTTTATTTTATTATTTAAATATTATATTATATCAATATGAAAACGCATAGCTTTTATTCTTAGAAGATTTGACTAAGAATAAGGCAGCCTTAACTTAAAAGGCTTCTCCTCCTTGCTGACCATTTGCCTTTTGCTTAAATTGTAGTTCAGCTATACATTTTTCCAATAAGAAACGGTAATCACAAAGTTTCTTATTTTGGCATTATTTTTATCACTTCCAAATTAGCAGTCGTTGGACTAATATCTTACATTTATCGCTAAGAGTTAATGTTTTATGCAGCCTTTTGTTTGAAGTCATTAAATAAAAAACATACAACATTATCGTCGCGTCAAACTTGTTGAGACAGGAAAACGTTTGTGGTATCTTATGAAGCGTTTAAATGTCCAGTTTCCAGAAGTAAATTTTGTATAGCTTTAGATTATATATTTTTTAATTTTCAGGATCGAGAGAACTTAAACAGTTGCTTTACCTCCTCTTTAGATATCGGGTAAGAATAACAGTTAATTGAAGCTACTAACAATTTAAAATTTACACAAAAAAGGAGATAACAAGAACTGTAACAATTATAGAGGAATATCACTGCTATGTACACCATTGAAACTGTTCGAGAAAGTAGTTGCAAAGAGACTACGATCAAAAGTAGAACTAACCCTAACAGAAACGCAAAGTGGGTTCCGGAAAGGCAGAAGTACCCAAGATCACGTGTTCACTTTAAAACAAATAATTTCGAGAAAATTGGCAAGATCTAAAGCAGTATACGTGCGTAAAAGCGTTTGATAGAGTACCGCGAATAAAAATCTGGAAAAGCCTACAAGCCAGAAACGTTGACAATAAACTATTAAGAGTTATCAAATGTTTATACAATGAAACAAGAAATTGCGCAATAAGTAAGGACATGAGATCAAAGGCATTTATAACACAAGAAGGAGTGAGACAGCTCTTGATTAATCATAACTTATATGGATACCTTTAGGTTGGATACCGACAACTAGAGCGTATCAACATATCGTAATGTGTCTTCGCCGATGATATAACGATCATAGCAGAAATCTCGAAGGATCTGGAGGAAAATCTAAATAATTGGGATCAGATACTAACAAAGAACGGAATGAAAATGAACATAAATAAAACCAAAGTTATGGCAGTGTCAAACGTGGGAAACTAATAGAACAAGTTAGTAGCTTCCAGTACTTGGGAATTATTTTCGAAGAAACAGGAGGGTAGGACACAGAATTAAATAATAGAATAGAAAAGGCAAATAAGGTATACTATGCATAAATAAAAAGGAAATTTCTAAGGAAACCAAAATGAAAGTTTACAAAACAATTTACAGACCAATCCTTACATATGGCTCCGAATCTTGGATATTGTCATGAGAGTGAAAGGAAGGAAAACTAACCAGAAGGGTCAAAATTAGAAATGCACTTATAAGAGAAGAGTTGAAGGTGGAATCCATAGAAGAATTCATTGAAAAGAAACAACTTGGCTGGTAGGGCCATTTACAGAGATTGGGCAGCACTGTGTCGGTTAAAAGAATTTGGCAGAGTAAAATGCAGGGAAAACGGAAAAAAGGAAGACCCAAAGAAACGTGGGACAGCACATTGGGAAAGATGTTGAAAAAGAGGGGAAAAACATGGGTAGAAGCTAAAAACTTGGCACTAAATAGAAAAGACTGGAAACTTTTTATCGATAGCTAAATTGCATGCAGAAATGTCACCCTTACACCCTACGGGGGACTAGGGACTAGATTATAGAATAACAATTTGTTTCGTTTGAAAGGCTTCTTTCATGGCGTCACAGCAATTGATTGTTAGTGTCTTGTAAATTAAGAAATTGACTATCTAAATATTTAATAAATATATAGCTAGTTGAAAAAAATTGTAATAGCCTTAAGATTTCTTCGATATGGTTCAAAATTTCCTGCTAGTTCATAACAGTCGGGGGAAAATGTGCTTCTGCTGACTATATTCCTTGGGGGCTTTGAATTTTCAACTAGACTTAGCTAACTGTCAAAATAACGAGGCAAAACGGGAAAGCGCTGAATGCGGCTCTGTTCAGTGTACCAATTCCGGCGCAAGACGCGTCGCGGCGGCACAGCCGACTTAATAGTGTTGTAAAGACGGTGCGAGTAAGCCGCTGGCAAGCGTCATCCAGACGCTGGCTTAGGGACGAGGCAAGGACTCGGAAATGGGTCGCCCTAAAAGTCCCCGTGCATGTAACGGAGGAGTACGGTGAAAGTGTAGTGCAGCTCACAGTACAATAACCCCTAGACAAGTGTTGCTGCTACTGCTGCTGCCGGGCCCAGGCCCACCATGTTCCAGCGCTAGCCGGAACGACTTTAAGCTTACAGTCGGGCGTCCAAATACTGGTCTCAGTAGCATGGGCCTCGGCCCTCCGGCGGGGCCCACGTGTGCAGCCGCTGTCAACGGCAGCTACCTTCATGGCCATTGATAAAGGTAAATTTTGACGTCATCGTGTACTTTATCGAGAGCAATTTTGAAAATCGAATCGTTTTTTTGCGACTCCATTGCTGAGCGCGGTCGACGTTTTGCTTTTGTTTTTCCGGATCAAGTTTTATCGAAAATTTAGCTGGAATTCTAAAAATCAGTATCGAAATGTTCGCGTGATGATAGAAAAACAATTGATAACGTGTCGATATTCATGACTATTCCTGCGTTGCCCAGCTTTAAGTTTTACCATTAGTAAAACCTTGTGGTGGCAAATCACTCGCTATTCTAGTGGCAAGTTATTTTTCATCAAAATCGTGATAATCCAAAGTTTGATTCATAATGCCTAAGCTACGCCGGGATCTTGGTTTGTACAAATCCACTTAAACATTTCAACAAGTAATTTAAGGATATTTATCAAAAAAACCCAAAGTTTTGTTTATTTCGTTGATATTAACGCAACAATTATTATAGTGCTATACGCTATAGGGTATATTTCGATTTGTTTTTCGCCCCTACCCCTCCATATTTCTCCGCCCTCTTTTTTACATAAAAAAAACTATTTAGGCGCTGAGCAAGCTTGAGTTCTCTTAAAGTGTCTGCGCGAACTGTTTTGTATAATTAATTCTAAATCACACTAGATATGTAAATTTATAAATATTTGAATTAATACGTATATTTTGGCTAATCATAACAACCTGGTAACAGAGGATAACATAAACTGCTTAAATTTTAACATCTAAGAAACGGCGTCAAGAGGTTTTCTTAATGCTAAATGGGGCGCAAGTAATAAAACACTTTTTGTATACTAAATTATTGGTGGCGCGTAAATATTTTGATCAAAATAATTAAAAAACGCTTTCTGTTAAAATTGCAATTGCGAATTTTTAATTAGTCATCAAGTACGGAAATCGGGGAAGCTAGAAAATGAATCATTTTTTAAGGCAATAATTGTGAACAAAACAGTGCTAAAATGTGTATATTACTAACAGTCACTCTGATAAGGTTTATTGTTTTGGGTGATTCAGGGCTTATCTACTCATTCGAGGCGAATTTTTTGACTCTGAATGAAACGAATTTATTCCCAAAAAGATTATTTACGTGATAATGCCAGAAATTCAAATTAACCTCCCCCACCCCGACAGCTTTAGGAGTAAAATTTATTTTAACTAACTCTTAAAAATATGAACGTCTCCAGTTCCACAAATTATTTAAGTAAAAATTTCAGACGCTGCGTTTACAAAACCACGGCTAACATCAATATTTTGATTGTCGTGGCATAAAGTCGAAAATAGTATATGGATACAAATAAACTAGCAAAATATTTATCGTTTCTATGATGTTTATTAACTGGATACTGCCAGATTAATTGCATAATATCTTATTGAAAGCGTACATAACATTTCTGAAAGCAGTTCAACAAATGGTTACGCCACCATTTTATCAATTTTCATTTTGCGCTAATATTCAGTTATACAATCGAATTCGGCACAAAAGATGTTCAGACAATACGGCATTAATTTGTTTAAATACACGTAATAATTGCGAACACCATTAGATAACTTTTTTATTTGTTCAGAATCTTTTAAATATTCCTCAAACTCTTCTTAAATCTTAAAATGGAAAGTAAATGTGCACTATGCAAATTAATTATTGAAATATATTTACATAAACATCATCCATAAAATAAAAAATAACTGATTTTTCCAAAACACCAGTAATTTTATTTGTTATCCGGTACACTGGGGTGGATTGTTTTATTCTATTAATCGAATCATCAATACTTAAACTATAAATGACGATAAAATAACACGTAAAGGTAATAATACCGACAGAATAAAATGGTTTTTAAACTATAATTTTTCCCCACGGCTATCAATTTTATAGAGCTTTAAAAATGTCGAAGTTTAATGCGGAAACACTTGTTTTTATGGATTGTACTAAATTTTCGAACATTCGGTTGCTATAAAATAAAAAAATCGTCAAATGACAAATATTTTTATTGCACCTTCAAAATGAAACTAACAAACTCGACAGACAATGGTCACATAAACGTACTTATTTCCCCAACGTATTTCAAACCCATGGCGGTACCATTTATTCCAAGATCGAAGGTAATATTTTAAAAAATTGAAAATCTATTGCTGTATTTTTCAAGTAAATTCGTACCCTTTTTGTGCAAATATTTGGAAAACGTAACAAATTTTTAAATTTGCGAACCATATCTTTTTATCGCTGCGAGATAAGTATTTTCTTGTCAGTGATACTGCAATGGCGAATATTTTCGAATGAAGTCCGTATTATTATCAGTGGTTAGATAATGGTAAATATAAATAGAAATTAATTTAATACTAACGCGAACCGACATAATAGTCGAAATTTTCAACAATTTTCAAAATTGATATTTGGTTTGAATTATTGACATTATGAGATATGATATCAATTATTGATATTGGTTTGAATTATGTATTATATATTGTATAATATATATATATATATATATATATATATATATATATATATATATATATATATATATATATATATATATATATATATATATATATATATATATATATATATATATATATATATATATATATATATATATATATATGTTTTGTTTTAGGCTTCCGCGGGTCTTATATGTGAGTTGTAAATTCTTCCGGGTTTTACTCCGCGTCTGGTCTGGCTGGCTCCAAGTGGAGGTAGTCCTCTGCTGACAACGTTTCGGCAAGATCTCACTTGCCATTTTCAAGTCCGGGTCGTTCTGCTTCTCGTCTGAACTTTTCAAGTTCAAGCCGAGTTCAGACGAGAAGCAGAACGACCTGACTTGAAAATGGCAAGTGAGATCTTGCTCGGCTTGAACTTGAAAAGCTCAGACGAGAAGCAGAACGACCCGACTTAAAAATGGCAACGTTGTCAGCAGAGGACTACCTCCACTTGGAGCCAGCCAGACCAGACGCGGAAATATATATATATATATATATATATATATATATATATATTATATATATATATATATATATATATATATATATATATATATATATATATATATATATATATATATATATATATATATATATATATATATATATATATATATATATATATATATATATATATATATATATATATATATATATATATATATATATATATATATATATATATATATATATATATATATATATATATATATATATATATATATATATATATATATATATATATATATATATATATATATATATATATATATATATATATATAGTACAGTTATAAAATAAAACGATTTAATTATCTATCGCTTAACTTTTGGAGATTAACGAACCTGTTGATTGAAATTAAAGGGCCTTTAATAATAAAATAAGTTTGCGTGGTGCATGTCGGCCCAAGATAACAGGTCACGAAAAACCCGTATACGGTATTGATCGTTTAACTTACATGAAAGACCAGAAATAAGGACGATGAGCGAACTATAACGCGCGATCATATTTTTACACGGTTTGTCATTAAAATCTGACGGAGCTTACCCTTTCATGTTTTAAATTTTACAATCCCGCTCTACATTCGATGAATAATATGTGCAACGAGCCTGACCTGGTCAACTTAAAACAATGGGGCAAAATTATTAAACTTATTTCGAAGTTTAATCAAATTCATCGCCAATATAACGAGTTTACGCAATTTTTTGATAAATTTTGATCATAAATAGCTTTTCTGTATTCAGTAAGATTTTACTTATTGCTGTTTTATATTGAACTATTGTCCGTTTGCTAAAATGACACGTAGTATCTGTTAAAATCAAAGAATATTTAAAAAAATCCCCGTAAGTGGTGCAATGTTCAAAAATGTTCACTTCGAGCGATCACATGTGTCGTTTTAGGAGAGAAAATTTGTTATCTAATTTAAAATACGAACTGCTTAAGCTGAAATTTTTTCTATACAGTGTTATTATTATTAAAGGAGTTATAACGTACTATTGCGATGTGTTTCCATGCTTTTCAAATATATTTATTTATTGAGTTTTCATTTCACAATATTTTGACTTAATTTTTTATTTTGTGACAAACGGACCTCGTAATAAAAAGAGTTAGCAATAATGCTGAAGGAACTTGTTCACGTTAGATCACGTAGATCCATACACTAAACCCGTCTATTTTTGGCGATATTTAATGGTTCCAACCTATTTAAAATCAACTTGGTTATGAATATGATTTAAAATGTTATTATACATATGATTTTGCCTCGACCGAATTTTCCGCGTTCACTAATCGATAGAGAATGTCCCGATTTTCGACCAACTGATGATATTATTTCGTTTAATGTAATATTAGTCAATTTTTCAATTTTACCACTGAGCGACAAACACGAAGTTAATTAAAATTAAACATTGCCTATATTGAAAATATCTCCGATAACATGAAATCCACAAAGCGAATAGTTTCAATTTTCCGCAGAATTACGTTGGTTTGAATTAATAGGATATATTTTCCGATACAAATAGTAACAATGCAATTCACTCATTAATTATTGCATGCAATATTTTCACAATAGCACTGTACTTTTTTAACGGCTGCTGATATTTCTATACATATTAACGAACATTTTCTTTTAAATTTGACCCTTAAGAAATACAACAAAAGTAACGGTAGTTTATAATACTTCTTACTGGAATTTTGTTAATTTTCACAGGAAATAGCTTAATTGTGACTTTTAATATTCTTCAAGTACCAACTGACACATATGCTTTTCTCACAAAAATAAAGAAAACTATATAACTGTGATATTAATGGTCTCCACATCATTTTACGATTTTCATTAAAACACAGTCTTGAATACACAAATATTATAATAATTATAAAATACATAACTTTTTATAAAATCATTAAATACACGAAAGAATTCTTATAGCATTCTACAAGACCAATTTTATAAAAGTCATTACTCCTAAGTCTAATTTGTTTTATTGTTAATATCACGCTATCACAGGATATCTATAAAAATTATTGAATGAGTAGAATGTTTTACAAAATCAAAATATATAAAAATATATAAACATTTTTATATTGGTTGGGTATAGGCAAACATTTTTGATTAACTGTTCTAAATCTATGTTCAGGTCACACTTGGGGTTTTGTGATAAATATATTAATAAGTTGAACACTGAATTCTAACCTGAAACAGAGATAAACTTGAGCATTTATAAACTACACAAGTGTGTGACTTACATTGAAATAATATTTATTGAACCTGACGAATGAATTTATTTATGAAATTACTAAATTTTATTTATTTTTATTTATTTATTAAATATTTTCACCCTTTTCTACGGATTTTCGCTTTTTGAAAGCAAAATAACGCCTATTGGGTGGCGAGTTATCACATTATTTTATTTTCCCGATTTGAAACTCTATAAATGCGAAAGGTTGAAGCGAAAGTAAAAAACATCGCTGTACAGCGACAAAGCGCATAGCAACGATTGTTCGCCATCTGTTCCGCATTTCCACGTGCTTTTCCCGTTGGCTGAAAATTATTCTGCATTTCGCGATGATTAAATTTGCAACATGATTTGGGATTAACGAATGATGGGGCATTAATTCGAATTTTGTCTGTCGTTTGACCTTCAACTTTAACTCCGCGTCCGCTAAAACCGCACCATTCGGTTTTCGGTCGTTATTTTATCGGTGCAAATATGTCTTGATATATTTTTACTTGATTTATGCAGTGCTTCGCAATGTCCGAAATGATTTCATCCAAAAATTGGAACATCGAGCAGAAACCGTCGTTAAAAACTTTCTGGCCGATTATTTTTATCGTATTTTTGATTTGGGATCTCGAGGCGTAAGACGGGCACAAGTGCTGAATAAAAAAAGTTAAACTGCTGCCCAAAATGTCACCCAAATTTTAAATATTAATATGTCGAACTAATTTCTCGTTCTTTTTGTAAAAAAAATCAATTTCCTACTTTTTTCTTAGTATATTCTTTGCAAAACTGTTGTAGTAGGTTACTAAAATATTATTCTAAAGACCGCCTTCGTCCAACAACGGGTGATCTTATTGGCAAAACATTGCTTCATAAAACTATATGGCCCACCTCTACACACGTTAATTTTCTACCCTGTCAAGTGTGAAATTTAACCCAATTAATATAAATGTCAAACCACTAATAAACATATTTAGCTCTACCTATTAACCAAAACGCATTAGACCAGAATTTGTTGCAGATGTCGTGTAGCGTTACTGAACGGGTGACGAGTAGAGCGGGTGTAGGAGCTCCCACCGGAACAACCGGCAACAGCGCTGCTGCAAGTGGTGCTGCTACACGATGTAGAGGTCGCCGCGGAACAGACGGCAGCGCTGCCAACCTCACGACGTCACCTAATCTGAGGAGCACCAACCAAGAGGGCGGCCCTCCCCAAAATGGTCCGCAATCGAGTCCTCAAGGGGCTCCGTTTAGATCAAAACCTTGCTGTAGTATTCTTTGGTGCTGTTGCTGCAAATGTCCCTGGTAGGCTCGATTCTCGATTAACAACAGAAAAAAATTACTTTTACGTTTTTCGAGTGGCATTTAACGCTTTCATGAAGCCGTAGTTTGGTGTCAATGGAGTTATATCCCACAGAGCATTAAGTTAAAGAAATTACTTCCTAAAGCTTTTGCATGTTCCGACGTTGCTACCTCACTCTCTGTGTGGGTGACACTAGGGGCTTGAGATTTAGTACTTTCTACAGACATCTGAATCACGTGTTTTTTCAAGTAATTCTAAACACTTTATTTCTCTAAAACATATCATTTCTCATGTTTTTTTTTCTTGGTAAAGTGAGCTACCCAACCATCAGTACTACTATGAATCATACCATACTTCGTGGTTCTTTTCACAACCGTTGAATGTTATTTAAGGTCGATTTCTTGAACGGAAACAAATCTCTGCCAAATAAAAGTAAGGTCACAAAAAACTTTCACGGATCGTTTGTCCAAGTAAATATTCATTTACATTATAGGCACATAGTCTATTGAATATTTCACATCCTTCAGATTATCCCATGAAAATTTATGGGCTCTACTATTTCCTACTATCTCTAGTCCATTATAACATTTTGTTTTTGACTATACGATGCTAATTAATTATTTTACTAAAGCCTGATTTTTTTACCCCTACCCATAATAATTTTCGAATAATTAGATATATAAAAAAACATGATTAATGGAGGGTTCTATCTGAATATATTACGGTCACTCCCCCTTGTCGATAACTGTGCCAGATTTCAAATCGATATCTCAAGCCGTTAAAGATTTAGAGCGCAAACTGGCTACCCAACAGATCAGCGGAAATGAGAAATTCTATACTTCCGACTACACGGTTTTTATTACAACCTGGTTCTAGAGAGACTAAATAAATTTGCATTAGCCATGTAAATACTTGTCTTTGAAGTTATTGATTACGGGAGTCTAATTAAAAACCTCGTAAGGCCATCTCATTCGTCTTTTTAACTTGAATTAATTAACTCATAAGGACCAAATAAAAACGAGTACCTTCAACCAAAGCGCAAACATCCCCGAGGAATTTTTTGTAAATAAAAAATAAGTCTGAGAGTCGGATATTATTAATAATCACCAGTCTGCAAGCTGCTGGAATATTGATAGGTTCTTTTTTATTGTTTTATTCGTTTTATCAAGATTGTTTTTTAGCTCTAACCCCGGAAACAAAGGTAACGACGAGAACGGCACTAAAAAAAATTCGAATTCGGAATTGGATGCTTGCGAGGCGATTCCTACGTGAGTAAAAAGATTTTATACCCAAATAATTCATCATTTGAGTATAAAATTGCTATTGCTACTGTTATTGATTTTTAGACCGTCGGTGGATGAAATACGAAGTTGGGGCAAATCCTTTGATAAGTTGATGAAAAGTCCTGGTAAGTTTATTTCGGTTTCTAGTTGCAGTTTTTGTATTTACGAATCGATCGTTTTTAGCGGGTAGGAAAGTATTTAGAGACTTTTTGAAAGGAGAATACTCTGAAGAAAACATTCTTTTTTGGTTGGCATGCGAGGACCTCAAGAAACAAACTAATAAGGAAGTGATCGAAGAGAGAGCGCGTCTTATATACGAGGATTATATATCTATCTTATCTCCAAAAGAGGTAAGCGAATAGGAATAGCTGATTCCGTTCTGAAAGGTATTGCTATAGGTGTCTCTGGATTCGAGAGTGCGGGAAATAGTCAACCGTAACATGGTAGAACCTACGCCGAACACATTCGACGAAGCTCAAGTCCAGATATATACTCTCATGCACAGGGATAGTTACCCTCGCTTTGTCAACTCGCAAATGTACAAATCCTTAGCACAAATCGATAAGCAAGACAAAGACTTGGTTCGTAATTCACGCGCAATGCAGAATCCCCACTTTAAACCTCTCCCTTAGCACCAGCAACCGACATCATCAACGTCATCAATAATATCGGTGGACTTAGGCAACGCGCAATCTCAAAGCGCAAGCGTACAAGCAACCGCGTCGACACCCCTTTTAGGGGGAGCTGCGCCTGCTGCTCACCCGGTACAAGTCACTTCAGCGCGGGACCAGGCAGATGGTAGTTAAACAACTCCCTTCGTATCTCAAACAGGTGATCGCGAGCCTTAGCAATCGACTATTTTATAAAGCAACCCTCTAAACTTGTTCCAGGCGGCCTAACAAGAGACTCTTTAGTCGACAATAACAGGGGACCCCGGCTAGCGGCAAAAATAACCCAAAAAAAAAACATCAACCAACCAATCTTCAGTCCAAATATTGCGGGTAAAGATTATCTATCGTCTTCAATTCGCCAGAGGCCTAGTAAAAGTCAAAAGCCGCTGCCAACTATTTTGGATCATTCCTCGCACAGTGCACGGTATAAATGTGTCCGTTTAAGTATCGGCAACGCTGCCTTTTAGTACATCGAATCTATAGGAAGGTATATATTATACGGAGCCGGAAGTGCGACGCTTTTTCTCTGATTTTCTGTGTTGGTTAGTGTCAAAATACGATATGAACAAAGTCGGGTGTTACGGAATAGGTTTAAGCGGTCTGCACGAAATCAGCTTTAACTTATCTATAACGTGGAAATTCGATGAGTCTACGATGCAAATCGAGATGTAGAAAATCTGATGATATTTTGCTTAGAGTTGCTTGTTTTGCAAATATTGTAGACTTTCGATATCCAACTTGTGCCGACCGTATTGTTATTCTGAAACGGACTTTGTTTGAATACATTCCGATATACGCGCAAACATATTTATTGGCCTACAGACGGCCTTCACGGTTTAACTCGAAACTAATATTTTGACACTAAGATTTAATCTGTTAGATTGTTTGTACTAATCGGTGGGACACTTTAGAGGACCAAATTAAAGCAAAAAGCAAAGCAAAAATCAGGACGCTAACGTGAGATGTGTTCGTTCGTCCTCTAGCTTCAATGGAGCTACCGATGTTCGTATGTTCACTATGTACCATAGCAATCATGACCGATCTGGATGTCATAATCGCTCACATATAAAAATTAGTGTTTGTGTTATAATAACGAATATGGTTCATCTCACTTGTATAGTTAGGATTAAGGGCGACGGCAGCTTTAATATAAACTTGTAATATCTATCGAAAAACATACAGGGTGGTTCCATGACAATTGTTTCTCAAATATAGTTCCAGTCTCAAGTCTTACTATAGTCTTCGTTCAAAGTGATTAATACTAGTACAGTAGAAATGGATCGCCAATATTAACTTCAAATTAAGACTATTCAACGCCTTAGTGCGTTCACCATAACTACCATGTCGGTAATTATTGCTGTACAAATGAAATACACTCAGATTCTCTAATATGGGCAGCGCAATTACTCTCGCCTTACTGCTTTTAACTTGTCACTTTGTTTTATTTTGCTTCAAATGTCTGCTCGGCACTCCTTGGTCTGCTCCATATTTCTTGTCTAGTTCAAGACAATTCGCTCTCTTCTCTCTCGCTGGAGAGGGTGATGGTCTCGTGCTTTACTACTATTTTTACTGTCAACCATTTTCTGCTTATTCCATAATACTATGTTGTCTTTTGTTTTTAATGTTTTTAATAATACTACTCTCATTCGTTCGATGAGCAAATACTGATTGGATACCCGATTAAGTACTGACGACATGAGCAATCGAAGTGTATGTTTCTATTTCGTTTCCACAGCAATTTTTAACCGATAGGCCCGATCTACCTTAATAAATAATAATAAAAATGTAAAACATGTAGTTTTGAAAAAAAAGAGTAACCCCATTCGCAAAATTCACAAAAAAAAACAAAAAATCAATAGGGGGACAGGAAGCATCAGCGCGTGGAGATATTTTTATATCCGCTCATTACTCCGGTACGACCAAAATTAAATTTTGACAGCAAAATTTGGTTAATGCGAGTTGATTGTGGCGTAAAACAAATATCGATCCGATTAAACCCATTACAGTTTAATGCTAATTTTGTTGGGAAAAGTTTGACTTCCAAAGATTCAATGATTTAGCCTGTGTAGATGGTAATCAAATGCAGCACAGAGGCTCTGTTCCGATCACCAATGGGGCTTCCGAACTTGATAAAATACGACAACGCGGAATGCGTTGGTAAAAATGCTGTCTAGCAATTGCAACTGGTAAAAATATTTAACGTAATTTTTTTAATGCTTTACTTAGTTGGATGAATATTGACGGTCCACCGAGAAAACCTTTCTATACTGGAACGATATAGAGAATTGCTCAAAATAATAATAACCAAAGAAATATTTTTAAGTCGTTTAGTTTGTAACATTTATCTTTGAGCATTTCTTTAGGAACAGACAAATTTACAAATGAAAATTTCCATTAGCTAGTACGGAATTTTGTTCTCGTAAAAACGATAGTTTGTAAACTGTTGGACGCAATAACATAAAATATTCTGTATTACTGTACAGTATTAACCAATCATCAATCTCAAACGCACAAAACATCAGTGTTATCTAGAATTTTCTACAACAAGCATACGTAATTTTTTAAACAAATGTCCGTTTCGATTACGTGATCAGTTGATCGCAGATGCATGTTGGATTTGCCGGTGATGATTTGATGTATACTTAATAATTAATTTTCTCCAAGTGTTCGAACGACCGTATGTCGTTTTTTGCAATTGTAGACTATTTCTAGTAGCAATAATTATTTTGGCCTATTAGCAGCAAAACTAGAGGTTCTTTAAATACTCATTTCAACACTGGCACGAAACATGTTCCCTGTATATAACTTTAGTAACTGAGTAGAAGAACTCAAATCTTTTAGTCAGTCTAAATAGTGTATATGTGTTTTCTGTGGCTGCCGTTGCTATAAGCTCCCCTCTGTCCCATTAAATGATCCCCATCTATACCCATCCCTTCAATTTTCCCACCGAAACCAAAAATATTTCAAAATGTGATATAAGTATCTAAAGAAGACCACGGCAGAATTGCCTGCTATAAATCTAGTCAACACCCATTCTGTTAGCACTATTACACAATAATATAGTACACTAATAATCGATACACTCTATGATAATTCATATAAATAAATATCAAATATAACGTTATCTTTTATTTACCTTTAAGCCCTGGATTTTACAGTCACGCGGTCCCCATGAGAGAGGTTTCCAAAAACCCGTGAAATATCTAAAGTAGTACAATTGTTTAAACGAGTTTTGTGTTTATTTGTCTCTTGAGACGCGAGATAAAAACGATAACGAACGAACTTCAATTAGGATGAAAACAAATTGGCTCACTGGTACCCATAATCGCAGGTCCGAAATGTTTCAATATTAGAAGTCTGTTTAAAATAAATCACGGAAAAATACAAATTCATTTTGTATCAACCAAGTCAACAAAATGAAATTTTAAAGTAACTAAATTTAAACGAATCGGAACAAATCGGTTCAACATTTGCGATTTATCAATTTTAACAGTCATTTAATACCCGTGGTGGTGCGACAGGGAAAAAAGCATTCACGCTCAAGCTGTTAAAGATAATTTCTCATAACAGGGCCCACCGTTTATTTTCTTTTCCTGGGAATGTTTATTTTTCGCATATTTATCATGGAAGCACTGCCATATCAACTGTAATCAGATAGAGGTCGTTCCAAATAAAATTTCGGATTATTTGATTTTTACGTTGTGTCAAATGGGTCTATTCCTTAGATTAGATATTCACTTTTGCTAAATAATTATAAAAGAATTCTGTCACAAAGTATAAATTTTGGTTGTTTTTAAAAAAATCCCGAAATAGGTTTTTTGATAAAATTTCAAAAATATATATAATTTGTTTAGCTTTAAATTTTTTCTCCAAAATTATAGATATGGAAACCACTTGCGAATGGGAATATAATACCATTTTTCGCTTTTTACTTTAACCCATATTATCTCAAGCATTAAAAAAAATAATTTTTTACTCTGAAATTATCTATTTTGTTGCACTTAGGAATGAATATATTACATGTGTCAAAAAAAAATAAAAACTAAAAACATAAAAAAAAATATTGGTGCGTAAACGAACCACTGATGTAACAATAGAACCTAATTTTTTACAAAAAAACGCATAATATTTTATGGTGCGTGAGCGCACCACTGGTAACACCCGGTTTCATTTTTGGTGATATTTTACTAATGTAAATGCACATTACACTTATTACAAACGTAAATTATGTGGCTGTGACAGATTCTACATCTCTTTCGGGCTTTATTCGCATGAACAATCATAAGGCGACCGTGATTATCATAACGCACTTCATCTACGGCAGGTGCAATATTTCTTTGAGTAATTGTTCTATCAGTTTTTAAAAGTCGCAAAGCTATGTAACATTTAAAATCAAATCAATCACTTCGTCATCAAAAAACATAAAAAACATTTCAAGCGGAGTTTTTCCAGAAAGCCTATTTTTTAGTTCCTCACATGATCTGAATTCATCGAATATATGTGAGTGACCTTAATCTGACCTTTCTTCCATTTGACAGTAGAAGCAAGCCTGTCGTTTGCAGAAAGCATACGTCTTCTTTTGAAATCCAGGGTTTCATCATCTGAAGAGTCCCATTCAGGTTCAGTAGTTGATGATGAATTACAGGACTGTTAAAGGACAGCTGTATCATTCGGTGTATGTAACTCGAAAGTTCCAACTATATCAGTTGGTTCCCCAAACTCTTGTAGTCATGCAGTCAAGATTTCCACGTCGGGTGGTATCTAGACCGCGTCAATATGTTCTGTAAATATTTTTCACGTTATTTTTAGCATAAATTTACAAGGAATGGAATGATACAATATACATGTAGAATACGTACATCCAAATAATACTTACGACTTTCATTGTTATTGTCCTCATACATCACGATCTAACTACACAAACTAATACTAAAGAACACGCTAATTGTTGGATGTTTATTCTACATGCGCTGACTTGTCTAGACTTGCAATAACATAGTTTTGTCTCACAGACAAAACCAGTGGTGCATTCACGCACCAGTAAATATTTTCAAAAAATAAAGCATAATCAATATAGTATTTCCAATGTATGTTTTCTGCGATGTTATCTACATGCTATAGACTTAACAAAAATGGCAATACAAATCCAAAATATTTTTCTTTTACTTTTTTGGATTTACTTGAAAATGTGATACAAATTTATGTATCGCTTTTGTTAACTTTGGAATTGATATATCCTTTCCTTTACACATAAATTAGCGATTTTTACGGTTTTATGTCCTTTAGGAGTGATAATAATAACATTTCTAAATGGATGTGCAAAAATATTTCCTGGATGTGACAAAAAAATCATAGAATAGGTGGTGAATTAATGCACCACTGGGACAAAATAGGTTAAGGGATTTAATTAAAAATCTCTTTGTTTTATAGTTCGATGTCCCTAGATTTAAGTAAAAAAGGGTATATTTCACAACTTATGCGATAGCTTAATTCAGATTGCAAGTTACGAATTACTACTAAAATAATTCTTATTGCCTCCAAATAGGATTTTATCACAATAAAAATGTAAAAGTAAATTGCGGAAGTCATGAAAGCAAACCCGGTTTTAATGTTTTTAATTTATATATTTACAAAGTGAACATTTAAAAAATAAATCAACGTTACGATGATACAGGAAGATCACGATTAACAGCTTTGCTGTTCATTTCTTAGTAGGGCAAATATCGGCTAAAAATCAAGCCATTAACGATGTAATAAGGCTTTCGCGGCCATCACTTTAAAATACGTTTTCGAGGCGGTCGTCGCGAGTTGTTCGTTCTCAACGTTTCGGCGATTTGAATGATCGACATCATACAAATATACAGGTTAACAATAGCCGTAGAGGTCGATCAACTGAGCTATCAGGAATAGTGTCAATTGCTCACATTGACTCACGGCGAAGGTGAAAATCGAAAAACAACCGTTTTCAATGAGGCCGTTATAATGTAGTAGCAAAAATAACTAAGTTAGAAAAAACCCGTAAAAAAATAAATAATAAGTTGAATATTAATATAGCGACATAATCGCATTACGCGTGGTATAAAAATATTAACTGTTCGAAATTAAGTAGGTATAGGTACGTCATTCAACAGGTAAACAGGTACTGCGCAGGCGTGTTGTGCCATGATTGCTAAGTATGTGCGTTAACAAAAATTTTGCTGCAAAATTGTGAAACGCTGATAAGACATAACGATTATTAAGAGTTTAAAGGGTTCTTTAACAATTTCAATAACAATTAAAATAACGAACCAGTCGAAAATCAGCCTTTTAGAATTGCTTTAAAATTAAACTTTATACTCAACCAAGAGATAGAGTCTAGCGCTTTTTTTTCTCGAGAAGACATTGTCCTATTTTCTAACCTACATTTACTATCATTGTCAAAATTATTTTTTTAATGCGACTTTTAACAGAATTTTCGCAAAGCGTAACAACGACTATATTAAAATTTTTGTTAAAAATCGCCAAATCTAACCAGACTATAATTTTACATCAACAGGGAAAATACAATGAAACATGTTTTACGTATAAGATATGTAGACAAAGTCGGACTAAGCCAGTTAATACTACAAAATTCGGCACAGGGCCGGACTGGCACAAAATGGACGACGTCTAATCCGATTGTGAATACAAAACGATTAATAGGATACCTATACTGACTATTCCATTGCTAAATATTGTCTACGGAGATATAAAAATCGTCAACTACTTTGGCATGTTACGTTTCGTCTTCTACTAGGACTAGTTTATTCTACAACCGACACAACACTACAATAATGTCTAGACTGGCTGGGATCTTCCGAGTTCGAATTCAATTTAAAGAACAAATTACAATTTAACAACATTACTAAGAACTGCGTCTATGTTGGGGTCTTCATTTAAATTTTACTGCGGAATTTATACAGTAAAAAATAGATGCGATACTAGCACTTTAAAAAAATTGTGAGCCCTTAATTTTTTTTATTTCTCTGGTATTTTTATCCGAACAATATATGAACCATTTAACACTTATAACAGATACTTGTAAAATAGTATTTCTTTACCTTCAAAGGCGTAAAAAACTAGAAATATTAACGAAAAGAAGTTGGTATTAGTTACCCCTTTACCGTTTCAATATTTGTACATGTTTTGTGTACTTCTGTAAGTCTGTTGCAAGGAAGCAGATTGGTCTTCTAGATTCCTTTTCAAATTCTGAATTGTGTTAAGCAGTACTTGATGACGCAAATTCTCGGTACTGCCAAGTTTATTTTTAACTACACTAACCGCTTCGCTGTTTAAATTAAATACCACCGTTTTGCCTAAAAGTGATCGATGAAAGTATAAGGTCATCGCGACGATCACAAAACTCACCGTGATGCTTTGTAAAATTTACCGCGCTACAGCCGAAATATACTTTCCTGCGCATGGGCTCGCTCTGCGGACAACTTTTTGATAGCTTTTTCCTAGCTGTGTGGAACTCCTCGTCGTCAGAACTACTACTTTCCAATGTTGCCGCCATGTTTGCCCTCTTGTGCCTAAAAACACTTCTATTAGTAACAAATGCAGCGCCCCGACTTCGCCTACCTCGGGCTTGACATATTGTCGTTTTTAAGCAAAATGCTTCTAGGTTGATGACATTTTCGAGGTCCAATTGGTGAAGTATACGCAAAGTGTCGATGTTCCTTCATCGTTTTCTTTGTTACCATTAGACCGTTGTCGTTAAACTTCTTTTTAACTAAAGGCGATTGGTGTATTTCTTCCGGCAAGTTTCTCCGTGGGATCAACGGCGTTTGACCTTGAAGCTCTTTCCGAACAGACCCGGGTGAATTATTGATAATAAAATTGGTGATATGGTTTTTCTTAGGACTAAACCGATTAGTTTTCGCATTGGACGGCACTTTATTAATAGCTAAATTCGTGTTTAACGTATCATCTACAGGTTTACTTTTGAAATGAACCTCCGCTTTGGCACATTCCGCAGACTTCAGAAGTTCTACTCGCTTATTAGCCGGACCAGGTAACCTTCGTGGTGAAAGACCGTTAATATTCATTGTCCTTATGATTTGTTCGGCTTGACCAATTAATTCGCGGTATTTTAAATCAGCTTCCATATCTCGTTTATCTATAAGTTGCGTCGTGTCCCTCTGCAAACAGACAGAGTTGGAACGCTTTTTTAGGCACTCGTCTTGAGCTGATTTGGAAGGTTCAGGTCGAAAGCTTGATCGGCGGACGGATACGGGTGTTGCTCCGGCACTTTTCGAACCGTTTTGATGGAAACTTGAATGCCTTGAATTTAAAATAGACTTTAGTTCATTTCAGTGGTTTCGGTGGATTTATGTCCAACAAAATAAAACTCCTAATCCTAAATCTAAAACTTTCTCATAATTCATTTTCCTGATACACCCACTATATTGTAAACACCAGATTCATGACTTCGTTCCAATGATTTACAGAAGCAGTTATTTGCCAAACCAAATTAAATGCCTGTGCAAATGAAAATGACTAACGCAAAATTGATTATGAAGTTTCTATAAGGCTTAAGAGTGACAGGTCAATATCTATTTTATTCAATAAATTTAAAACATACTTTAACCTCTCCGAATGTCTCAGGCATCTCTTATTAGGAATAGGCCGATGTCTCTGTGAATTAGAATCTTTAAATCTTCTGACGTTGCGTTTCCTTGAAGATCTCCTTCTTTGTGAATCTAGTGGTACAAAATAAGAGCAGTGTCCCGTGTTATCCGTTTTGCAGTCTATTTCTAAATAGGAACCTGAAAACGTCTATCCTAAATTTTGATCTATTAGGCTATGGTTTATTTGAGTTTAAATAAAGCGAAGTACTTTATTATAAATGATATAATTTAAAAGCTTAAATGATCCATTCTTGTTTTGACTATGATTCTTTGTTTTTTAAAGCGAAATTAATAATCTCAAAATATGTTTTTTTTTATTAATTTTGATTATTTATATGACTTAATTGATTATTTTGATTTTGATTATATTTGTTATCCAAAACGGCAATTTTTTCACATTCACGTTCATATTTTAATAGATCGAATTTCCAAAATTCAAGTAAAAATTCGAGACCTCATAAACGATTTATTTCGATAAAATTTTTTGATTATGTCAATATTACATAAAATCACATTGGCAGCGAGACGAGACATGGATCTATCGAGTGTCTACCACTTGCGTTATCTTTTTAATATCCAAAAGTAATGCCCGGTGTGTCTCATCAGTTAATGTACCGTAATGATCAGAATCCATCAACGATTTTCAAATTCCTAGGGCGAAACAGACTTAACAATAAATATTTTTTATCAACAAACCATTATCAATGAAGTCTAGTTCAGCCTCGGCCATGTCATCTTCATCCCCGCCATCTTGGCCGGTGTCAATATCGCTTTCGCAGTCAGTGGGGTTGCTGTCACTTAAAATATCTGTTTCTTTTTCGTACACATAGCTTTCGTCGTATTTCCCCATCATTTCGTTCAAAGTACAATCATCTTCGTCACTTAAGGAACGTGGCACATGGTGATCGAAAGCTATGTTAGTAGCGCTTAAGGAAGAACATGAAGAAGATGATAAAGAACGACGATGGACTGCAGGACTCAAGTATCGATGTTGTATGCTAAAAATTGGCGAATTTAATTTCCATGGGCCAATAAGTGCGTGGACCTACGAGCTATCCTGGTAGCTTCTAAAAACTACCGGTGTTCTTTTTAACTCTTGCCTTGAGGGCACAGGCGTAGATGTTCCGTTGGATGTACCACCAGGTAACCATGGATTTGTTCTTATTCTATTTCTTTGTCTAGGTGAAACTATACCGCTCACTGTACCCTCAGTAATCTTTCCGTAAAATATAGTTGAAGACTGTAAACTGGTATCCTTCTCTTCGACATCGGTTGCCTAAAATAATGCAATTGCCTTTAAGTGGTAGAAAAAACATATTCTGCCCACTAACTTTGGTGGCAGGTTGTTGTGGTATGTATTTATCGTTTATTGAAGAACATGCGTTTTGAGGGTTTCCGTTAGAGGTCAATGTGTTGGCCACCGCTGAAATTAAAAATGGTTGCTGGACAAATGGCGATTCTTTAATATATTATATTAAGCTGACCTTGTGTTTTTGGACCATTTAGCAAGTAATCGGGTGGAGCACCCGGAGACGTGCCATCGGTACTATATCCGGTGGAGTAAGCCGATTCTGGAGAAGAAAGATTTGTGGTTGAGTACCGGGGGAATTGTGTATTCGCGCCGTCACGTTTGCAATAAACTTTGTAGTTTTTAGCGTGTTTTATTTTTGGTGGTGCCGCGTCATCTTCCTGTAAGAAATATGTCTTCTAATTTGCATTTTATCGCGTTAAACAGTAACTTGGGAAAACAAAGGGAGGCTTTAACTACCATTTCTGATGCATAATTTCAAACTAACAATCTTGTACAATTTTTGAAATGTTTACAATTTTTTACATTTTACAATATGACACTTAATAGCGGACACCCGGTGGATTGATAGGTTTTTACCTTATAAAAGCATTTACTATTTTTGTTTAGTATTAAATCATGTTCTACTCGTTTCGTTCTTTTTTTCTATGCCAAATGTCCAATCATCCCCCCAATGTAATTTTTATCTCATTTCATTTAACATCATTAGAAAACAACGTCCCAGTAGTTCAAAATGTGACGTCTGCACACATGATAAAGCGTTTTTCTATTTATTATTTAATTGTTTTAAAAATATAGAAAAAATCGTGCAACGCTGTCAATATTCATTGGTAGTTTTCAAGTCAAATTTAAACTTAAAACTAACCAAAACTATGCAAGTTTTGTAGAAATCACTGAATTCAGCTAAGAGAAAAGTAAACCTCCTGGTGGTTTATTATCGGTGAAGACATTTTTTTTTGTATTTTAATTGATGAAAGGTTCAATTATTGCAGCAACAATAAAGCTAGGACTTGAATATTTATGGAAAACTCGTCGTGTTGAATTAATTAGCTTAAATCAATTTGGAATAATTTATTGAAAATTAATCTGAAATGAAGCATCAGTTTAAATAACTATAACATTTAGGAATTTGAAAATACTTACCCCATTGACACTAGACAAACAATTGCTTTCCCACTTAACCGTGTGACTGGTTAAATTAGAGCCATTTGAAACCGTGATTAAGCATTTTCCTTGTTTATCTTTTCGTTGTTGTTTCTTTTTGGGCCTTACGGCATCCATCCATGCCCGCAACTTGCTTCCAAACATTTTTTTCAGCTTAAACGAATTGCGAATTAGAAAATATCGTTTACGTTGGCCAGACACCAGTACATATAACATCACTAATAGAACGCCGAAAATAATTTTATTTGAGTACCAGTTAAAAATAAAAATAAATCTGTTATTGAGTCCGATTAGAGTTACATACAGATGTTTCGCCATGCACTCACCCCTATTTCAAACCGCTGAAAACCACATCAGCACATCCAAAAACTACACGCATTTAACTAAGATAGCAGAACCGGTTCATGACTGGTATTTTCCTAAGCGTTCCGCACTTTTCCGATAACCGCGTTAATTTTCCGGCCATGTTTCCAGTCGCAAACCTTTTCTACTGCTACACTCTCCGCAATAGCACGTCCAAACGTCAATGATGCATCTTCTAGCGACGCTGAACGTCGGGGCGCCGACGCCGACGGCATATTTCAACACTCTGTTATATTCTGACACATGGTCCAACAGATTCATTCACTTGAAAGATTCTCCCCAATAAGACGTGCTCAAAATAAATTCAGATATGTACTTAATTATAATTAATTTTTCATTTATTTATTTTAATAATAATAAAAATAAAAATAATAATAACAATAATAATAATGATAGGCAATTCAGTCAACAGGATTACACCCAACATATAAAATTGACGCTTTATGTCATACATTTGTCACAGATATTGGGGGATTTAAATTCTTTTCTTAAATTCCCCGTGATTTTTTTTTCATTACCACTAAAATTATTTAAATTAAATTATTTTTAAAATCATTCTTATTAATCCCACAAATCAACCGTGTTTTAACTTAATTTTAATTTAATTAGCTGGACATCCATTAACTTTTTGGGAATTTATTGGGTATATTTTTATTGCAATGAAACAACTCAGTGATGCTGGTTATATATATTTATTAGGGAAATAACATTTACATAAAATATGCGATACGACATTTAAAATTTTGTCTTTTAAGCATATTGAAGCTTACATTTGTTTTGGTTAAAGTGCACATTGAGAATATTAATTATTTGAATACAGTCATATTTATGCAACTTTTAACAAATTGCTAATATAAATTCGTTCAGATAGGGTATGGTTTGCAGCAGATATTCCACAAAGAACACATTCTTTTATATTTTTAAGCACATATCGCTTCGGAATTATAAATAGCTGCAACTGCTGAATGATAAAGAGTTGTTACTGCAGGGAACATCGCCTGAGGAAAAACATTGAACATTTCGCACCCATAGGCCAGGGCATTTAATTCTCTCTGTTAACACGACGACGACGTCTTAACCTTGATTGTACCCTTTGGGAGCGCGCATTGGAACTGGGACGTCCGATTCTAGGAAATTCCCCTGTATCCTGCTCAACCGGCTCTTTGTATCCGGCTGTGTTACGCAAAATATTTAATTCTTGGGCAGGTCTGTCGCCAACCCTCAGTCCTTTTTGTCTAACCCGTGGACGTTTCGGTGCTACAGCGACTACATCGTTGTCCATGTTCTCTTTATTATACTTTCTGTTTTCTTCATCGTCGATTTTCTTCAAAAATTCGGTCAGCCATTTGGTAATGTAACGCTTCTCAGCTTGAATAGCACGCCGTTCCAGTTTTTTGAAAACTTCATGTTTCAACGAGATATATATCACTCCCGGACGTGGTTCGACGTATGGTTTCAACCAATAAGGTACTATACCGATCGGAATGACTATCTGATCTCCTTCAAAAAATGCCTGATAGGGCCGTCTCTTTTCTGTCGATTGGGAAGACATCATGCTTGATAAAGGTTTGAACGATTTATGAACCCTGGAAAACATTACCTTGTCCAAGCACACAATTTTGTTGTGCACCTCGCGGTAACCATGGAGGGGGTTGCATCGATATTGATTTTCGTCATGAGCACGCCTGGAAACTGGATTCGCAATCCCACGTCTGACATTATTGCTAGGCGACAATGGAACGTTCTACCGTAAACTTTAAAATTCTCCTACCAGCCTTTGCTTTATTTGTATATACTTCGAATAAATTTTTTACTAGGTCTAAGTACCAGTGCAATTCAAATAAATTAGGTAGGTAATTTTATTCTAAATCTAAATATTTTTGGATTTTTCTATAAAACTTATAAGAAATAAGTTTTGGATTGCAGTAACCAAAACATAACAAATCCCAAATGGATTTCATTTTATTATAATTATTATATTATAATTTTATTAATTGTACAGATGTGCAAAGTCGAAAAAATGGGAGCAACCATACATCAAGGAATATGTTAACAAATCCGCATCTTCGTTCAATAAGCGCCATCTATGAGCAAAAAAAAAGAACTTAACAAAAGTTGCTATCAGAATTTTAGCAAATTTTTTCGTATTTTTCGTATGAAAATCCATAGAAAACACTCATATCTGTAAAAATCTAAATAAAAAATAATAATCACGGAGAAAAAACTATTTATTTATCCAAATCATAGAGGGATTGGCACTGTAGATATCGTCCATATCGACAACAGTGGTTCCCACCATAGGTATATTTATATATATATATATATATATATATATATATAAATCGTCCGTGTCGACATTTACTACGGGCACACATGTTTATCTTGTTCTTTAACCTCAAAATTGTTGGTGATCACCTCCTATTTTAAATGTTACTTTTGTTTTCTTTAAAACTGGGTTGCCGTTTTTCGTCATTTATAGTAATTGTGAAATTTTAAAGAAAGCTTTAGGCAAAATGTTCATAAAACTGTGAAGGGAGGTTAAAAATTAACATCAAATATGGAAAAGCGATTGCAGTCATTGAAACTTCCTCGCGACTTAACATTGGGAGGTACAAAACCCAAAAAATTGTATGCACCAAATATAACCGTTACAAGGAGAAAGGAAAAAGTCAAAGAGTTGGTAAACAGGAAGACAGTTTTTAAAAATAATTTCATCTTATGTTTTTAGTGTTGTGTTTAAAAAAGAAGATAAACAAAGATATTCAAATAAGTTCAATGGAATAAGCCTTAAGAAAATTAACAAGATTGATCGATTTATACAATCAAGTGGTATATTTTCTGAAGGTGTAGGAAATGATGCAATCAAAAAGACAAGACATGAAAGAAGTTATATGCCTAGAGATGAGAGTCACCAACATATTCCTATACCAACTGTAAAAAAGGACGAATGGAAGGTAGGATCACACCTCTGCAATACACAAGAAAGTATATATAGATTTAATTGCAACTCTATTAGGTAGACAATAAATTGGAAACAAGAGTTTATGATGACATTCTCGGCTGTGATGTTTTAAGTGAGGATGAAGAGCCAATGCCTTTCAAGCCCCATACATGGAATGAAAATGACCTAAAAGAATGTATAGGTATGTATGTAATATTTGCAATATATTATAGCTTATTCACACCTTGCCTTAAGTTTAACACAATTTATCATCTTTATAGCTCATTCCAAAGTGGTAAATAAACCTGAAATTAAGCTAGAGCATGTGGATTTACAGAATGGCGAATGTAAGTGCACGATTCAGGTTTCTTTGAAATACAAATTTGGTGTATTAATGACATTTTTTGTAGTTAAAATGGGGGGAAATGTTATTCCAAAAGATTTTAGGGACAGTGATGCTGTTGGTGATAATAATCCAACTTTAACTCTGTGGAATGTAAGTAGCAGTATTCATTAATTGAACAAGCCAAGTACCTAAAAGAATAATTATATAGCTGCCAGATTCTTTTGCCGGGAAAAGCTTCAGTGATGATCCAAATGTAAAAAAGTTTTTTGATTACAAATTAACAGATATGCAAGAGGGTCAAATAGGGAAACTAGTGATTAGAAAATCTGGAAAATTAGAAGTATACATAGGATCAGGCAAATATGATTTAGAGCCCACAAATTTGCAGAGTTTCTCAGAGGTTAGTGCTACAATTAAACCTCAAATGTTTTTTTTACCTTTCTTTTTTAGAACCTCATGGAAATTGATTTGGATGCCACTTCATCGACTTCTGTTCTAGGTTCTATACAAAATAGGTACATTCTTAACCCAGATTGGGATGATTTGCTATCATGATGTCTACTTGTTTTTAGGCTAATTTATTTATTTATTTGTCATGTTATACTTTACATTCAAACTATGGAAAATATTATTTGTTTTAACTCAGTCTCGACATGAAAAATAAATATTTACCACTTATTTTTAATTGAATTTATCTACCTCTCTTTTGAATTCCAAACTTAGGATGAATATTTTGTTAATGTTAATTAATTAAAAGAATAAATTACATGTATCTTTTATGTATTTTAAATAATGATTTTAATTATTTTTATGAAAGTAAATGCTATAATTTAATTACAATATTATTATATTATTTAGATAATTAATAATAATTATTATATTAACAATTACATACGGATAAGGAAATGCAAAAATATCAAAATGGTACAACCCAAAGTTGTTTGCTAAAAATTACGTTTTAATCATTCATGAAAAGGCAAACTTAGGGCTTTTGACACAAAGCAGAATATCTCAGACACTTCTTCAATCTGAAATAAAAAATTCAATTAAAAAATAATTAAATATCAATTGCGCAGCTACTATTTTTGATGTTGGTTTCCCTTGGCCATGACCAGCTTTTGTCTCAATTCTTATGAAAAGGGGATTTTTTTGTTGTGGTAAACTACCGATTTTATGTTGCAATTCAGCAATGAACTTCAAAGAATGCAAAGGCACTACCCGGTCGTCATGATCTGCTGTTAAGAGCAGGGTTGCAGGATATTGAATACCATCTAAAATACAATTTCATACACTAGAAAAAGCAATAAATAAGGTAAGCATATTGCATACTTTTTGGTTTTTCAATATTGTGTAAAGGAGAGTACTTATAAAGATATCTAAACTGATCTGCCTCTTCAGAACAACCATAATCTGATTTCCACGCATAACCAATAGTAAATTTGTGATATCTTAACATATCTAATACACCGACTTGGCAAATGGCAGCGCCAAATAACTCTGGAGCTTGATTTATACATGCGGCCACCAACAGGCCTCCATTGGAACCACCCTGAATAGTAAGTTTATATGCACTGGTATATTTTTCCTGCACCAAATACTTTGCTGCATATTGGAAATCATCAAAGCAATTTTGTTTTTTATCAAAACGACCGCCATTGTGCCATTTATCCCCATACTCCCTATAAATAATTAATGTATTATAAACTGCTCTTAATTTTTTAAGGAAGAAAATAATCCTCATACAGTTTTCTATATACTACCAACTTAGATAGGCACACTGTATATTACTTTTAAGATATTATAACAAAAAGGCATACCCTCCTCCACGAATGTTAGCTAATGCAAATATACCATCAAAATTGTTAATAAAAACCAGCCTGGAAATACCAAATGAGGGAGTTATATTAACATTGAAACCACCATATCCATAGAGGAGACACGGCTTGGACCCATCTTTAACTAATCCCTAAAATAAAACATTAATTACCACTCAAAAATAGGTTCAAAAGTTAACCTTTTTATTGACAATAAACATTGGTATATCTGTACCATCCTTGCTCTTGTAAAACACCTGTTCAGTTTCATAGGAAGACGGATCCAGGTCACCAACTTTAGTTTCATGATAGATCTAAAGAAAACATAATAAACACTTCATAAATTTTGAACAATTTTCCTTAACTCACACTTTCATTAATCTTGTTGCCATCAAAATTTACTTTATAAATTATATTTGGTGTAAGGAATGAACAGAAACTATAAAACATTTCAGTATGGTACCTCTTTCCTGAAATAGCTGATATAGTACCCACTTGCAGATTGAAATCATGCAACTTTTTTCCAGTATTTATATCAAAAATATGCAATGTATTCTGCAAACAAAACGAAATCAAAATCAAATAACTGGGCAACTTTGCAATATTACCTTAACATCTTTTAGATAACAAACTACAAGCATAGTATTGTTAATAACATGTGCCCAATCCAAAACGTCCCTTGGATTTTCCTCAATTAAATTAACCCATTGTGATTCAACTGGAGTATTAAAATCTATTAAAATAATTCGGTAGTTCGGAGCATCCTTATTTGTCCTGAATAAAAACTTACTACCTATATTAGTCACATACTAAAAAGGATAATATAAATGAAATCAAGTTTATCAAAAATAAACAAGTAAGGTACCTCAAAGTCAGCTTCAAACTTGGTGACTACTGGAGTGAGTTCCAATTTTTTCGTTAATTTTTGAGAAGGTTCAAGCTTTGTAAAGTATAATAAGTTATTTTTGCAACCTTTTATGGGTGTGACAAGTAAGTATGTTCCACAGTCACTCACATGAGCTCCCCTACAAGGTTGAAAATATTATGTATGCAAAAAATATGTAAAAGGGCATTGCATTCACTATACATTCTAAGTTCTTTATCTTCAAATTCAATGGCTTCAACATCTTCTGACTGGTCTGTGCCAAGCTCATGGTAGTACAATTTTTGACTTTCACTGTTAGTTGTTTCTGAACCATCAGCTTTACCTACTTGATCCAAATATGCCTAAAAACCAATTTTGACTACTTATATGAAATATCCAGTCCAAACTAATTCACCCCATAAAAAAACCCTTTGTTATCATGCATCCAAGTCATAGGGGAATACTTGACTTTTTTAAGTACTTCTTTGTGGTCTTTGCCTAAAAAAAAATAAGAGTGTGAATCTAACATACTCTAACTGACCAATAAAGAAATTACCATCATCTACATTTTTAAATCTTATTTCAATCCAGTCAGATCCACTTGAACTGAGACCATAAGCAAATGTTTTTCCATCTTCAGAGAATGCAGTACCAGACAAAGCTACAGTGCCATCTTCTGACATTATATTTGGGTCCAAAAATACCTGGCCTTCATCCTGCAATGTTTCTTGAACATATATGACACTTTGATTTTGCAAACCTAAAATTATAATTCAACATGCGGTAATGACGAACCAACACACATTGCAATAGCGATGAACTAATCAATCAATGCTCCTACCTGTATTTCTGTACTGATAATATTTATTTCCATGACGAAAGGGTGTGGAATATTTTGGATAGTTCCACAAATTAGTAATTCTATTTTTGATACCTTCTTTATAAGGGCAGCTATCAATATATGGCCTGGTTAGCTCATTTTGAGCATTTACAAAACTTTGGGTGTTTTCAGAATCTGGATCTTCAAGCCATCTATAGGGATCTTTTACCTACGCAACATATTTATTTTAACATATACCATCAACTATTAGAACTGTTTACTTCAACTCCAAAATAATTGTCAGTTATAGATTCATCTCTTTTTGCCTTTGGGTACTTGTAGGACATCTTTCTGCAAGATGCAACTACAAACTGCCTACGCAAATAATCATGTGATTTTATCTAAAAATATGTTACAATGTTATCTCATTACCTATGCTTACAAAAATTAAATAAAAACCGCATTTAATGAAATTTCAATATAAGGTTAACTTATGCATGCACTAATGTTACATGCCGTTTTCACCAGAATTAAATTTTTAGGCGGGATCCCGAATGATATCTGTGGGCAATATTTCATAACATCGAACTGAATAGATGCAGTTTTCTTCTATTAAGCATATTTCGGCTCGTAGAGGGCAGCACCAAATTCGATTTAAGGCTACCTACTGCGCCATAGTCGTAAACACACTGGGTTGCTCTAATCACCAATTTACTGGTAAAGGGTAAGGGAGGTAACGCATCCATTGTTTGCCGTAATTTGTTATTAAGAAAAGACATTTAGAGATAAAAATTTCTTTCTCAAGTAATAATTCTTAGTGGAATAATAGAATCGGTGTGCATTTATGGTAGAAATACCTGATGACATGAAATTTTATATATGTCTGGAATGCGATGTACAGTGTTTAGAATAGCGGCATTAAAATTCTAAAAGCAAGGAACTTCAACAAATTTGGATTCAGAGATATGGGAGAAATAATGGTAAAAATGTTGGAGGAAAAAGTAAAATTATTGAAAACAACAAAAACGAGATGATTTTTGCGACAAAGTTTATTCATTATTAATGATCATTATTAACTATTTAAATGAATGGCCGAAGAAAACAAAAACTTCCACTTCAAAGCAGACTTCAATGTTTTAGTGATGTTTACGAAAAATTGTTTAAAAAACAAAGGTTAGTAACAAATATAAGTATACCTAGTACTTACCTAGGTATATTATCAATGAACAGCATAATTTTTACTCTCATTTTTGTGTATTCGTAAAACAAGTTTGTAACTAGCTGATATTTTGTATCTGCACTTCCTGATTATTTACCTCATAAATAGCAAAATATATATCATATTTTTGCGCTCAAAAAAATGTATAGCCTTTTATATTAGTCTAGTTTCAAAATTATTTATAGAATAAAAATTGATAGTTATCAAATCGGGATCTAACCATAACTAGGCCGGGAAATTGCCCATTATTATATTAAAGCTAACATTAATACTTTGATTAGCGAATGATATTTTTTCAAATATCTCGCGCCCTGTATAATTGACAAAACCTGAAACTCTCTCACAACACGGTTTACGATACTGTTCAAATAAAATTATCCCATCTTTAACGGTTTTTCATTTATCGCCATTAATTTACACACGAAAACGGAAATTTTTAGGATATTTTAGATTTTTTGCCCATAAAACGACACACCCTGTATATAATAAAATCATTGTTCGAACTAGAGGTTCTAGCCCTGGATGTTCCACGTCAAGAATTTTTTGAAAATAGTAAGTGGTTTTCGAGAAAATAAGTTTTTTAAGCCCCTGAATAACGATTTCAATATGGATTTTTTCAAATATCCCGAGCAGCGTTTGTGATAAACGAAAACCGCAAATATAAAAATTATAGCTCTTGATGCTGCCTAGGACACCGTTTGAACCAATTAGCTATATTTTTTACGATTTTTGATTTGCGGCTAATAATTTACTCCGTAAAAGGACAAATTTCTAGGTCTTTTAGATTTTTTCCTATAATTTGAAAACCCTGTATATAATCGAAAAATGCCCGAAATAAATGTTATTGCACTGGATCTTCTGCTTCTGCGGGTTAAAGAGTTTTGCCAACATTTTTAAAAAATACTTGGTACAATGTGATTGAGCCCAATTTCTACAGTTTAAATGTAGACACGGACCTTTACTTCACTGCTACATCTAAAGTTTTTAGGACACATTTCTCATTTAGCATGAAATATTGGGAACATCCTGTACAATAGGTGAAAACCTTTTGCTGGTTTGCGGGCTATATGGCAGTATAAAAGAAAGTGAGATCTGAATCATAGCCTTTCAGTTATAACCAATTTTCAATAATAGGGGGACCCATTTTTCAGTTTTTTTGAATTTGCGGCGCACCCTGTATACTTTTGAAAAATTGCCAAGAATAAAAGTTTATAGAGTCGTATCTTCTGCTTGGTCTGGATCAAAATTTTTTTTGGTCTCGTAAACAGTTTTTGAAAAATGATGTTTTTTGTAGACCCTTGCACGCGCGATTTTTTATTTTTTTAGAATACCTCCCGACCCCCCAGCCCCCCCATTTTAAATAGGTTCCGACACGGAGCAAGGCTGCGTATATGTGAAATAAATGTTATTGCACTGGATCTTCTGCTTCTGCGGGTTAAAGAGTTTTGCCAACATTTTTAAAAAATACTTGGTACAATGTGATTGAGCCCAATTTCTACAGTTTAAATGTAGACACGGACCTTTACTTCACTGCTACATCTAAAGTTTTTAGGACACATTTCTCATTTAGCATGAAATATTGGGAACATCCTGTACAATAGGTGAATACCTTTTGCTGGTTTGCGGGCTATATGGCAGTATAAAAGAAAGTGAGATCTGAATCATAGCCTTTCAGTTATAACCAATTTTCAATAATAGGGGGACCCATTTTTCAGTTTTTTTGAATTTGCGGCGCACCCTGTATACTTTTGAAAAATTGCCAAGAATAAAAGTTTATAGAGTCGTATCTTCTGCTTGGTCTGGATCAAAATTTTTTTTGGTCTCGTAAACAGTTTTTGAAAAATGATGTTTTTTGTAGACCCTTGCACGCGCGATTTTTTATTTTTTTAGAATACCTCCCGACCCCCCAGCCCCCCCATTTTAAATAGGTTCCGACACGGAGCAAGGCTGCGTATATGTGCCTAATATGAAGTCGATTGCTTCAAATTTCGTACACTTATCGTGTTACATAGCAAGGTCCAAAAAACAGTCGAAAATCGCGAAAAAAAGGTGGATAGCGGCGTCGGATCAAGGCCATTTCTTATAAGCTTATGTGCCTCGTGGAGGATAAAAAGGAGGCAAATTTCAATTTTGTAGCTCCAACGGTTCAAAAGTTATTTAGGAAAAACCAAAAGACGAGAACGGAGAACGGACAGACAAAAAAAAATTTTTTTTTCGACGGTGATCATTTCTGTACCAACGGCTATCCCATGGGACCTACCGTTACCGAGATATGAAATTTTTATACAAGCGCAGATACTTTCGAAAATTTCGATTTCACCGATTCTCGAAAGTAACCAGAAAAAAGCAGCGCTATACGCACTAATAGTAGATGAAAGGACAGGCTTTTATATGCGCTTTGGACACTGGGTCGCCGAATGAAGTCGCCGATAGTAATTACATACTGCGCACTGTATTCAATCGCGAATAAAATGAAACAAACTAATTTGTTAAAAAATATATATGTATATTTGTGACAGAAAAGTTGAAGGAAAAACATTAAATAATAATTTATTCGTAAAGCTCGAACGGAAATCTTAAAATAACCTAGAAATGAAGTAGGTACCTACTACATAGGAAACTATAGATCTCGGAGAATATAATACGCAAAAATCAAGATTTAATAATTGACAGTATATTTAATAAAATGAAACACACAAAACAATTTTCTTGGCTTAACAAATGTAACACATTGAAGCTAAAATATGGTATTAAGCCAAAGGTTCGCGTGTTGTGTTCGGTAGGAATAAACATAGGAGACCACCTCCGATCAGAAGTCCCGCCACTATAAATGTAGGAGCCGGACAATACATATCTAGCAGCGTTGCTATCACGATGTTACCAATGATACCACCGAGACGAGCTGCTACCATAGATATAGCAATACCTGTTGCCCTGTGAACAGAAAATCAACAGATATTTACGGATATGCATCTTCCAAGAGGTCCATAATTTACCTGAGATTGGTTGGGAAAATTTCTGTGATCAGACAATCGAGAGCCGCATTACCACATGATATAACGCTACTAAACGTCGCCGATACTGCCAAGTTTTGAGTTTTATTGCGCACAAAGTACATAGATGCTGCGCATGCTCCAGACGAAAGGGTACTGAACACTAAAATAACAAGTTTTGACATGTCCACAAATCTTTTGCTAAAGCAAGCACTCACCCAAAAAAAATTTTCTGCCTAATCTGTCCATACCAAGTACTGCTATGATATTGCTTGGCAGGGCCGAAGCCACCGTAATCAACGATTCCATAAACACTTCTTGACTGATTTTTCTGTCGCATACCGGGCTGCCATGGTCTTGAAGTCCGGCAGATGTGATGTATTCGACGACTTGGCACACCGACGCTGTTTCGTTAGTATATCTTCCATACGCGTCAAATCTGTTGAACATTTCTGGGAACCACATCATGAGTCCGTAATAACTAGAAGATCACGAGTCCATGATAACAACACATAACCCTCGAGACGTTAACAAAAATAACTTACCCGATGTGGAAAGTAAAATTGATGGTGATGGAAATTAAGGTGAATTTCAGAATTGGCGATACAAAAAGTTGTCTGCTGTTATCGATAATGTCGGTTAACATACTGAGGTATTTTCCCTTTTTGGCTTTTTGTAGAGCATCTTCTTCAATAGCCTTTTGATATTCTTCTTCTAAGATCAGATGTTTTACCGGATATTCTTCAGCTGGATTACCGGTGTTAATATGATAAATATGCTTGAAAATTGCAATGGCTTCTTCGCTTTTGCCTCTAGTTAACAAGTATTTCGGACTTTCTGGCAAAAAGCAAAGCAAAATGGCGACGATGAAAGATGGTAACGCCATAACAAGTAAGAAGATTCTCCATGAGTTGTAAACAAAGTGTTGAGTCGTCAGATCAATTTCAGCTGGTATGATTAACCATGCAAGACCTGCCACGAACAGGTTGCCCAAAGTCCAGAAAGCAGCCATGAACGAAAGCATGGAACCTCTTTTGGCTTTGGGCTGGAATTCCGCAAAATAGGGCCAGATTACTGGCCCGCTACCCCCGAGTCTGAAAATGAAATATAATTACAGCACTATTCGATAAATGGCATTAAACAATCAATTAGGCGTATAGTGACGTAATAAAATATTAGGTAATTTCACATTCAGAATTGCAACTGTATCTTAATTGCCATTGAAAATTTTGCAAATCATTTATTTGGACACGGATTTATAATCAAAACTTTCATCGACAAATACGTATTCGTTTCAGACCAGTTTGGTCGTCATTGACTTGAGAAAAAAACTGCTAACCATTTACGCAAATTTATCAACAAATTCGAAACAGAGAAGTATAAATTTAGTATAATACCGATAGAAACATAATGCGATGTTTTCCTGGTGATCCTCGGAATATAAAAGATCTGTTGCTACGCGAATTTTTTATTTGATGATATTTTGCAATTTTCACTTGACAACTATGTTCATATAGCAAAAGCACCTACGATAAGATAGGGGTACATATACTTACGCCGCCCCGTTTAAAAATCTGAATAACATGAACCATTCGTATGACTGGCTAAAGCTGGAAGCCACTATGCATACGGCGTTCATGAAGGAACTTACAATGAGCACCTTTTTACGCCCAATCGCGTCCGCTACTGAACCCCAGCTGTAGGCCCCAGCCATCATCCCTAAAATAATGATCAAACAGAAGGTTTATTTAAAGTAAACCGCTTAAATTCGATTTTGGAGCGGTATGTACTACTTACCGATGAAGATGATGGAGTTGAGCCATCCCTTGGTTTGCGTGTTCAGATTGAGATCGCACTGAGCTGCCGGTAGGATGAAGGACATCGAGATGACGTCCATCTCCTCCGAAGTGCTCACGAAACCGCATATCGCTAGCAGTAAGTAGTGGAATTTGCCATATTTAGTTAACTCGATGGCTCTTTCGAAGTCAGCCTTGTCACTGCTTCCTTTTTCGATGCTTCCTTTTTCTACATCGGCCAAGTTCTGAAACCACAGCGTCAGTCAGACAAAATTCACCAAACTAGGCACACCTCGCGCATCGAAACACCGAGAAAATGGCATCGGACCTACCATTCTATGTCACAAAATATACGAACATTGCAACCCAAGTGTAATAAATTATAACTAATGTTTGTGATTAGTTTTTACTTAATTTTAATAAGCGCAATTAGAAGAGGTTCGATTAAAACAATTTAACTTTGTACCTGCACATAATTTGCAGTTAAAGCTTTCATTTGATTCCGGAGCCGCTTTGAAAACCTGCGTTAATTAAATATAAATATAATCAATTTCGTATGATCTGTTTATGGTGAGATTTTATTTTAGCTAGCTATTAATTACATACAAGATATAATTTGAATATTAGAACTTATGTAAAAAATTATACTATTTACAAAACTTCTGGAATCTTCCTGCATCGGTTGTTGTTAAAACGAACTTGTTGGCCATATATATATATATATATATATATATATATATATATATATATATATATATATATATATATATATATATATATATATATATATATATATATATATATATAAATCTTGGGCTCAGGCTTTGGCGAAAAAAAAACGAAGGAGCGGAACTTAATTTTATGCACATACCTTTGGCAAGCTGTTTTTATGGTATGGTGGTGGTACGTCTTTGAGCTCAAGATCTTTGGATCCGCAGCCGTTTAAGACACGTTCGTCTTTTACATCACAATTTTCCGTGTGTTTTAAAGGTGGTTCACCTTCTACCATTCTATGTACGAGACGACTGGTATTTGGCTCGGCGCTTATAGGAAAAAAGGCAGTTATTTGGTGCGACGGGGATGGGGCGGCGGCACTCAGTGGGGGTAGCAGGCTTTGGTCCTGACGAGCTTTCTGCAAAAATAAATCAAAACACGGATACCTATATAATTGCCCTGCCACTTTAATCGATACCGTTAATATTTTAATCACTCTTAGCAAACAGGTAGCTAAATATTCATCAATGCCTTGGATATTGCGACCATAAAAAACAACGTTATTAATTATCAACTTGGGCACCAAATAGGCGTGGACTCGTCTGACAAAACTTAAATAAAACACGTTGTTTAATAAGATTAACGTAAGAATAGTAATACTCCGTTAATCGCGATTCACTATTTCTCCATTCCAAGTTCACGTTAATTTGGCTAATTATACAAAAATTGCATTTTTACTGAACATTTATTTGTCATGGCAAATTAAGGCGGGATAAATTATTAAAAAAATTATAACTATTTACCAGGCATATATTTATTTGCATTTTTTTAAAATATTTCTAAAATACAGTCCTGAGCGATGACCCAAGGTTTTTTTAAATATTCAATCTAACTCGTATGATCAATAGGCCATAGACCATTACGAAATAAATGAAAATATATATTATGTACAAGTACATAGATTAAGACTTGTTATATTAAAAAGAACAATAACATAGTCGGACATATCGTAGGTTCTGTGCGGTAATTATTGTTCTCATGATAGCCGTATTTATTTAAATGCTGCGGCTGCAGACAAGTACAAAATAATTAAAAGGATTACTCGTGCAAACAAAAAAAGTATTTTGTTATAACATGAACTGGAATAACACCGGCGTAGTACACTTTAAAAATTAAAAGTACATATTAGCGGCAACGGCAACTATCACGTCGACATTCGTTAATTTTGAATTTTCCGCGGCAATTCCAAAATTCGTATTTAGGTATCGGCACTTTAAAATTACGCCGCCGCAGGTATACCCGTTTTGACATATATCTAAAAATATCACGACACTATTAATAACCTTGAATAAAATCATAAATTAGTTAAATTAATTAAAACAAGTTCTATTTTAGTTCTGTAACAAGATTTTGTTCATTGACAAAGAATAATTTTATGTTGCGCTCAAACTACTGGCCTGGCAACTATAAATTTCGAACGCTTGATAATTGAAATAAATTTTTGCACGTGTGGAGGAATTTCAAGTATCGAATGACGAAAGTTCCAAATTCTGCGGTGTGACGGTCAACACTTCACGGTCCTGCATCCGGAGCGTGATAAACCAAACAAATCCAAACAGTAACGTTCACTGTTTATATTGAACATATCAATGCAAAGTTAACCGGAAATATTTGTGCAAAGGAAAACTCCTTTACGAGAAGGATACCGCTATTCATTTTATCACATTTTTCCCTAAATGTCCAAATCTGAATTTTCAAGATCGTTACATTGAAAAAAAATGCGGCGCTGGTTCAATCAAGGTAACCTCATTTTACAAAATTGGGAATTTAAACCTCATGCGAAGACGACAAAATCTACTTCCGCACGTAATTACAGCATCGGCCGTTAATACGATATTTACATTTACGAGATTTTATTAGATTCTACGAGAGATCTATTAATTTATTTTAATACAGTAGCAAAAAATCATAAAGCATGCGTAGGGGCTTCGAACAATCAGATACGCACTGATATGATTGTTCCAGAACTTCTAAGATTGTGAATGGAGACACTATACGTTGTTGACTCATCATTTATTATATCAATTGGTCTAAACAGCATGCTGCCTTAATTAATTTGTAATTGGAAACAATTTATTTTATAGCTGTACTTTTGAGTTGTCGCAAATACAATTGTTTATACCGTTTGTTATCAGAAATATATCTATTATGCAGATCCCAAAAAAACTTTAACAACTACATTTCAATCTCGATTTTGTCTTACTTGATTGACGTAGTTGTTAAAACATGTTACCCCAATCAAGGCAAAAGTAAACTAGGCGTGTCCCGCTCAAATTCAATTTAAATAACTATAACGTAAAACCCGGAATTATTTATGTAAATCACGCAGACACCTCAAATGATGTTTCCCTATAGATTTCATTACCAGAAAACAAAAATCAAAATATTTAGTGTTTTTAGACGCTTAATTGATGCAAACAATTAATAAGTAATTAAGCGGTATAGGCATGTCAGTTAGGTTCGTCTTAAAAAGTAATCAATTGGATATAAAAATACAAACGTTTTCTCAAATTGGCTAATTGATGGTCTTAACGAATTAATTGTCGTATACAAATTTTTAACTTCAAATTAAAATGACCTTGGTATTAACTGTTTTGTGTAAATACAATTTTTACCAGATGGTCATACTATGTTATTCATACGCAATGTTAATTGAACTCGAGAAGATCGCAATATTGAATACGCACCGCCATTAGAAAAATACGAAAATTTCAACCACATCCAAAAACGAACAAAACCAAATAATACAGAGAGTTTTATCTGTTTCATTCAACATACTAAACATACAACTAATACTGTGATTTGGTATTTCGTTTTTCAATCGCCATTTGAAAGAATGCTCGAAAATGATTGCAGACAATTCGCAATCGTAATAGCGCTTTGTATTTTGCGATATGTTGCGATACGCGATAATAAACAATTCGCAAAATTAATTTTCTTGCACGTTTAATTAAGTTGTACTAGCATTTGAAAGCGGGCGAAAAATCAGACAAATTAACTATCATATTATTAAATTCGTGGTGGAAATCGATGACATATATCTTAACAGAAAATTATAGGCTTGACATACAAACGAATGTTCAGAATGGCCCAATATCCAACGTCCTAACATCAATTAAGAAATTACTGCAAGAATAGGCCAAATATATATATATATATATATATATATATATATATATATATATATATATATATATATATATATATATATATATATATATATATATAATTTTCTTACAGTAATTAGTTACAGTCGTCTATAATCACAAATCGGGAATGATAAATTCGGACCAATTTGAAATATTTATTAAAAACTGTTGTTTCTTGTTAATATCAGCCTTTATTTTAAGCTCGATTTAAAACTCCGTTTGGGCGTGTGTAAAACGAATACGTTGAGAAAAAAAATAATTGTAATAACAATTATATGAATAATAATAACTTCCAAAAAAAGAGCGATTTTAATTTAAAGTATACGTGAAAATTAAGGAAACTTACGGGAGAAACTTTCGATGGCAGAATTTTTTCGATATTTAAAATTTCGAGGGTAACCATATACGTCGCGAGACCTGAATTGACTGCCATTATACCTTGTCATCAAGGGTTCACATTGGGCAGCATTTATCGCGCTGTATATATGCAACGAACTTGCCAACTTCGGCAATTTGTTTATTGTATATCATTTAGTTTTTGAACGAATTAATATTTAAATGTCAAAAAGCTGTGGTATTATTTGATGAAACATAACAAAATTGATTTGATATCAATTGTAGGGTACAAAATTCAAACAAATATTTTAATATTTTATTAATCGTAATTTTAATAAAACATTCGTAAAAAAGAAAAAGTATCAAATACGCTATCCTGCCACAACTTACATGATAACTCTGCGAGGTGCTGCAATAGCAAAGTCACAAAATGGCGTTAGATGGAGTAGAAAGTCTTTTCTAAATAGATGCAAAGCAGTTCCATTAATAGACACTCTCGAAAAGCTGATCCGCGAATTTTTTTTTTGTGATATGAAAGCGAATTATTTTCCCGCGTCTTCTTTGGTTGGCACACCTGAATTGACTGCCTATACCTTACCGACTGGCGCGTTTATGGTGGGAATTGAACAATAACAGACTTGACGGCACTTTTTTGTTGTTAATTACTGCTAGTATACGCATTTAAAAGAGGGAGCATATACAAATTATTTCTGCTATTATACACTCAAAAAGCGAGATTCAATGACCACGAGAACGATGCGATAACATTGTTGATTTATATTATTATTAGGTTCGACTAATATTATTTAATTAATTTGATTCAATACAAAGATGTTTAAACCAATCATTGATAAAAGCATTGCTTTCCCATTGAAATGTTATGTTTTATGGATCTTCTCTTTTATTTTTTACATTCAATATATTTCAGTAAAACTCCAAAATTAAAACGAAAATAACATATATATTAAAATAATCGAAAATCCGTCAAATGTTTCCAAAAAGTCTTAAATGGTGAAAAAAAAATTGTCTGTGGCGAAATTTATACAGCTTCAAGCTTTCACAGAATAATTAGTTTGTAATGAGTTGAAAAATACCACATTTTGTTAATGATTAATCCAACACAAAAAAAAGTTGACTGTGTTTATCCGTAGCATATAATTAAAACCTTGACGAATATACATCAACAACAATTATGCGACCACCCTGTACGAGAGTAATACGTAAAAATAAATCCGACAGAACTATTATTAACAATATCAATTTGCCACATCCAGGAATTATTATTGACGATGTTTTACCGGTTTAAAAAATTTGATGGGTTTTTTCGGAGTAGAATACGCTAAATACTCCCAACGCGTTTACAATTTTATGTCAATTTCGAACAAAAATTACAAGTAAATTTTTTTGGATAATAATAATAAAGCTATTATTTTCAAATTACGGGAAATTCGAAACAAATCAAGTATGTATCGACTTAGAAAGGCTTAGCTCTAAATAAACCGTAAGCAAAATTCGTAACTAAAAAAAAACAATGAAAGGAGGTTTAGCCAAAGTGAATTAAATGTTCGGCTGTTTGATGTGTTAATAGTAGAGTTCGTTTTGGAACTTTGAAAATGCTACTGAGATACGGAGAAGACCACACTATTTTTCACCATCTTCATGGAATCACGTGATAGAATATGATCAGATATTTAATTTTATTTAATATATCCGTCATTTTTATGCTTTTTTCTTTGTTCGCTAAGCTTAGATTCGATCTCCTAGCAGTGCAACCTTAAAACCCTATTATTGTGTACCCTTACTTCACAAATTTGTTAAATGAAATTTATGTAGTTTCAGTAAATTTAATTATTGAATTGTTATGAAATTGAAAATATTATATTATAAACATTAATATGAAAAAATATTAGTGAATTTTGTGTAAACCAAATTATGGCAATAGTTATTGATCAATCTGATTTTATCATCAACTTGGAATTATGATTGACACTCATGTAAAATGCGCAACAAAACAAAATGAGGTGTTTTTAAACATTAGACGCAATAAACAACTTGAAAACTACTTATTCTGGCCATCGAGACAGGAAGATAACATTTACGTAAGAAGAAACAAAAATTCGAAAAAATATGCTGAAATGATAACAGAGTGGCGTGGATTGTGGGGAGTAGAATTACAGAAGTATAACGCATGTTCTTCAGCAGTAGATAAATCTAAAAGTTGCTATCATTGATGATAACATTCAGGGCCTTATACAATTAATTTGTTTATCTTACCGTTGAAATCCTTCTCTAAAATTCTCTACTGATCTTCTGGATGTCAACAATTTCGCTTATTAGTGCGTCGTGTTCCAATGGTACTATTAATGAAATCTGGTTTCAGCAAGAACGCTTAATTTCTCCATTATCGTTACATTTAACTGATGCAAACCTTCGTTAATAAAAATTTTGAGGACCAGAACAATTACCGGATAACATTTTAGGCAATAGCGAGAGTTTAACGGGCAATTTTGAAAAAATTACTAAATATTTTGAAGTATTTGTATCCCGTACTTCACGTTTTTTTTTTGTAAAAAACAAACAAGAACTAAAAGTTCAGATTTTCACAAAATTATATATTACATATATATATAATTTCGTGAAAATCTGAACTTTTAGTTCTTATTTATTTTGACAAATGGATTTTGATCAAGTGGAAGCCACCTCAGTTCAATTTTTTTTTGTAACACACAACGTCCTTAAAATTTCGAAATGTTTGAAAACCGAAATCTTACGTCAAACGTTTGCATACGATTTTATCTAAATCTCTTCTGTTTGTTCATTAAGTTTTACATAGAAAGTCATAAATAAGAATGGGGAATGGCAATAAAATTATTACAATATCACACAATGTGACTGGAATCTTCGTATTGTCCCGGGATTACACAACGTTTGTGAATTTGTTCAAATCTAGCAATTTCCCTAATGTTTTTAGGTCAAATTTTGTGGGCAACAATAAATGATGGAATCAATTACCGCGATGACAAATTCATTATCGCCCTGGCGTTAAAAAAAATAACGTTCTCTTGTGCCTTTTGACTTTAGCAGTTAACACGTTTTCAACAATAAAAGCCATTAGACGTGTATCAACACAATTTTCTTGGAAACAAAATAACTTTGGGAAATATTGGAATTTCAAAACGACTTACCTTTAGTTTTCAGTAGAGAACTTTGCCCAAAATGCGACTGCAGGGGCGGACCTCCGCAGTAAAGACTGAGTTTGGAAAACATGGCGAAACTTTATATAGCAGCGCACCAAGCAATGAATTGTGATCACTAAGTAAATAGACAGAGTGACGATGTAAATACGCTAAGGTTTAAATTAATAATCACAATTAAATCCACTGCGACGGAACAGAGCCGGAAAACTTTAAGAACAAGGAGAATTCAGCGAACCGAGCTCGTTTCATTTATTAGTGTCTATGAGGTCCGTTACGTAGTTTTCGCTAATATTTCAGGCATTCATTTATATTTCGGCCTCACCAAATTGTGCAATTAAGCGTAATTCCGTAATTTACAGTCTGGTAGATACCTAACTATACGATAAAGGGGGTAATACTTTTATTACTTGATATTATTTTGATTTAAACAATTACATGTAAATCAATTGGCCGTAATATAAGTCATAATTTAGCACGTGCCTTCTGTGAGTGTAATTTTCTAATTGCAGCCCTTCCTTACCACGTTCCTACTCCCCGACATGTACCTACTAATTTTTTAATAATTACATATTTCTTGATGTTACGTCATTGTGATTTAAACAATTCGATGTAATTAAATTCGCGATACATATCTTCTGATTATTTACCGATCTTCTGGATTCTTCCTACGTCCGTTGTTGATGAATCGAACATGCTTACGTTCCGCTAATTATCCTGTTGGTTTCTTCAGGGCTTACTTAACTGAAACTGTAACTCAAAAATCACTGTCAAATAAGCTCTGAAGAAGCCAACAGGCTGATTGGCGAAACGCCAGCAAGTTGGATTGATCAACAAGCGGGTCAGGAAAAATCAAGAATATTTGTAAATAGTATTACAGGAACCTGTGGAAGTTTATTTAAAAAAATATCTAATTTGCTGTAAGGTACAGTCCTTATGGCGCTGCTATACAGTAAGTAAACGATAAGCAATTGCTATGGCATGGTAATTTTCTGATCGTTACAAAATTCTTGATATTATTTGCATATATACAATATAATCGCAAATATAACGTGTTATACGGTAATTCAGTAGCCCAAAATTACCGAAATTCGGGTTACTGAATAACCTTGTATTTTCCATGTATTTATTTCAAAATTTCCGGAAAATTATTGCACAGATTATGAAGGTGTAACTAATAACGAACAGTAGATAACTAAAAAACAAGCCGTAAAACTTTAAATGAAACGTTTTCAGGCTTGAGATTGGGATAAATCGAAACGTATTATCGATATCACACAGATTAGACTACTTTTTTTTATTTACTATTGCGATATTATGCTTAATGATTAAGTATATTTTTCTTTTAACCTTCGCTGTTATTAAATAAGAACGCAGTTAAAATTATTTACAAAAATCAGTATTTCAATTATAATCTGCGTTGATGCTTGTTCAAATATCATTCATAATAGCGTTGAACTAGATCTTTATAACAGCAGATATAAATTTGTTTGCGCTAACCAAATTTGAACTGAGACAAAACTTTAATTTTTCAATATGAACAAAAAAAACTGTTGAAATTGAAAGCAAATCAAAATATGCAAAAGAAACTATATTCAGTGTTTTCCACCAAGTTTCTCATTAACTGTCTAAGGTCACTTTATAACTAGATTTAAACTTACATCATTACGTTTTCGGATGTATTTCTGAGCACCAATTTTGAGCCGAAATCCTTCATAGAGTCAACTTTCGATCACTTTCATAAATTAGCAGTTTCAAAAAACTAATTTTAAAATATTAACATTTTTAAGGGCGAGATAAAAAATTTACACGTACATACGACGCTACGGTCACTTGCTATCATTATGATGGACAATAAAATTTATTCTATTTGTTAACAGGTCCCAAAGCAAGGTCTTTATAATCCCCTATTCTTTGTATAGGCTACTTACTTGCAATGATATCGCCTGTCAAATCATTAACTCGTTCGTGTAGGTATATAATAACAGTACTAAAACAAACCTAATTTGTTTTTTTCGTAAATTTTTCGCTTCCCCGTGCGTGTCAATTATTTTTAAAGTTGATTCCGTTAATAATCTTAACTGTTTAATTTCACTGTACACATTTTGTAGGTGTAAAACTTGTTTTCCATCAGTCTAAACTCAAAACAATCTCTTGGCTTTGTTAAAAATAAATCCTACTAAAATATGAAAACGCAGATTCATTTTAGTGACCAACAAAATATTAATCACGTAAAAAATTAAAAAAATAGAGACCGCAGAAATGAAAAAAGGTATTATGACTTTATGAAATACAATTTTAATGAGCATCAGTTTGTGTGAAATATTTCAGACAGCAAAATTTAAAATAAAATCTTAATGCGAAAAACAAGAGTAAAATAAATGGGCGCCAAATAAAACGACATGCGATGTTTTTAAAATATTTATCTATAGCAGTAGTAAACTAGAACTTAATGTTAAATATTTACAATTTTCTAGGGATTCAATGCCTTAATACCAATATTACAAATTTACAACTATCTTAGGCAATCCAATCATAAAAGTATTTCGAATTTTTTAACCGTTTTTAAATAATTTAAATTCTAAAGAGACCAATACAAAACTATCATTCAGATAATTATTTTCGTATCATATAAAATTGTGAAGTAAAATTTGTTTATAAAATATCTTCACAGGCTAAAACCACGAACAATAATAATCCCAGCAACTTGGAGCAGCCAGGAATAGTTCATTGAAATTATAAGAACATTGCGACTTCATCAATTTCCCCTTTTTTTTTCTTTAAATGATAAAAGTTACAGGCAACATACTTCGGGATGAGATACGTTACATTAACTCTTCGCTACATGTGCTTGCGGTAATTTGTAAGGTGATCGTGTCAAAAATATAAACCTACTAAGTAGTTCAAATATACAGGGAGAATAGTTTAGCCTCCTTACGTTATGTATAAAAGCTTAATTTGGCAACTCCCCATCGATTGTAAAATTTATATTACTTTTCTGCAATTAGGAGTTTTTAGGGCTAATTGTTTTTAATATATATTGAAGGTTATTAAATGCATCCAAAATCATCGAGATTTAACGTGCTGATATTCGGGCAACACTTATGAAACAAACTATGGGGATTTGATTTCCAAGATAATCTGTTCCCAAGAAACGTGGTCCACACATATGGGAGACTCTTACATGCATAATCCTTGGACCTAAAGTTCTTTGCTTATGTAAACTATTACCCAAGCAACAATTGTCAAATAAACTCAACAATGTCTATATTTTTAATTTTATTCCATTCAAAATATGTGAAACTTTTGAACTGCAAAACAGTCTTTTTGGAAAGAGTTTAAATAGGAGTCATCATTATGACGAGCTTATGCTTTATTGATTTTCCAAATATGTGCATGTTCAAATTTCGAATCTACATCACTTATTCTAAAAAGTCAAGAATTTCAGATCAAAAATTACATGAATTTGAATAGCACGCAAGGTTCCCCACCCTATGACCAAATGAGATCCGCATGGGAAAATGTATAAATATAGCATTTTGTTTTAACGGCCGTTATTTCTTCCTTATAAATATAATAAAAGACAAATTACAATGCACAAAGACTGTCTCTAAAAGCAGCATACCAAATATTAACGGAAACAACAAAACCAGTAAAAATATAAATCTGGAAGAAATAAAAGGTTATCTATCATCTAAATAAGTTCCTTAATTTCTAAAAACTCCAACAACGCTTAATAATATCTAGAGTGAAAAATAACTTTATCACAAATCGTTGTATGACAGCTTGATATAAATATGTTGACAATATATTTATTTCAGAATTTGGCAAAATTTTGCTATATGTGATTTTCAAAGAATCGTCAATTCGTGTAAGATGATATTTAGCAATTAAGAGGCAATGTTAGCGTTTAATCAAGTTCCATTACACAAGACAGTGCTAATACTTGTACTTTCTGATAAGAAGGGATCCACTTAAACTTTGAAGTAAAACAAATATCACCTTGCCACAAAATCGTGCTCTAATCAGAGCAATTGGCTACATTTTTAATTATACAAATTAAAACATATAACACACAATGGGTCACCATTTCATGGTGCGTCATAAATACTTGCATATCTGAAATTCCAGTTTTCAGATCTATTTATTATTTACATAGATTATAGATCTCGTATAGGAACTGAAAATTTATTAATATACTACGAAAAACCTTTATACACCAAAAACTTAATAAGTTACATTCTAAAAATGTTTCCTTTACCATGATATCTGTTGTTTAATTAGTTATTTGGTAATACCTTTATTTAGCAAACTTGCTCGGAAGTGCTTATTTACCTGTGTTATCCATCTCAGTTGCAAACCAATAAAAATGGTCTAAACTGGGTAATGGTTATTTAAATTCTTGGTTTGCTTTTAAATTTGTAAAATTCTATCTTGTTTTGACAGCCTATTTGAAGGCAAAATCAAAATACTTTAGAGCTTACCCCCTACAGGCATGGCAAAAAAAAACCAAGAGACTTTTCATTTGAGTCTAAGTGGTTAGGAATTGGGAAAAAGCGCATAAAACGTTTACTTAAAGATTTTAAAAATCTGAAGGTCCAAACCAAAATCAAGAAATGACAAAAGACAACACAACTGTAATAATGAGGTAACCAGCTATTTGTTCCGGTTTTATAAATACATATAATATAAAAAAAAATTACTCAACATTCAGCTATTCATTATAATCCCACCATTCCTTTTCATATCCTTCATGTACATGCTCTAGCAATACTTTTCTCCTACTATCACAATACCTATAATACAAAAAATATTAAACAAAACACTTCTAAATGAACAATTCTTACCTGTATTTGTCTTGAACCTTTTGTTTAATATCCGCTAAATTTTCAGACGTAATATCCCTCTCCAAGTATTCGGATAAAGTCTCTGTGGCACTTTCCAAATCCTTCTGGTTTTCTTCAAAGATCACAGACTGATTATTCTTCTGCAAATAATAAGCAAACACATAGGTGTACATCAAGGTCTGTCTGCACTGACACAAAATATCAACAGCCCTTTTCAAAAACTGCACTTCAATCCAGCTCATATTATGTTGCTGCATTTCCTCCATTTTTTCTTTCACAGAGGCATATAATTTGTGTTCAAACTTTAATGATGCCATATGATTCATATAACGGTTACAATAAAAAAGGTAACGTTGAAGAGCAGATCGGGATTTTTCTTGGGCATCACGTGCAGCTTTAGCTTCATCTTCATCGTACCTAAAATGTAGTGTAAATGTTATGATTTTGATAACCAGTAATTTGCGAATCAATTCACCTGTTACAATTATACCATGAACTTCCATGTGGTTCCCAAGGTCCCAGACAAACCCAACAAAAATCAGCTTTGCAATTTTGATTTTTGCAAACCATATGGTTACAGCCACCATCTTTCTCAATTGTGACATTACATCTTGGACATTCTTTGGTGTTGGCAGCAATCCAGTTACTTGTTTCTGAGTCATCATCACACTTTTTAATCCATTTTTTCAGTAAATGACATTTGACAGGCTCATGCCAATTTTCACCACAAGAGAAACAAAAAGTGTGATTACACTTACAAGTTACTCTGTGAGGCTCAACATACTGGACTTTAATAGCATTGCTACAATCAGGTGAAGGACACCACCTTAGTAACCTATTGCACTATAACAATAAAAACAGAGAATTAATTTCGAGTAATTTCTAATAACCAACACCTATAGCTTTACGAACAACTTGTTAGCAACTTACTTCAACAAAACTATTGGTGATCAAATGCTGATACTTGAGCCTTACTTTAGAATCTCTAACCAATCTCATAACGCTTGCATCATCTACCAAAATATCACATCCATGTGCGGCGCACGCTATAGTCTGACCAACACCTTCTTCCATTATTTTGGTAGTTAAATATTCACACCAGCAATGGATACAAAATCTATGCCCACATTCCAATCCCGTCATATGCTTAAAACAATTACTATATATCACTACCTTATGACAGGAAAGTTTTACTTACTGATGATGGCAAAATCATGAAGCATATTTCACATTCCTCTGTTCCACTTGCAGTACGTTTCTGAGGCTGAAAAGAATATTTAAACAATTAAACTCCAAGTTTTGGTTAAAATATGCCATACCTTAGCACGAACGGTGATATTTAGCTTCTTAAATGGGTTAATAACCCTGGCTTCATTAAATAACTGATCTTGATCACCATCGTAGAATCTTTCCATAAGTTTTTCTTTGTCCCATCTAAAATGGTTCAACAAAATTCTAGTTGTCGTTGCTGGAATCTAAAAATAAAACTAATAAAAAAAAAGAAAATTTGGGGCAAAGAGAAAATGGTACTGAGGTTATGACATTAGAAAATTATGGTTTTCCAAATACCTCAACAACGGAATTCACGTCTTTTATAGAATCAACCATATGTTGAACTATTTCTTCAGTACTAAGGACTTCATAAGGATAATCGTCCGATTCTGTCTGTTTTTCTCTATGTCCAGTAACTTCAACTTCCATTGCAAAATCTACATCATCTCCACTGGATTCGTTACCTGAATCGACGTCGTCATAAGTTTCTTCCTCAGAATCCATTATAATTATGTGATATAATTAACGAATAATCGCAATTCAATCACAAAAACAAATAATTATACCCAACAAAGCACACTCCCTCAGAAATACATTTTTTTACTAATGCAGACCAGAATCACAAACTCAAAACTGACGTTTGATTGACTTCTAAATGTCATGCATTAAGGTTCCAAACCAAAACGATGACACCAACATATACATTCAGGGACTTACATTGGTTTAGGCAGCCTCAAACAGATGGAGCATAAAAGTATTTGTTTATATTCGATTTTCTTGCTGGTGAAATTTATGATATCCTGATTATTTATTAACTTTATAGTATTGGGTCAGTTACCTCTAAATACACCATTTCAAATAATTTGATTAAACATTAAATTGGTATGATTAAAAAAATTAAACGAATGTATATACAGAGTGTTACAAGGCGACGAAAATTTTTGCTGCAAAAATGTTATTTCATTTAGCATAGACAGGAAATCTATTTTTCGTACTTTTGTCAGAAAATACTTATTTTACCATTTCCGTAATTATGTATGTCCTCTCTGCGCAAAAGTTCCATATGACGTCACTACTTCAATGCGATGGTTATTGTAAAACTTAATTTGTCTTCATTCTTAAGCGTTCGTTGAAACGAGTTTATTTTATTTTACAAAATATTTAGCTTTATACTATTTTTTACCGGCATATACCCATTAAAATTAACTAACATAGAGATAATTTATAAGGATTAGAGATATTGTGTTTACTGCGCAGACGTGTCATCATTTTCTTGTAAAAGCAATTTCATTAAATTAGTCTCGAAAAGTATATTTTTAGTATATAAATAAAAGGGTTTTGATTGCACAATCAATATTTTTTCTAATGCCAGTAACCTTGAAAGGAGGAGCTTTGCAGATTTATTGTAAATACGGGAAACTGGGAGACATAGTTCAAAACTCTAGACTCAGCAATTAAACAACATCAGTTTCTAACGTTGGCTTCTCTATTAATATAAAGAGCATAATAACTGATTAGAAACATATCCTTGAACAGTTATTTATTAAGACCTTGGAAAGGCTGTCTCTAGCCTCGTTCGGGGTATTCTGACGTCATCGTTAACTATGTCGTCACATAAAGCTAATACAAATTGGAGCGCTGCTATTGGTTGAAAAGGCATATCGGCGGCCATCTTCTAATAAGTAAATGAAAGGAGAGTCTGAAAGTGGGGTACGAGCCTGTGGACGAGATTAGGCGAAACGTTCCCGTACACCGACCGAGCCATCGAAGCATGCGCAGTTGACAGGTTTTGGGTTCTGTGTATGAAATGAACAGAACGCGCTTGACTTCCAAATAACGCTTATAACTAAAAAAATCGATATAAATGAGTGTAAATACTGTGGAAAATTGACAAATATTAAGTGAGTCAAAGACTTTTCACAAGTTCTTCGCGTTCTTTACAGAACTAACAATAATAGATCAGGTAAAACATCAAGTGTTCCCATGGATGGTCTATGGCCGCTAAACAAGTAAGGAGTAAATTCGCCTTAACCTCATTCAATATCTTGTAAACAAGATTAGAATTAAGAGTCTGGCAATCTAATGAAATCAACACATTCTGTAATGAAATAAATGTCAGTTATGTGAAAGAACATGGAAAATAATTCTGCCCCACATTGAGTTCAATAAAATTAGCGCGATGAATAACCATGCAAAAAACTTTTCAAACTCTAGTACCATTACTACCAGCAATGTCAAACAAGAAAGACAGGACGAAGCCGAAATACGAGAACTGGCAGCAAAATTTGTTGAAGCAAATAAGGCTAAAATGGCACTACCTCAGAGACCTGCACAACCTCCTGGTCAAAGCATGAATATTTTGAGTTTTTTATCTAGTGACAAAGCGAAATTAAAGGGATTAAGTCAATCAAGCCCTGAAGAAAACAAAAACATTGACGAGGATTCATTGAAAGGCCGTTTTGGATGGGCTACCATGGGAAAAACCCATATTCCCTACATTATCCGATCAGGTGAAAACTATTGTGCCGTACGGATGGTGGAGATGAAAGTACTCAACAAATGGTTAAATTATTTGCACCAAGATTTATATAACTGTACCAATATTAGAAGCTACTATATTACAGAGGTTGAGGCAAGACTCCTTAATGAAATAAACCTAAAACATTGTGATTACCAATTTGGAAGAGAACAGTTTACGTCTAGGGATTTAATTGTTAGGCTTTCTGATGCAAATGAGTTCTATCAGTTCTTAGGTCATTGCTACCATAAGTTAGTGAATAGTTTGGAACCTAATCAACCAAATCGTTGTGGTTTTATCCGGATTAACCGGGAGTCAGTGGTTCCATACACTGTTTATAATGAACAAAAATATGTGCCGTTATTTTATTTTGAGGGTGAAACAGATAACCTAAAATTAAGAGCTGACAAATTAGAAGGCTGGGATCTATCATACTTAAAATTTTGCTGCAAGGTTCAGGGAATACGGAATGAATTGTTTGCACATGACTCATGTTCAGTGATTAGTTTAAATGATATTAAAAATTATTTCCCTCCTGGTACCCTTTTTGAAGATTATTGGCCCAAGAAGAATTTAGATTCTTCACAGCTATTAATTTCTGGAAGGACAAGTTTACCACAGAATGTGCACTGGACAAGGCAACCTATTGCTCCTCCCATTTCTACACATCCTCCGCCGAGTCCGAAGCCCGCCACTCAAGCAAAAGCTGCTAACAATGGTCCAATGCATAATGTCCATGTTTTTTCAAACTATGGTATTGCCGGAGGGCAACCTCCTTACCACGCTGCCCAACCTAGAGCTGCAACATCTGCTGTAAGGGCTACATATCCTTCTGCTCCTTCAAGGCATATGAGACCTGCTGCTAGTTACTATGGGAATATGGGTCAAGCACCACCTCCACCTCTTGTACGATCATCATCGTAAGTAATCGTGGTTTATTTGTGGATTAGCTCATAACTTCCCTAGTTTTTAATTCACATCAATCCTTTAAGGAAATTGTGCTGTTAAGCAAGTGAATGTTTTCTTTCTAGGTTGCGGGTTACTACTCAGGAAAACTAACACCCAAGTTATGTAAAAGCTCTTCCCAATCTAAAAATTTCTAACATATTTAATTTGTAAATTATTCACATACAATGAGTTTGCCTTATGATTGAACTTAAATTAGTCCTAGAGAAAAAGTTTATTTTCAGGTACAGCAATTTTGTGTTTTGTTTAAAGATTGGTCTCTAGTAGAGATTTTGCTTAAATCAGTTATTGTTCTGTCTGTAGTTAGCATATCTATTAATAATCATGTTCACCCTCAGTTTTCTAATTTAATCTAGCAAAAACTCGCAAGTTGTAGATATAATACAATAAGTAATACAGTATCTTAAACAATGAAAGTTTTGTTTCTGCAAAATTGAAAATTAGTTGGGTGTTTAATAATTAAAATAAATTAGATCATTTAATTAAAAGTTTACGCCCTGTATGTAACTGAAAGAATTTTTTTGAGGCCAATGTTATTATTTTATGCCTTTCTGTTTTGACAATATGCCCTACCAAGCAATTTAACAAATGTTTCCTTTGCCTAGTTTTCGATTTAATCCAGCATCTACTGCTGCGTGTGATCAAAGGCTGGACGAAAACAGTTGGTGAGTGTAGTGGAATTGTGTAAACAACACACAGGATGTTTCAGTACCATAGTTGATATTCAGTTTGTCAATTTTTTGTTGTTAGAATTTATTTTTCATTTTCCTAGATATATATTTTTTATTTTAAATTTTGCGTTTAATACAATTTTATTTTAATAAAATTGGCCTCTTAATATTTCTTTCAGGCATGGTTGGTTTGTTTGGTTTTTTTTCTGTTTTGATTTTGAAATTAAAATTCGTTCTTTTGCCTTATTTTGCTATTGGTGTGGAAATTGCTTAATTTGTTTTGTTTTGTGTGTTGTTAATAGAACTAAGGGATTATCAGATGCTATAGTAGATTAACAATGGAATGCATGTTCATTAAAATAACATTTCAGTTCATATTCCGTATATTTGACCATATATTTCTTATAAAAAATATAATCAACATCCTAAATTTAGTGAACAACAGAAGTTTAACAATTCAAAATTATTGTTTTAGCCTTTTCAAAATATGAAATATGCATGCATCGGCATTGAAAATAACGTGATTATAGTTTTATCAAAATTGGTTATAGACAACAACCAAAATTGAAATAATTTCTCTTTATTACAATAATAATAATAATGGCGTTCAATTTATAACAAAAATAATCCTGAGTTCGTATTACCTATTTGTATACCATAATCTATATGTAGATTGTAGGTTGTATCCTATTTGTATTACATATATAAAGGGCTTAATTTTTTGTTGTGGTACCTAACATTTTCTGAAAATTTAGAATAGAAATCATCAATTTTTTGCATTTTAACATTATTTTTATTTGTAGTTTACAAGTAGGTGTGTCTAAATATACGGAATAACGCTGATTTTATAATAGCATGGGCAACTTTGTGGGGGAAAAAAATTATAGGTTCTATCAATGTGAGTTTCGTTTGGGGCACAAATTAATTCTACATCTAGGTAGTTCCATACCGCCTTAAGTGTAAATTAAATAATACTGCCGCATTGTAAATATTATTGTTTCATTTTATTTTATTTATTTCATTTTAAACGTCAACATATATATTATAACGCAATACAAGCATAATTAAAAAATTTACAGCAATGGTGCTATTGAGCTAAATGTACAAAATATGTTGTAATTGTGAGCTAGTAACATATTAATATGAAAAACTATAAGCTAATTTTATTTACAATTTGGCAATTTCAAATTGATTTTTTTTTATAGGATAGGTCAGTATAATGCTCAAACAAAGGCAGGAAACTATATGGTCGTTGAGCCAAATCTTACGCAAAATAGTTACCACCAAGCAACATCCCAGGCCAACTATCCCCCACCACCCTTACTTCAGCATATGAATGGGGGTATATCAAGATATGAAGTGCCCCAAAGGTATGCCAGTGATTTGCTTGACCTGGATGCGTGCAGGTCAGTTAAAAAAAAATCGAAAAGTATCGCTTCATTTTATTTTTTAGCGCTTGTGTATTTTCCCTTGCTCTATGACCAGTTTGTAAGTTTGTTTTATTTAATTTTCGTGTTTAGTTTGGCTTTGGAAATTAGCACAATAAACATTTTAATTTTTGCATGATTTAGAATTTAACATAGAAGTAAATAATAAATAATTGTAAAACGCTTAGTTCATATTTCTGCTACAGCTTAAGTTTTTTTATACCTAATTCAAATTCAATATCAATTGTTATGATAGCTTTAAAGTTTTTGAGCTGAACGATTGGTTTAGTACCATATTAATTGGCGTTTTTATTATGCATTTTTATTTTAAAAAGAAAATGATAATAATGTGGAAGAATAGCGTTTTTCCAGTGATAAGCACACAAAGTTAATTTAAAAATATATATTCTGTTGTTTTCTGTAGGCTGTCATATTTATTTTGAGATGTGAGAAAAGGTGTAAACGTCCCACTTTTCAATAATTCCTCTTTCTTGTTTTTAGAGATGGACTAAATTTTGGCACTAATCGACAAATAGAGCAATTAGTAAATCAAAACCCCGCGCATCAAGCTTCGTCTCGAACGGAGACCAGTACTTCAGCAGACGACCGACCTGTTTTGACAAATGGTCGACCATTAATGAACAATGCGAATAGAAACAAACTTATTAATTTGCCAGAATTATCCCCTACCGGTAGCACAAACATTCCATATAAAATGCATAAGGCTCACGTAGAAGGAAAAATATTGAACTGTATCAATATGAAGGCTGGATTATATACCGAATTGCTAGTTTCCTTACAGGACCTTGTTACAAATTTTTTTAATAGCGTCCCAATACAAAGTTGCCAACAGGTGATGCAAGTATTGGGGATTGAAGTATATAAAGCTAATACGTAAGTAATATAAATTTTTATCTGACCAATATTAATTGTTTCTTTATACATAATTTTTTTTGCGGATGTCACAAATCATTATGCAGGATATCACATTGCTAAGGGTAATTGTCAGAATTATACCCTTAAAATGTTTCTTTCTTGAGATCAACACTATTGTTTGCGCTGAATATTTGTCAGGACTTCAAGCAATTTTTTGAAATGACAACTATAGGAATGATAATATTGGGAAATATATATTTTTTAGAATATCCTGTATGTAAGGTAGATCACAAATTCTAAAAGTGCATTTTTTTCAGAGGCCAAATTCGGGTACTATTTGAAAATGGAAAGTGTCAGAATTTGAATGAAACAGTACCTTTAGTGCAAGTGAGGAATGTGATAGACTTTATGCCCCAATTAAAATATATGTTAAGAGGCATGATAACTTCGGATGTCGCAGCAAAAAGACAAAGAAACAGCTAGGGATTGTTGTATTGGAGGCCCCCATGGATGAACTTGTATAGTAGTTTCCTTGACAACTACTATCCACATTGTAACAACTATAATCACTGTGACTATTTCGAATACGAATCAGATTGTGACTATAGATACGGCTGGTACTGGTGAAGTGAACTGTTTTGTCAGTCCTCCAATATAACGCAAATGGTTTTTAAAAATTGTTCCTATAAAAGTGTAAAAACAAAATAATCATGGACACACCACAGTTTAGAGAAACATACTTCGAATTTGAACAGTTTGCGCTGATGTTTATTTTATTTTTTATTTTCCAACACTAAAACTGTGCATGTGACATTTACAGATATTTCTATTTAAATTAATTATTTTAAAGTATATATTACTTTAAAAAGCTAATATAGAACCTGTGGTTCCAAAATAAAACTAAATATAAAAAAAGATTTAGTTTTATTGTATTCCAATTCCTTGTGTGGATTATTGATCGCTTTCCGGGAAAACATTTCTTTTGTCAGATAGATGCGAGTATTTGTAGATTTTTAGGAGCAAGGGGCATTTTTAAATAAAGTTAGATAAACTTTACAACCGGTAAAGTGAGATGTAAAGATAAACCACAGGTTATTGGGTGTAAAAGGTGAACATATTCTTTTATTCGTTTGTCTAAACATATAAACATATTCGCCCACTCTAGTCCATTACAAACATTGTGAATCACTACCCCCTAAACTCATAAATCTAGACCTTTTCCAAAATCGTAAACGTGTGTATATATTTGAATCATCGAATTTGGAAAAAATATTTATGGGCTTTATGCCAATTTAGTCTTAAGTTTTATTATTGTTTGTTTAAAAATTAATTTAAATAGAAAAATATCTGACAATTGCCTCTATTATCATATTTATTTATTTTATTATAGCTAAAGATATAAAATAGTTGTTAAATCAATGTGAGATGTCCAGGGTAGGGGATAATTTAGGATTGCGTATTCTGAACCATTTAGGATATGACTAGTGATGTTGACTTTCTATTTTTATTTATTCAAATTGATTACCTGATTTGTAAAATTCACTTTTGTTCAATTGAAGATCTGATAATATCTCATTAAATGCATTTGAGAATTATTTTTTTAAGAGCTTTTGTGTTTTCTCCTGCCTGTGATATATCAGAAAAATTACAGATCAGTATTTTGAAAATAATTTCAGCTTGCTAAATATACATTCAGCATTTCGGTCTTTATGGTCAGAGACTTTGAAAATATTTTCCAATAAGGCACTTACTTCTGTGTTTATATATATAGCATTGTATATAGTAATTGTCTTTAGGCAAACCATAGATAATTACTTTTAGCTCTTTAAGTTTTCTTTGTTGAAAAAGTCTTTGTGATAAATCCTAAGTTGGACAGTCTGGTTCCAATGTTTTGTAACCATATGATGATGTTAAACCTTGGTCAAGGCGTTAATATTTTAAATTTCGTGTTCTGACCCTACAACGCCTTGTATTAAGTTTAAGTTAATGGTTTTAGATTGTTTGTACCACGTCGACCATGCCAGATTTATTTGATCAACTTTAATTTAAAATTGTAGCGTTATCAAATGTATATTGAGATTTTAGCAATACAAATAGAATGTGCCGCTTGTGTTTGGTTTTGTTGCCCACAAGCACCAATATTGATAGCAAATTTTGAAATTGTATATTTAATGATGTATCATATTGTAAATACCTAAGTTATTCTCATTTCATCGCCCATTTTGAAAGCAACTACTCTGACAATAAAGACCAATATTAAACAGCTAAATGTAAATTAAAACCTTCAAAATTAGTTAAAACAATATTGATGGCTGTTAGCTAATCATAAAAGGAATTCGTGTTTGGCTCTCTGGCAGATTATTCCCTATTTTAATTCATCTATGTATATGTATACTGTAAGGAAGACGTCTGTAACATTTTTCATTTCTAAAGGTTTTTCTAAGCAATGTTGTTACATATTTTTTGGCAAATTTGTTTGATACTATTATTATTAGACTTAATGTTACTATGCAATGTATATATTCGACATTACCCAAATACATCTTTTAAGTTATATTACTAATTTATTTCCGTTCTTTTTTACACCTGTTCTTCGCATTTCAAAATCAGGCTTGGCTTCTCAATCCGAGAAAGTAATTGTAAAAAAAAATTGGGCCGATCAGATTTCTAGAAAATACGATTCAATTCCTTTCCGAGAGAAAATACGTGATTAAATACAAACACTTGCTGCCCTAGGGAATGTACCGTTCTTTTCCAATTAAATGAGTGAAATCCAAAACTCGTAGTGAAGTCATGAGAAACCCAATTCCAGTCTTCAGTGTGGGCTAGAGCGATTTGTATGGAAGTTCACCTATTCTATTTATAATAATAATAGCGCGATCTATTAATGGTTAAAACTTCATTTCTTTAGACTTGGAAAAATCACGCAGCTAAAGTGCTCGCAGTCGCTGCGTTGTCTATGGATTTAAAAAAGGAAAATTGGCATTTTGCTTTACAAAAACCATTCAAAAAAATTAACCCTTTTGCCTTATTCGGATGTTAGTATCAACCCCGAATCGAAAGTCAGCTGAGTGCGCGTTCGTTATGCGCGATATCCACCGCGACAGGCCAGTAACATTTTTGCCGTTGTAATGGATAGAGTGCTGAAACGTGTGGGTCTATCAAAAAGAACACAATCAGAAAACGATACTCGGGTGACGGCCACTTCGGGCGATAATGTAAAAAACCGTCGGCGAAGGCGCTCAAAATCACGAAGACGACCCTCCGCAGCGGACAGCAATAAAAAATCACGCGGTATATTTAATATTGATTGGGATTCTGTAAAAGACTGCAAATCTTGTAAATCGAGAGCGATCACGAAACGGTTTTGTAGCAAAAGAGCTGACAACGAACTTTATAGGTCTAATAGTTTCAAATTTGAACGATTTATCCGAAACAGTGACGATTTGTCGCCCGTTAAAAGGAAGGTGAGTATTTTCAACCTGCCCCCCCACCCCCCATTATTGTGTGCTTAGTATTAACAGGTGGGTAAGTGAAGAACGATCAAGATATTCTTGGGGAAATTGCATGTGCCGCAACTTCGGCTGTTTGTCGTTAACATCAACGGAATGTTAAACTTTTCGAAAAAATATCGGGCAATTAATTAATTGTTGCTCAGCTCAATACTTAAAGTCGCTCTTATTTCATCACTATCAAATTTTGATAACCCTCAGGGCAATTAGTTTTATGAATATCGACAATAAATCAATGCCAATAAATTTATAAATGGTGTCCCAATATAATATATAATGCGTCTTCCTTGCTTCCAAAATATATTATTTGCTAGATCTGCCTAAAAATGTATATGTAGGTATAATATGTAAAAATGCATTTGATATAACGGGATATATAGTTGAAATTCAAACTCAAAAGTTTATTTACGTAAATTTGAATATTATTTGTTTCAAATATTATAGTTTCCAAAATTTGTTACATTTTTGACATTAACAAAAAAACATCGTTAGCACTCTAATATTAACAACAATTACAGGTCATCTGCTCACATGTCACATGCTAGAAAACAATAAACAATACAAAGCCAGAAAATCAAATATAAAAAAAACGGATGGCTTGATTTAAATGTACGTCCTTAATAAAGCAATTATGAATCGATACTAGAAAAAGGAAAAAATACATAAGGAGAAAACTGGGCCTGACATTTTTGAATAAAAAAAAAACATTTATCAGGGACTTTTATTCCTTAGGTACGCGTTATAGTTGCATTAATCGTACATTAATAATACAAGCGTATTAAATTTGACCCAGCCTTGGTAGGTGTGTTCTATTATTAAGCGGCGTTTTTAATACGCAATAGATGCTAGTCTATTTACTTTATCAAATTTGCTAGAGAACAATAAATTAGCCCCATGTTCAGGTAAGCTGGGTACCTACTTATTCTAACATTTAGCAAAATTCAACACGGACGTAAAGTCATGATGATTCACGCAAATTCCTCCCCTTAAAACTGAAAACGAAATTAATCGGACATTGGGGCGGGAAATCTCTGGTCGTGGGAATGGGTTATACGATTATCTCCCGAATATTTCCGCTTTGCTTCCAAATTTCCATTTCCACACGCATCGATCCAACGATGATGTCGGAAATTCTCAGCCCATCTTTCTTATCGCATGAGGTAGTACGTAAAATAATAACGCGGGTTATCGTATCGAATTGAATTAATTTTTCTAGTAATTACCACATTATAAAATATTATACAGCCATCTAGTATCAGCCTTATCCCAGTGAAAACAGAAACCGTGACCTGCTTTAATCGGAGATGAGGAATAAAATAAAAGCAAGTTAATCTCATTTTTTTTAATAGGCCATAAATCTGCAAATTCAATTTGTCAACACTTGACCCCGTGGAAGTAAATTTACGACCCGCACTCGTTCCCAATAAAGCCCGAATTCCCTGTAGTGGTTTGACAATAAATAAGAAAACAGGGACAGGGGAAATAATTGATGCTGAGGAACGCTAAACTGGTTGATTGAGATAACACTTCACTGTTCGGCTGGAAATCTTATCCGGCGTCCCCTTCAACCCTTAAATTCTCGACTAGACACTGTTGAAGAGTGATTATGCGTTTAGATGAAAGAGCGTGCCCGTTTTTTGTTCGAATGAGGCTTTCAATAATATTAGGAACGTTATTGGCAATCTTTTCAATAAATTGACGAATGTTTTTTGTTCACAACATTCTGATATCGGAAAACAAGAGGCAAGCAACTCACGAACATTAAAATTTATTGAGGAAGCGACCCTATAGGTCCTCCTCTTTATTTATCCGCGGGGTAACCTGCCCACTTTGTGTATTAATTAAGTTACGGTTCAATTTCACGGCCCCTAAGGTAATGTCTGCACAGGAAAAGTGATTACGCTATCGGTATACCGAGATGCGTCGATTATTACCTGACAAACACCGAAATACTAGTGTTTTAGTTAATAACCTAAAATTAATCATTGTTTTGGTAAATTTTGTCGGTTCCATTTCGTTATTTTTATTCCAAACTTTCCGAACATCTGCTTATTCCCAAATTAAATATATTTAAGCGCAACCCTCGAAACGCAGTCGTAAAAATCATGCGGGTAATTCCACTGCAGAGCAAATCCACCTAAACGAGCCGTTTGGCAAGACAATTCTACGTCAGCTTAAATTGCAGAAGGGAAACAAAAACCGCTGGTGCTGGGTCAATTCTCTCGTCTTTGAGATTAAACTCCCGTGAACTGAGTTGGAGAACGCCATTGCTTCTCAGATAAAGTACGTGTTCGGGAAACTTCGTAGCAATCTATTTTTTTAACTGTAAATCCGCAAATGATTGATAATGGACGAATCCTGTACTCCAGATAGGTAAACACGTAGGCTTTATTCTTCCACCATTAATAAATATGGATATCAAAATTCCCTCCGTGCGGTCATCAAAATCCCATTTGGACATCGCCTTTCGAAGGAATACAATTGCCGAGGGAGATTAAAAAAAGGCCGCGGCTGGGAAAGGAACACTTGGTATACTTAGGCCAGGTCATTGTTTGCAAAAAAGTCTGGGCAGCTGTTGCGAGGGCGAATTAATTGCACATAAACTCTTTAACCCAGAATTTCTGCTGTATTCTGCTACACTGACTGACAAATACAGGGATATAATTTATGAACTAAATACTCCAAATTATTTAATTGTGGATAATTAAAAAAATAATTCACTAAAAAGGAGGCTTTAATAGAAACCTGCCTACTTATAAAAACGAAAATATCGAGAGAAAGAAAGAAACGAAGGAATTTTCAGATTTTTCCTATTGCTTCTGAATAGGAAGCTAGAAGATGAAACCAATACAATTATTAGCCATGCCACCCTCCATATAGTTATTTGTAAAATGGAATTTAAATACCACAAAATAGACAATAAGCAAGTGGTAATAGAATCGCACGGATGGTGCACTTTAAGATTTCATTCTCTTCCGATAATTAAAAAGTATGAATGAAACTTGGTTCGATACACACGATACGGTATTTAAAGGATGGGTTACTCCAGCAAAAAAAGTGAGACAAAAGCACTCTCAAATAAAGGAAGGCGCATCATCGATCAGAAGAGGAATTTATTCTAAATTGCTTGCTCTTGTCTATGAAGAAAAGTAAATACTCCACCTCGGAATATCACGAAAATACAACTGCAGAACTTTTTAAACTGTTTCAAAATTATCTTTTAAATATTTTGAATCTAGTTACAAGAAAGGGCAATTTTTGGAAGTGTTAAATTCATATGCTATTAAAAAACAATATGACTTTCTCTCCATATTGTATATTCAACCCTATTTGTGGCAACAAGTAAATTCAAATGTGACATCAGAAAATGAAAAATTAAAAATGTGATGATAATAAAAATGAAATGATAAATTGTACATACTTAGTGTTATCTTATTTTCTATTAGAACTAATGTGATTTTATTATGCCTTAATTAAAAAAAAAAGATTTAATCTTTATATCTTTAAACACGTTACAAGTCCCTGAAAAACCAAGGCAATATACTTTGAGACAAAGTATACCTAGTTGTTCAAGTGTGGTTGACAGAAAATCCACATCTATTCGAAACTGTCAAAAGTGCATCCCTCAGCCATGATCAACAGCAAAAAAGTGTGCCCTGCATTACTGTAAAACAAAGTTCTTGCAAGTTATTCGCTATATTTAGTTTATTGACGAATTGGTGGAGTCTCCACTTTAATTCAAGTTCATAGCTAAATAAAAACAAATATATTCGCAACAAGGCATAACATTTCCGGTTGCTCTCTTTCATTTGCAGCAACTTTTTGTTTATTTCTTATCATCCAATCTGAATATTCAAGTCGTTTTAAATTCGCTTTCGCTGTCACAATGAAGTACAGTCCTGGATCCATAATGAATGCGATTGTTTCCATGCTGAATTTGAATGATTAAAACGACTTAAAATGTTATTTGGAAGAATTGTTTTGTTATGCAAATGATTCGCTTTTGTGTTTTAAGTTTGAAGCCGATCTTTGCACAATTTTTGCCGAATGAATTTTTTGAAAACCCTTCTCCAAAGGGAATTGGGTTAAACAAAAAATGAAACTTACAACAGATTGATCTTCGGAATATGTCTTAAACTTCATCCCATCCATCTCGGAATATTATCAACCTGATTCTGGTGCACCCCTTACCCGATATAATAAATTAAACGAGCCCTACAGAGCACAAGAAAGTTGTTGGGGTAATTTCTCAATTACGCTGCCTGAATTATGTGGGACGAGTCTCAATAAAAAACACCTGGGCCGTTAAATCTGTCAAATTCGTGCACTTCCGATAGCTTTATGAGCACCTATTCTTACTTTGCGAACATTGTTGAATTTTATGGCCATTTAAAATATGTTGAAAGATGATACTGTCGACAATATTTTAGAAGTGACATCGAATCCGCTGCCATTTTTCAATAGACAGTTTGTTAATGAAATATTTTGATTCTTTGTCGTGAAATACATTTTCCAATTTACGTCCCTATAAATACTAATTTTGTGTGGAGTGTTAGGAGAGACGCAAGTGGTCAAATTTGGCGCTTAAATTCGCAAAAGCTTTATCCCGCATGGCCAGAGTACGCAACATCGATTTCAATCCGCCGAACTTTGCCAAAAGCCCTTAGCTGCGCAAGCTCTTTCATTCCTCTCTTGGATTGGTCGTTGCTGATGTCACTACTTGGTTCTATATATAGCGAGATGAGTCATTCCTACTACAGTATTTCCCCGTTTGGCGCTACGATAATACAGACAGCGTGGCATGAGCCTTTTCTGAGTTGTTAATTCGTAACCGTCACCTCTTATTTCTGTCCCGAGTTTGTTTTTTATTTGGTGTCATGTGACGGGTAAGTAGCGTTCTGACGTATTTCACTCGTCAAGATGCTCGCACGTTAAATTTTTGTTGCTCGTTTTCA